ATGATCTCTGGGATTGGGAAGGTATTGCTTAAGGGTCAGTTAGCAGAGCAAAGCAAAGGTAAAAGCAAATAATACATACGCATCTTTCAAGCCAAGATAGGTCTTTGTATACTGAGCTGTTAGCTCAATAAAGAGTCGAGGACGGCTCCCATTCGGGTCTCGGATCAGGTTTAATTTAAAATGTCGAAAACAGAGATTCACAATTACCTCTGGTCGATTCCCCGTTATTCCTGCGAGCTGGCAGAAGAGANTCGGATCAGGTTTAATTTAAAATGTCGAAAACAGAGATTCACAATTACCTCTGGTCGATTCCCCGTTATTCCTGCGAGCTGGCAGAAGAGAATCAGTTGAATGCGAAGCCAGCCGATCTCGAAAGTCATCTTTGTTGTAGCAAGAAGTACGCGAGCAAACTCGGCCAGATCTTCGACGTACATTGTAGCACTCTCCCGCTTTGTGTTAGCTAGCATCTTTTCCTCGGCCACAAGCCTGATGACCTAAGGATCACGTTAGCACTAGATTCTAGATAATGAGAAGAGAATCGAAAGATATGCTTACATCTTGACCTTGTCGTTGGACCATATCATCAATCTTCCGACCAGTCTCGCACTTGTATACTAGCTGGTACCATCTCCAAAACGTTCCTAGAGAGCTTGTATGTTTGATTCCAGGTCGCCTCCGTCCACCCTTCCCCCGTCGTTGGTCGCAAACCCAGCTAAAAAAGCCGTGAAGGAATTCGGCCGAGACCGTATTAAAGCATTGAGCCGTATCTTGTCTAATAAAAGTACAGTAGCTACAGATAGAGTGAGGTTAGCACAGGTTTCCTAAGATTGATCTATATCTTGTTCATACCAATCGTGCTGCTCCCTCACCCAGTCAAGCCGATCTTGGGTCCTAGGACTGTACCGACGTGACCGGAGCCGTCGTACATCGAGCTTTGCTGCTGCAGCAAGGTAATATTCTGGAGGGTGCCGGACTTCGTCCTCGAAAAGCGAGGCATCGTCTTCTGTGTCGCTGTCGGGCTCATCTGCCACGCTTGTAGGGTTGGAAAACTTGGTAACGTCAGGCTCATCGTCGCAGCTATCGAACAAGCTGTCTGCCTCAGTATCAGCTACGCTGCGCGTCTCATCGTCGCTGGACTGGTAGCCTTCCTCGTAGTGTTGCTGGGGCATTGAGATGCAAGGCACAATGAACGAGCTATGCAGTAGGCAAGAATATGGTTGGTGACAGATCGAAAGGTGTGCCGATTAGCAGCGACCGACTAAGGAGGGCGGAGAGAGGGGTGGAAGATAGAGGGGTGTAAGATAGAGGGGTGGGTTGAGGAAGCAAGAAACCTCGAGGGAGTGATGAGCACAAGAGGAAATCGGCGAGGGGCGATGGCCTTTCTTATAGGCATCTCGAGAGTGAATTGGGCTAACATGGCGAAGGCTGTTTAGGAGAGAGCTTCTTCTGGCTCTGTAGTGCCCCTCTAGAAACGGGGGCATAACAAGCGGGTGTGATGACTGTGATGGCCATGAGAAGGTGAAGAGGTCTACCAGGGAGGCGCGCAGCGACCAAGAGGTGCACGGTGGCCGTATTAAAGGACAGAGGTGCGGGATTATCCGAAAGCTGGTTAGCAGACCCCTCAAAGCAGCGGTCCAACCCCCCTAAGATAGAGGGGTGGGTTGAGGAAGCAAGAAACCTCGAGGGAGTGATGAGCACAAGAGGAAATCGGCGAGGGGCGATGGCCTTTCTTATAGGCATCTCGAGAGTGAATTGGGCTAACATGGCGAAGGCTGTTTAGGAGAGAGCTTCTTCTGGCTCTGTAGTGCCCCTCTAGAAACGGGGGCATAACAAGCGGGTGTGATGACTGTGATGGCCATGAGAAGGTGAAGAGGTCTACCAGGGAGGCGCGCAGCGACCAAGAGGTGCACGGTGGCCGTATTAAAGGACAGAGGTGCGGGATTATCCGAAAGCTGGTTAGCAGACCCCTCAAAGCAGCGGTCCAACCCCCCGAAAACAGCACCCTTCTAACCGTTACACCGTGTAAAGGAGTAATTAGAGGATAAAAGTAATTCCGGGTCTTAGTAGTAATTAGCAAGAAACTTCCTTATTATAACCCCTTTAATTTAATAAAGAGTAACTTTAACCTAAAAGCGAAGGTCTTAAAAGCTAAGAAGAACGAAATAAAGTGTCACGAATCACGTGTAATCATGTGACGAGTGAAGACCAGGCGGCGCCCTGACAGGTTAAGCACTATCATATCTCTTATAGCAAATAGGGATCGTTTAGGCTAGCTAAGCGATCCATGGATCTCATTGCATTATAATCACGTGACCGAGCGACTGTTGTTGGTGTCGGTCGAGTCGCTCTGCGATGATCAACAGAGAACGAAGGTTCTTTATAAGACTGGCACGTCTGCCATTAGATAGGAGCTTCGTGCTCAACTTAGTTTACTTAGTTATCAATACCTTTTGACTTTGACGACTTTGTACAAGTGACGAGTTTACCTCTGAGTAAACAACCCGGCGCATCTGATCTTCTTATCTGCATACCAACCTTCGGAACGATTACTTTTGTTAGATAGTTTGAGTTTCGTCACATAAAGGTATAAAAACAAGCTAAAACGGTATTAAGTTCCTCCTTTATGACTAGCCCTCTTTTAGATCTATAATACTACTAATAAACCTACTTTTTAAGCCTAGTAAGTAGCGGAATAAGCTAAAAATAGGTCTAATATCCGGGGAATCTATACCTAAAAAAAACTTACTAATTATATATATAGAATAATAAATAATTCGAGATTTTAAAGGTTTATTTATTATTTTATTCTATAATCTTGTTTTATTTATATTCGAGCTCGAATATATTTTGTAGAACTTTAGTTATTTATATTTATATAAAATATCGAATACGTTTATTCGTTTATTTATCTAACTACTCTACAAGCCCTCTGTCACGGGTCGAATGTCGCGATTCGGTTATTCTTCCTCGTGACCGCGGGACAAGTGGCTGCCTAAGCGAGCATGCAAGTCCCACGCTTCAAGCAAACAAACAATGAAGGAAAACTCTTCAAGCAAACATGCCAACACACAACTCCCTCAGAAAACTCTTTAAGCAAACACGACAACACATCAAATCCCTCATCGTGGCATGATAAGGGATGTGGGAGACGCGGGGGATAAGGAGCTGTTGGGTGTGTGGTGTTTCTGGCATAAGAACCTCGGGTTTTCTCCTCAGACAGCTCTTCTCTCCTTAGCTTTAGATTCTAAGTAGTGGAATAGCAGTATCCTTCACCGTTCCGTTACACCCTCCGTAAGCTCCCGGTAGTCCTCTCTAGGGTGTACAAAGCCTACGAAGCTCTAATTTACTAAGTCCACAAGCTAAAATTAGTAGGATAAGTAATTAGTTATTACGTATACTAGAATTCCATTTTCTATGGAATTCTAGAGCCTTTTTAATAGAATATTCTACTCCTTTTCAAGAGTGCTCTAGAATAACTCCATAATAGAATTTCATCGTGGAATTCCATAGAATAGGGTCCATTTACCGAGCGTTGAAGAGGGTAATTCTACGACTAGATCTAGAGAAATGCTTGCTTGCCTGCTTACTTCTTTTGTGGGTTTATGGATTTTTCATTATTCATTGGTAAACGAAATACTCGGATTCTCGAATGTGATGTCCGGTCAGTCTCCCGGTCTCCCAGCTACCTACAAGGACAAGTCTACTTCAACGAGAAGAAGAGGAGGGATATGAGGATTAGATATCTATAGAGAGTGCTATCATCACTTCATCAGAGCAGACCTGCTTCTAGTTCTAGTTCTTCTGAACCGCTCATCACTCCGACACACCTATTTACTCATGTATCAGCCACGGAATAGACGTATTCATCACCTCTCCACCCTTCGCGTCCCAAATTGTCATTGTCTAAAGCCCCTACCCCCAATTCATCCCAACATCTCCACATCCCCATCCCCCATCGCAATTAATTCCTTCAACTCCACCCCCAGCTCCACAATTCTCGACTCAGGGAATCTCCTCACGACCTCCTCCACAGCCCCCTTCAATCCAAGCTCTAATGCCGAATTCTTCACCCCACCACCCAGACTCACCAGCGTAGCCAGGGCTCTCAGCCCTCTGGCAGCAACCTCTGAGTCTGCGGGGTTCTTGGAGTCATTATATTGGAGGATTTTCGGTAGTGTGGTGAGGATTTCACGAGTGACTTGTGGAGATGGTGCTGTTTCCTTGTCGCTGGAAACGTGACAGGCGACGCCGAGATTGTGGTAGATTGTCGTGACGGCAATGAGAAGATTTCGATTATCAAGTCCATCGGCTAGGGTGGTGGTGATTAGTGCTTGGTATTTGGGGAACTGTGATTTGGCGAGAAGAACTCCTGGGGCGGAGACGAAGAGGTTGGCAACCGCTCGCATGGTCATCATGATATAGTTCTTGTTTGGGGGATTTGACTGTTGGGAAGAACCAATTAGAATGCTGATGATATCTTGATCTTGACTGTCACGATAAGTGGCGCTTTCCGATTGTCCAGATATGAGACGTATGAGGTCCATTCCTGCCATGCGATCGGGATATGGCCACTGGGTAATGATTTTGACGCAGATTTCTAGAGTCTCCTTGGTACTTTTATAGTGTGCGAGTTGTAGTTTTCCGATAGCTTTACAACAAGCGAAAAGTGTTTGAAGTTCTTTGGAATTCAGTGAAAGATCCTTCTTGCCGCTGTCGATCAATGCCTTGTTCAGTTTGATGATGCTCTTCTCAATGTTCTCGGTTTTGGTGTCCATGATTCTGATGAATTGTCTGCGAGTATCAATCCTCGCACGAGCCGACTCCATTCCCTTTTCTGCCTCCTCAGCCTTTTCTTCCTCAACGTCTTTACATTTCGCTCGTACAGCTGGATACTTTTCTTTGATTGAGTCCACGAAATTTTTCTTAAAGTCCTCACGATCTCCAGCTCCCGTAACCTGGGCTTCGTTCAAAAATCTGTCCGCAACTACTGCGGGATCTTCATGAAAGTAGCCTGCGCAATAAAGTGTACCTTGCCTTTCGGTTTCGACTTCCACTTTATAGTCGTACTTCTTGCCCTTATGTTCTACTTGTTCTGGACTATCTTTATAGATTCCTTGCAAGTCCCAAATGGATTCGCCTTCAACTATATCAGTTTTCGCCTTATCTATAGAGGTTTCCAAACTTACTAGCATTCCATGCATATGCTCGGACTGAACCATCATATTCTTGAATCAGCTTCACCTGGCCATCTTTGGTGCCGCGGGTTGTCTTCAAATGCCTAGGGCCTGGATATTTTTCTCCGGCAGCCTTTTTCTTCTTCTCTTCTTCCTTCTTCTCCCATTCTTTGAGCGAGTCGTCAAACTCTTGTAATGTCTCAGCATCTGCTATCCGCTTGGAATCACGACTGAAGACTCTCAGAACATCACCCGTTTTTTCTGTCTGACTTGTACCCGTCACAACATCTCCAGTCTCTTGACACACCGATACAGACCATACCGAGAGTGTTGGATGTGTGATGGTCTGGACAAGATCTGATCCCTTCCAAATCCGTAGAGTCTTATCTTCGCTTGCGCTGAATATCTCTCCAGATGGCAAAGAATCCAGGGAAAAAATATAATCTTCATGAGCAAAAATCTCTCCCACTCGCTGTCCTGATATTCGCCAAAGTCGAATGATCCCATCACTGCCTGCCGATGCAAAGTCAGCTCCAGTTGGGTGGTTTTTCAGTGCACATAATGCTCGCTGAGGTTCCGAACCAGTCGATATTGATCTCGATAATTTGCCACCAACGCCATTACTGATGTATATGTGAATCATACCGTCCATACTAGCTGTGATAATTCTTTCAGAATCATAGCACAAGACGGCCAGCACACTTATATCAACGTCATTATTTTTACCTGCTTTCCCATTTTGTTGTATAATAGACGGGCTATCCCATTTTCCCACTGGCCATAATCTTGCTGATCCATCCCAACTGCCACTAACAATATACTTCCCGGCAGGGTCAACAGCTAATGCGCAAACCTGATGAGAGTGCCCATAAAGCGTAGCCTCCGCTTGGTCTTCTGCAGTCTTCGAGGGCTGGCGCAAGTCAATTGCCTGGCCTTTACCGCCAGAAATTATCAGACCTTCGGGATATTGTTGGCTTGGGGGGAGGAACGCAAGACAGGTGACATAGGATGATCCGAAATAGGAGATGGTAGGTTCGAATATTGGAGGGCTTTCGGACGACAGTTTCCATGATCGGACAGTGCCATCATATGAAGCCGAAATGACGGTTTTGGAGTTGGGGAAAATAACGTTGCGAGCCTAAGGAGAGAAGAGTTAGTATGGTCTAACCATGGCGTTGACGCGGGGTGATAGGCAACTGACATCGGATTCGTGGCCGCGGAGAAAGGCGGAAAGCTTGTAGTCTGCCATGATGGTAGAGTAGAGGTAGAGAGAGATGATGCCCAACAGTTGGAATGTGTTCTGATCCCACCTCAGAATGGGCTCGAGTATTCAGACTGTTGGTCGTCTTTATTTGTCGATGAGCTTCTCGGAGTATCTATCTGCAGGTCCAGCCCAGCTAACGTAACTGCGCTCCGCCTCCACTGCCAGGGCCCCGATAAGGGATCATGTGATTCTTATCGCCCCACCTGTCGGCGTTTGGTGCTATGACCCCGGCCATGAACTCCCGTCACCGTGCTACTGTGCTAGGCTGCGTGGCTTGTGCCTCGCCTTTCTTTGCCTCGTCCACTCCTGTCCCCCTCGTCTTCTCTCCTTCCTACAACATAGAGTCCTTGGACTGTAGCAATACCTCTCCAAGTGCGCTCTGTTTCTCTTGTATCCCATTTCTTGTTCCCAACCCTCTCCCTCAACTACACCCCCTACCCCCCTCGTACCCCCCCAATCTCCTTTAACGACCGTTACGACCCGTCAAACGAATCTTCTATCTTGGAAAATATTCGAAGCTCCATACTCCATACTTCGGCTCTCTCCTTTAACCCGTCCAACCTTCCAGAGACGCAGCGTTTCCCCTCCCTCCGCCTCCCATTATTCTCCGACAGTGGGATTAGCAACCGTCGGCGTGCCGGTTTCACTCCCTCGTTCCCCTCACATCCCGTGTGACTGCTAGGGACTGCGTTCTATCTTGACGAACTATCTTTTCGAGTCCCTCAATTCGAATATCACTACCACTTCTCCCAAATCCCATTTCTCATCGCCATTTTCAATTCGCAAAAATGGGCGGCCCTGAGATTTCCAAGCAATTTGTTCCATTAACATGCCACGGTCATTCACGCCCCGTCACACATTTGAACTTTTCTGGATTCGTTGATGGAGAGGAGGACTATTACTTGATTTCCGCTTGCAAGGGTATGTGCAGCAGCGTATCTGAATTGGGAATTGCATAACTGACCATGTTAGATAATAATCCTATGCTTCGCGATGGTGTTACGGGCGATTGGTATGTATGGACAAATGGTCCCATTGGACAAGTAGCTCACGGCCCATAGGATTGGCACTTTTTTTGGTCATAAAGGCGCAGTCTACCAAGCAAGACTATCTCCCGATGCTGCTACTGCGGCGACTGCTTCTGCTGATTTCACCGCGTAAGTTGTGCGATTGCGATGCTAGTTTCCAGACTAACGACTCGAAAGCAAAGTTTGGGACACTCACAGCGGTGAAGTGCTCTGCACTCTTCAACACAACCATATCGTGCGAGCAATTGCGTTTCCTCCTGATAAGGGCGATCTTCTAGCAACTGGAGGAATGGAAAAGAAACTCCGGCTCTTCGATCTTTCCAAACATGCTGCCATTTTACCACCCAACACAAAATCCACCCCCAAGAAAATGGTTGTAAACCCAGAGGGAAAGACAAACGGCGCACTCGATCGTTCTCTCATCGGAGCTGAGGAAGGGTTTGAAATTGGTCCTGGTGTTCACAAAGGTACAATCAAAGCAATTGTCTGGTCCAAGGACCCCAACATTCTCGTCACTGCTGCAGACGATAAGGTCATTAGATGGTGGGATCTTCGAACTCAATCCGTTGTACAGGAGAAAACAGTGCAAGGTGATATTGGTTCTTGCGAATTCACAAATTATCAACCGCAACCTACTGATATCGGTGGTGGGTATCCGGTTCTTGTTATCGCGGCAGGCAAGACTGTGTACTTTTATGGTGGTCCAGATTCGCGCAACTTGATCAAATCAGTTGACTTGCCGTATGAGGTTGCAAGCGCTGCACTACATCCTACGCAAAGAAAATTCGTTACTGGTGGTATCAAGGATACATGGGCAAAAGTATACAACTATGATACTGAGCAGGAATTAGGTACTTCTTCCCTCCGCTGATGGTCTACCAAAGCTAATTATTCTAGATGTGCACAAAGGTCATCACGGACCTATTTGGAGCATTAGCTTCTCACCAGATGGAAGTCTTTATGCTACCGGAAGTGAGGATGGAACCATCAAGATGTGGAAGAACTGTACAGGTCCATATGGATTGTGGAAAGCTGATCGTGAGTGAAGAAGGAAATATGCTGAATGATTGGTTTCTATAAGTTATGATACCATTCCGGGCGGAGTTTTTGGTGTTGGGAGATACCATCCTTTTCAAAGGACCAAGGTATTTCCAGCGGAAGAAAGAAGAACATCGTTGCATACAGATACAGTCGTTTGCATACCAAGCGCATACTTTGTAGATGTTGAGACTCACGTAGAGAGGATCCACGTACCGGAAATATACCAATGAAACTTTGCCAGTTATAGATTGAGTCTCTTGTTCTTTGTGATTTGTGCTTTACATTTTGCTGGTAGTATCGGCTTTGAGTGTAGATCTCATTTTTGGTTTCATGACTATTTTTTTCTTCTTTGCTCTCTCTTGAAAACCATCGTCGCGACTTGCGCGGCGAGTGAGTCTAGTCTAATAATGTCTTATAATAATTCGTTTTTCCACTTCATAGAGGACTTCCATCTCCGGGCATCCGTAAAATGCATTCGTTTCCATCCTCCACTTCCCTACTGCGATCCTCCTGGCAGGCATGCCGCATGCGATTTTCTTTATTTTGGTCTGTACTTCTCCTTTATTCGATAAACCCCTTTTTTCGAGGTTTTATATGATTATATCTGAGGAGGCGGGGGATGATCTTCTTGGGGTGTTGATGGATATATGTAAGCTGAAATAGGTATCTCTTGGCGATGGGTGCTGAGAGGTGTCGATAGGGGGTCTCGCTTAGGTATGTACGCTCGTGTATGAAGGTTCGCTAAATTATTATTATCATGGCACGGTGAGGAATTGTTAGGTAAAGGCCTTAGCAGTTTTCTTTTGGGAACTTGATCTTTGTTGGTGCTTGAGATATTTTGAAGCCTTTCGAATCTTGTTTTCTGAGGTTAGGGAATGAGGTGGTGTATTCTACTGGCGGGTTACACAACCGATACCCGAGTACATGACAGAACTGAGCGGCTGTTTCTGTGTTGGTAGCATCCTTTTATTTTTGACACTCGATATTACTCGGTGGATGAAATCCGTCTCGGAGTGAGTGAGGGGTCAAAATGGTATCAGTAATCGGCCTTTAACGTGGTTTTAGAGTTATTGTTTTTGTGTGTATGCAGGAGGATGAGTAAGGTGATTACTACAGTACATGTAATTTATTGGTTGTGGTGGAGGAAGCAACTTCTCGATTTCGACCCATTGCTTCAGTCATGATTTTATCATTTTATCTTGATTCAATTGAACGGCACTTTGAGTTTTATGGCGGAATTCGTATGTAGCTTCTACTGACGACTTTCATATAAGATACTCTCCCCCCAGCTTTTAAACTTCCCTTCCATCACCAATTATCACTCAAACTCATCTTGATTTAAAATACCATAAAATTTACATCGTCATTTACCCAAACCCCCCAACTAAACCCAACAAACAGCCATGTCCAAAAACATCCTCCTCACCGGCGCAAACGGATTCATAGGCTCCCACATCCTCTCCCTCCTCCTAACATCCCACCACCACATCCTAGCAATCGTCCGCTCCCCCTCCAAAGCCGCCAAACTAACCCTCGATTTCACCTCGCATCCCCAATTCAGCATTCTAGAGCTAGGAATCGTGCCCGACATCACCGTCCCAGGAGCCTTCGCATCCATCATCGAAAGCGCACAAGCGAGCAGGCCCCTCGACATCGTCATCCACACTGCGTCCCCTTTCCTATACCGTGTGGTGAAGAACAACATCGAGTTCCTGGATCCGGCGATTAAAGGGACGTTGGAGATTTTGCGGGCGGTGAAGGGGGGTGTGGGGAGTGTGAAAAGGGTGGTGGTTACGAGTAGTTGTGCGGCTATCATCGATTTTGATGAGGATGTGGTGAGGGTGCCGAGGAAGGTGTACACGGAGGAGGATTGGAATCCGAGGACGTGGGAGGAGGCGTTGAGTGGGAGTTCTAATGCGGGGTATCAGGCGAGTAAGAAGTTTGCTGAGAAGGCTGGTATGTATTTCTTTCCCAATGCCCCTTCCCTACATTCCTTGGTTTCTCAGTGGGAATTTGCAGGAGAAGTGATGTTGATGTTTTTCTAGCGTGGGATTTCCTCGAAACCGAAAAGCCGGCTTTCGACCTTGTGACTCTGGCGCCTCCGATGGTCTACGGCCCGTTGAGACATTCGGTTGAGAGTATAAAAGACCTCAACCAATCGAACGGAAGAATTTACAACCTCTTCATAAACTCCACCCAAGAAGCACCCGAGCCGCCAAACGGCCTCCATCTCTACGTCGACGTCAGGGTATACCTCCTTCCATATCCCTTCCCCCTCCCCAACCTTCCTGAAGAACTAACACACAACAGGACCTAGCAAACGCCCACCTCCTCGCAGCACTCACCCCTCAGCCTCCAATTCTCGCCTCCTAACCTGCGCGGGTTCCGTATCAAGTCAGGAGATTTCCGATCTCCTCCGTTCCAACATCCCAGAATTGGAAATGAGGACACCGAGGGGGAATCCGGGGATGAGGGGACTGGATGAGAATGCTTATGTGGCTAGTAGTGGGAAAGCGGAGAGGTTGCTGGGGATGAGGTATAGAGGGAAGGAGGAGAATTTTGTGGAGTTGGCGAGGCAGTTGTTGGGGATTGAGAGGGAGGAGGTGTTGTGAGGTTGGAGGCTGTTGGGTGGTGGATGAAGGGTAAAGAGATTTCAGGGGAATTTGGAGGACGATGAATGTGGGAATGTTTTTTGGAGCGAGAGTGAGGTTCTTGTGGTTCTAGGGCAGAGTGTTGATCTGCTACGTGGAATTAGTATGAGCTTTGCGGTTACTTTAGCGAGTGCTTATATGTCCAAAGATGATCTTACAATATTTACTTTTGATTCCTCCCCCCAAAATTCACGAAATTTGAGGGCAGATAGAAACTGTCAGTACATTCAAGTCCTGGGGTGCAGGTGGAAAGGAGGGAAAGTCACGTGCAACTGTCTTAGACAGTCCATAACACCACCATATATTATTAGCTAGCACCACCCACACTCTTTTAGAAGATCATACGAATACACAAAGATTATATTCAGTGTCCAGGCCTAAGAAGCCAAACCAACAGAAACTACGACAGAGAAGTTGTAACACTTTAAAGTAGTTGTATCATCTGTAATAGCACGTTGGTTTGGTCCATGATTTTCATTATCTAAAAAAGACGGAGTGATTCTGAAATACGAAGTAATTTACACTAATATGTATGTTTTCAATGTGGTATCGTAGCTCAGAGCAGAAGATACACTGCCGAGCTGGTTATATATTAGAATCTCAAAAATAAAAAGCACCTTAGCTGAAATTTTTTCTCGGAACTTATAAGATGTCTGAGGAAGTAAACAGTGAACCTCAAGCATATGCTAGTAGAATTATCTACTCCTCAGCTCTCGCTGTATACTCTCCCCAAATAAACGCTAATCATGAACTATATTGCTTTGCAGGCGCATGGTAGTTTCACCTTACAGTTTTCAGTGCATGAAGCCCTCAGAAATAACATTGAAATAGTAAAGGGAGAGAGTGATTCAACTTGCGGCTTTTTCAAGAACCGATGTGTCGTTGTGTTTGATGTTTCACTTAAGCGACGTTCAAGGATGACCATACATACTTCGTCCCAGGCGAAAACATTGTAGGTTTGCTAGGGTAGCTAAGGTTGGTAACAGGGTAACAACCCCTGAAAGACCTACAATCCTTTCGCCTGGGACGAAGTATGTTTACAATATCAAAGGCTATTTTTAGGGAGGCTCTGTGCTAGAAGCGAACCTGGGTTTTTCCCAGCAACGGATGTTTCCTAATATGGGAGCTTTGAGACATAATCCAATTTCTCGAATTATTGTTATTATGTTGCGTGAGAGAATTTATTAGGTTAAGCATGTGTCTACGTCCACAAGTAATAGCGCGAATAAAGGTCTTCTGGCTTCGGATTTGATGAGGTCTTTTAAGAAAACAGAGAAAGCACTAGGTTTCAATTTACAAGTCAAACTCATTGGTACGTGCAGGGTGGTCAATACGCTTTTGCGGATCTTGAATATATTGGAGTCTCAGAGCTGAGTTGCAGGTATATTTACAAGTTTAAAGTCAGACGTTTTTCCCGGGTTTCGAGGATCTACTATGCTGTTTATAATATACAATTGCATCTAGACAATTTAATTCGCGCAAGCTTCATTATTCATTACCTTCATGCCTCTGGTGAGGTTGCCATTTCATCCCTCCTCGCTCTTCCTTTCAACACTTCTGCATCGCAAAAACGCCTCAAATAGCACCCAGCAGTGGCTTCCCTCCCCTCTATCCTACCCTCCACCAAGTCTCTCTTGGCTTTCTCCTTTTGAACAGGTAGCTCACAAAGCTCGAAATGGTGTGCACCCTCGGCAATCCAAGATACTCAAATCCTCCCAGAACTCAAACCTTGCCTTCACCATTCTCCGCTCCCTCGCCCTCAAATACAATCAAAGCATCCTCAACGCCCTCCTCAAGATCCCGATAGGAGGTACCTCTCTCTTCTTCCTCGCTCTCTCTAAAATCCTGCACTTGCTTCATACAGGCCAAAGCTCCCAAGGTCTGCCAATTCATAACAATGATACAAACAGCCGTAAGCATCACCTGATTCGCAGTAACAATCTTGGTACATCCATCTTCGGAGCGGGTACTCAGGGGCGTCTCTTCAGATTTCAAGCACAAGGTATCTGAGATGCCAAATCCGGGGATTCCATTGATCAGCATGACTCTGAGAAAGGTGCTGAGAAGTGCATCGCCGATGAGGAAATGGGAGAATATTTTGAGGGATAGTGTGTTGTGCTGGCTTTTTGTTAGATTTTTTTTAAGAAATATGGGTGTCAGATGAAGGAATAAGATCTTACTCTCAAAGCACCGATAAATCCGAAGAGTGAGAAGACGCTGGAAACATGGAGATACCACCCATAAGACTGGGCAATATTCCATGAATCGTACAATTCATCGTATGATTGAGTGAGAAGTATTATCGATGTGGTATTTGTAGCAAATGTCGTGAGCGCAAGTGCCAATGCAAGTTTCCTGTTTTACGTGTAAGTAAGAAGTTTTCGGGGTTGGTTGTTGTATGTACATGTGATACGAGCGAGTACTTACTGAAATGTAGAAGATCGTGCCATTTTCATATGCTTAACTCCGTTGTCGATTGAAAACGTGCTGTAATCAAGGGATGACATTTCTCCAACTCTTCGAATTGGAAGAAAGTAGACAGATTTTATGTCTAAGAGAAGTATTTCAGAGAAATGAAGTCGTTTCAACGCATGAGATTTCTGATGTCTTCTGATGATAAATCTGACTGCTGCAACCTTGTTGCTTGGGGCTGGGATTGACTACGTCAGGAAAATCCTGGTCTGTTTATGGCCGAACGTTCCGGCGGCTCTCGGGAGTCAGGATGTTGGAAAAGGGCTCACGCCACAAACGTAGATCCTGCTGCAGGGAGTTTTCTGTACTGTGGGAGAGTTTTGGGAAGTGTTTTTGGATGAGTAAGAAGAAGGAAACGAATTTCAGAAATGTGGTGAGGAATTGAATGTTTATTAACGACGTATGGCGGATGACTCGGCAAGTTGGCATTCCGGAAGCTCGGCCTTTGGGTACTAAAAATGAAGTACCGAAGGGCGATCGCATAGTCATAAACACAATAAGATATCTATGAATTGATGAACATAAAAGAGAGTTTTTCTGCTTTGGGAATTCATTCCGTTGGAAATTTACTGCATAGAGAAGTAAAGACGGTGGATGGCTCAACATAGACCTTGGCATGTCTATATTACGAATTTGGTCTAATTCCGGCGTACCAGCCGTCTTAGAGAGGACGATATAGACATTTATCACGTACGATTTCAAGTGGACATGATATGTCCCAGCTTTCTCCGTCTATATTTTGAAAACCGTGGCGCATAGATATATCATGAGGCTTACGGAGTCTTCCAGATTGGAAAGTATTCTACAAGCGAGAAGTTCCTCTCTATACAGTAGCAACAGGTAGTAGTTACAAATAACGCCAAGCCTCTATATGAAAACTAACTATCTGTAAACAACGTCAGATATATAAGTGCCTGAATTACAGTTGCTGATATCAGCCTAGAATTGTGTTCGAAATATTTATCCCTCTGTTTATGTTATCTCCGTGCTTTCGGCCGAACTTTTCTTGTTTTCACCAAACATGATCATCCAAAGTTTCAGCGGATCAAACATTTATTTCCTTCTTTTTTGAATGCTGGATGATAAGCCTTTGAAGAACATGAGGCTGATAAAGTGATGTCATTCTATTTGACCGGGTAGGTCTTTTGCTAATACCAAAACCCAATTTCATCTCCTTCTCGCCCTTATTATCAATATTACGTTATTTATGCTACGTTACGATCCTGCAAGGTTTTCAAACCTATTAGCCTAAAACTCTACTGGTAGGGCACCTCAAACTAGGAAAGTGCCTAGAATGATGTTCTGTACTCTACTGTACGCAAGAGGTAATACGTCACGCGTGGCGCCAGTTTTTTCACCGTTTCGTTTCGTTTTTCTTGTGAAGTTGTGGTAGGAGAAAGGGTTTGTAGCACAGAATTTTGTGGACCTTCTTAGCTCTTTTCAAGACGCTTGAAGCCTAAATTGCCATTGTCGGTAGGTATCATACTAACTGCCGTACACAAAAAACAAAGAATGTACGAAGTAATTGTCACTGCAAGCTTGGATAAAGCTTGAAAGGTTGGAGTGCTTGGAGTATATTGCCACCACCCTTCCATATCAAAGCAGCGAGTACATTCTTCCCCTACCTGATCTTGAACAGTGAAAGAGATGTTAAGTGGGAACTTGGGAAGCACACTAGGACACAAGTACAGACATCTAAAGTGGCACTTGCTAGTGCAATTACTTTCCAGAATTCCAGCTTCACACACACAGATACACACACACACACACACACACACACTGTCTCTCTCTCTCTCTCTCTCTCTCTCAAAGAACGCATTCATGGGCAATTCTTTCACAAGGATCCAAAAGATCCATAAAAAAAAATGAAGGATAATCCAACTAACGTCCAGACAGATCTAGACACAAAAAGAATTACATCTAAGGTAAACTCAACACCAGTCAAAAACCCAGCAAATTTAAAAAATACTTTCACTCGCCATAATACTGTACTAAATAATAGAAAATACTCGTTAGCCACAACTTTCGCAATACAAAATTACAAATCATGTTCTAAAAGAATCTACGAATTTCCAGGGTAGATAAAATTTTGCTAAAGAATAGCTAATATACTTTCGCACAGCCAGCCTAAATACATTTCTCAATTCGGAAGAAAATCAATTTCGGTAGTAAATTAAGCAAGCACCTTCCTTCCCAGGGCCAGTTCGTGCTTTGTCTTGGGTATTTTATTACATGACGACGCTTATTCTTTTTTATCCAAATTGATTAATGCAGCTTTGTCTAATTTTGATGAATGAGTATGTGTATGTCGCTCGCCTCTTTACAATACCCCTATGTTTCCTCGCTTAGACAAGGCGACTTTTGAGAGTGGGGTATTAGACACCTTACTTGTAATAGCAGAGAACCCCGATTCCGCGCTGAAGAAAAATGCAGATATCAAAGAATCAGTCTTCAATTCTCCCATAAAGAGTACACATATTATACACAATCTAACATCTTTCTACCTTTTATACCCAAGCCTTCCCAAATCCCACAAACCCCCAACTCCAAACTCCAAAATTCCAAAATTCCATCTAAAAACTCCTCCCTATCCACCAACCCCTTACTCCTCCCTCCCCCTCCCCAACTTCCCCCCAACCCTCCTCCGCCACTTACTCCCCACGCCCAGAATCCTCTTCCTTGGATAATTCACCGGACTCTCCCCACCCACAAAAATACACACATCATACACAAACGCGCCCACCACCGCGCCCAGCAGGGGTCCACACCCCGGTCCATAAACCCAATACGCATTCTCAAAAACACTCTTTCCATACCCCAACGCCAGGACCGCCAGTCGGGGGCCCAGATCCCGTGCGGGATTCATCGCCGCACCGGTGTTGAAGGAGAATGCCATGCTGAGAATGGTGATCGTGAGACCGATGATGAAAGCCGACATGCCTGCCCCCGGGGGCGCGTTCGTGTCGTCTCCCATGGCGAGGACGGCGATGGCGAGGAAGGAGGTGGAGAGGAATTCGGTGCCGAAGCCGAGGGCGCCTGTGATGTGCGTTTGGCGTGGGTAGGTGATGAATGCACTGAGGGTTCCGCTGTCGGCGAGACTGGGGTTGAGTTGGAGGATGCTGCGCTGGTAGAGCGAGAAGGCGATGAGGGCTGCGAGGAAAGCGCCTAAGAGTTGGGCCGCGATGTAGATGGGTACTTTGCGGAGGGGAAATCCTCGGAAGATACAGAGCATGATGGAGATTGCGGGGTTGAGGTGCGCGCCGGAGATTCCTCCTGCGATGTAGATTCCTACCATGGTTGCGAGGCCCCATGCTAGGTCTGTGGGAGCGTTGTTGCCAGCTGCTGTCGAGGCTAGATTTGCGCTGAAGCCGAGTGTGAGTTGAACGGTGACCTGCTTAAGTTAATGGCTGTCATGAGGGAGGGGGAACTTGGACTAACGGCCAGGAGCTCAGCAAGAGGTTCTCGGAATTTCAGACGTATCTCACTCCATCTTGTGTGGAGATTGTGAATCTCATCTTCGGGTCCGTAACCCAGATAGTCCTCTCCTTCCCAATTGCCAGCTTCTTCATGCTCTGTTTTTGCTGAAGCAGCATCATCTGGGTACCACCCATCTCCTTCGGGGTTTTGCGTTTGCCCAACTATTTCAGGAATATCATTCAACTTCGGGTTTCCACCATCCTGCTCTTTGATCGGCTGAGTTTGCGGGCTATACGGTTGATTTTCCCCCACTCCAGGAGACACAGGCGAATGATCAGTCCGACGATAGCCAGAATCACTCCGACCAAGCCCGTGAATCAACCTGCTCGCGCTCCTACGTCTACCCTGTATTTGTGAAGAGAGTCGCCCTAAGCGAGTAGGTTCCATCCTACCCATCTCCACATCCCCTTCATTCTCCAAATCCTGCTGCTGATTATACTTCCCATTATCCACCGCCGAGACATCAACTTTCAGCTCCTCTCTAGCCGGAATCATACCAGATCTAATAACCCTAGGTAGCGGACCAGCCAGACCCCATACGGGTCTAGTATTCGCTGGTTGTTCATAAGCAGGATTAAGATCCGCATATCCAGGATCAACATATGGTTGATTCGTCGTCAAAACCTCCACAGGCGGTCCAGCAAGAGAGAAATCTACATTCTCTTCCTGATCCGCATCTTGTGGTGCTTGTACACGCACAGTTGGTCGACGACGAATAGTCCCATTTCGAGCGCGAGCTCCTGTTGCCCAAGTCCCCATCCTGGGACGCATACCAGGATTGTTGAATTGAGGGTATGCTGTAGAGGTATTTGCTCTCGGTCTTGCGGTATTTCTGATTGATACATGTCGTTCTGGTCTCTCTGGGGAGCTATGAATAGTGGGTGCCTCATTGGAATTAATTGATGTTCGTCCAAAAATCCGGGATCTTGGTGATAATTGTCGCGGCTGTGGATTTTGGGGATTCTGAGGTGTGGATTCGGATCTTCCACGGTTCTTTTGGGAAGATCCTGATGGTGATGCTGAAGGACCTGCTTCTCGTGGTTGGACGGGCATTGTACCAGCACGATTTAGAGGAAGAACTTGGCCCTCTTCAATGAACTGTAATGTAGATAGAGGGGCTCCCTCTGTAATGGATGGTAACGGTGACAATGGAGCCAGATCATCGTGGGCTACATCTCGTGGATTGATGTTTGGGCTTAGTAAATGTTGCTCATCTTCCACATGCTCCTGGAAGGTGCCTCCTGGCTTTTGACCCTCTCCATCACCGTCTCCCATGTTGAAATTTTAAGATGTAAAGACTGGTAAAAATGGTGCGATCCAAGGATCTGACAAAAATGAAACTAGAGTATATAGAACAAGTATTGTAAACAAATGAAAAGTCACGACAGTTGGAAAGATGATGAATAATATAATACATGAGAGGAAGCCCAAGGAGAAGGAGGTTATCAAATACCTCCTATCGGTCCACTTTTCAGTGCCTGTAAAAAGAAGTTGCCGAGTCGCGACGCCATTAATGTGGAGAATTTCGAACTCAAAACCTGGATATCTAAGTATCTTCCGCGGTTTCTTTGGGTTTCTCTCGTTATCACGGACGTCTATGAAACGACCAATCGAAAATCAACACTTTGCCTTGCAAATTGGTTGATCACTGCTCGATGTTCCGGTACTTCCGTAGTTATACATTTTCAATTGAACCATATCTCCCTCTAAATATAAACACTGCTTGATATCAGCTTGGTAACTTCCCGTGTATACGAAGACTCCGTACTCCAAATCAAAAATGCATGTCCAGATCCATTCAAGGTATTTATACCGCACCCAAAGTCTTACACGCATCCACCAGATCCGGCTGTACATCCGCAGTAGCACTCACACTACCCCATCTCACAACTCCTAACTCATCAATCGACCACGCTCCCCCAACCTGCCATCGATTCCCACTAGGATCTACTTCACGACCCCAGATTCCCTCCGTGTTGCCCAACTTGGTACGAGCCATTTGCGTCCAAGGATTCAGTAAGTGGTATGTGGTACTGATTCCAAGCCCCCATAAGGCGTAGAGCTCCCGACTTTCATCAATCATGATTTGCACCGCCCAAGCACCTCCCATCTGGGTAACCCATCGATCGGTAGCTGCTTTGGAGCTATGTGAGACGCCAATGAATGACAACCGAGGGTATTTATTCGCCAGTCTTCGTAATTCAATAAACGTCTTTTCCGCAACTATCAATCCCAGAAATCAGTAACTTGCAATTGAACTCCCTTCTTCCAATAACGAAAAACATCAAATAAAAAAAGAACCATATAAAAACTCACAAGGACACCCCGCATGTCTCAAGAAAACCACAACACTAGGCCTCCCATCATTCCCCGGCACCCTCAACGTCGCATTCCCAGGCGCCTTCGTCCCAATAACAGGCGGGGCCGCAACCTCCACAGGCGCCGGCGCAGGCGTAGCCCAACTCTGCCAGCTCTTGGGCACCGAAAGATTCGCAAAGGGATTGTTAACGGGCAGCAAGGCCGCATTTCCCACGCCGCCGTCTTTGGAGTTGGAGCCAGATTTCGTTTCGGGCATGGAGAAGGTATTCGAGGGGATACCAGCTTTGCGCATGGCGATCTTGGTGGTGAGTTTGGCAAACATCTTGGCTGATGTTTATATATGGTTTGTGTAGGTTTATCGAAGGGAGGAAAGGGAATTGAGGAGAGCGGAGGAAGAGCTTCCTTTTACATATTCTTTCCGTCTAAATTGTTTGGACCGAGAGCTCACGGTTCTCTCTGGCGTTTTGTTTTGAAACAGAGGGGTGTCGCGAAGGGGCACACCAGGAGCTGTCGCAGGGATTGTGCTCAGGGGTAATTCGGCTCTTGGCAGGGGACCTGAGGGAACCTTGGGTTGTCCGATATCGCTCCGATCGGAGATGATATCGGAACTTCGATTTTGAACCAATCAAAGAGATGGAAATTCGTGAACAGACAAGGTCTTAGCTATATAACGGTCGCTATTTACTCAAGCAGACAAGAATACAGATAAGAATGAGACGAAGCAGATACACACCAGAGTAGTTCCCCTCCTTCCAAGCGTTCCAAGATTCCAAGCGACCAAAGAAAATGCGTAAACCAAAGAACCATACACAAGCACACATCAAAAAAATCCATCAACCCCCTAAAATTTGAATTCAGCGAATTAAGAGAGACCTACTCGTACAAGAGAACAGAAAGTACTAAAAGCTAGCACCCACAGAATTATCACCATAGATAGGCCTAAGAAAGTTCCTGTCCTGTGTCGCTCACGAGGAAAAATAATCCACATCTACTACTGTACCTACCAAGCATTATTAAGAAACACTAACCCCGCCTTCCTACAGTACCATCGAAGTATTCGAACATCCTAGGTAGTATCCAACTACAAATTGTATCAATTTCAGCCATGCATACATCCATACATCCATAGTACCATACATCCATAGTACCATACATCCATAGTACCATACATCCATTATACCCAAAAAACACCTCTACAATTCAAATTCCTCAGAGCATAAATCGCCCCCAAAAGACTCACCTGTACTCGATATAAAAAGTAATCGTCCCAACTCCAAAGATACAACCCACCAACATCAATATCCACCATCTCAGATGAGAACAGCACATTAAGCAGCAATCCAATAATAAGATACAACCTCCACTCGTGAGTGCATAACAAACTTTCCATCCGAATCACAAATCACAACATCCCAAAGGCAAAAAGCTCAAGAGCTAGTCATTATCCCCATCAAACATTTTTTTTTCGATAACCTCATAATATCGATGCCTACCATATCTCTTCCAGATCTGTGGTCCTTGTCCAAACAAATATGAGCACCAGTGTGGAGTAGGTGAAGTGACGCGTAGTGTGTACGACAGAAATATTGTTAGCACGCGACCACCAAGCTCGCTAGATATAAAACTTTGCTTAGCGGGACAATGGACAATGGAAGATCACGGAGAAGGTATTATTCAGACGTCAAGTGGTAATCCTTTTCCTCGGAGTGGATAGAGAAAGTAAAGGGAGAATATGCGATCGAAAGCGCGTATTTAGATTGCGCTATATACGTGAGAACGTGTTGTAGCTACCAAGAGATGAAGTCGCTGTGATACTTGAAGCAAAGCATTATATCTCGCTGTCAATACCAAGAACGAATGTACACTAGCCATTACCCGTACCAAGAGAAAAGATGAAATGGGGTTTGTATACTCGTACAGACAGAGTATAACTGTATATCATTTCGTCATACACCCCCACAAAACCCAATACAGTACCACGAAAGGAAACGCATATCGAAACCAGGATATGTGTGAGCTAATCCCGATGTAGGGATCGTCTCTTGCTCCTTTCACGTGTGAAGTTGCAATATAGATGACCTCCGAACAAAAGTTATTGAAAAGCGGGAGTGTCCAATATATAGCTAAGTATCGAATTCATGAATAACCGAGTTGGCTTGAACTAAAAGTTGAGATGGGGAAGGGAGTTTTATTGGTCAGACACGTTAGCCAGGCGTTCTTTGTGCCCAGCTGAAAAGGACGAGAAAGCGTCGGTTGATGACCATCCGCCATATCAATTCCAACTTCAGAATCGGAAGTTTTGTGTGCTTCTTCAGTAAAGACAGGAACCTCCTCATGATTTTGTAAATTGGTATCGAACGTACTAGAAGCTGTACTTTTCAAGGGTAAGTTTTGCGCCCGTTGTGATTTAAGGGGTTGTTCGCTCGAAATCGGATTTTGTACAGGGGCGCAATAGTTCATGTCATCAGGAGAGACTTTTCGACATCAATGCATTATTGGAAAGTGTTTGTAATTTTGTTCTAATTTTGTTCTGACATCTGTCTTTCAGGCGAACTGATGGCGGTGCAGAGAACTAGATGAGAATCCGGGTGCTTAAGGCTTGGGCAGCAGACTTCTGACAAGCAGCGGTACCGAAACGATTTGTTTGAGATTTTTCATGTGAACGGGAAGTATATAATAAGGTTGAGCGGTTCAAACTCAATATCCCAAATGTAGACGCCGCCTTGAGACCGTCTACGGAGTAGTACTTTGTAAGAATTAGACCGAAGCGGATGTGGCCGATCAACGGTGCTTGAGAACACGACTGGAACGAATCACCACCTCAATACTCGTAAAACATATGGTGCCAGTACCAGTAATTAGAAAAATGTTTTTGGTGGAATGCGAAAATTCCGCAGCTCGTACAAGGCTTGTGCCTGTGATTATGTCCCCGGATTCCCAAGAAAATGGGTAGGAGTTATGAAAAATACGGGTAGTCTGATTCGGCCATAACTTACTGTGCTTCAATGCACTCTCGGTTGGTTGAGGTGGTTGTCCATTGACTGTGAGTACTGTACTGTACACGGTTGTGTCCACCGAACAAGTTGCATGGGAAAGTTTGTTGTGTTTGTACTGCACGATATAAAGTTATCGGCAGTTGGCAGCTTAGTTGAAACAGTTTCGTCTCAAGTTGACATTCTGGCCCACGGCGATGGATTGCAGGACGACCGAGGCGGATGAGAAAGGGTAACACGCCAACAGGGGATGCGGTTGTTGGACGATTCCAATTGAACTCCCATTGGTTTTCTCTCCACAGCCTTTCACGCCTTTCATAGAAAGATTGGCCTCGCCGTCAGCACCGGGTCAGGCTGACATTACTGACGGAGGCGTATTATTGTATGTACGAGTATGTTAGCGTACTAATAAGCATCAGCAAGCTGAGAAGAGGAGTCATCCCGATGCTCAGCAGCCGTTCGTTTGCTACATGTAGAAGGGAACGAACTCTCCGCTCTGTCAAAAGCGGCCGATGGCTGAGGCTTGAGTCGGCTTGCGAAGGAGAGGATTCCCACCTCCTTGATCCATCGCAGGTGCTGGCTTAGGGAACGGCAAATTATCACCTGGTGTTCAGGAATGAGGTTGACTGGGCTGGCGGTTATATTCATCACAAAGAGCCAGACCAGAGCCAGTGCCAAGTGGGAAGGTGGAGAAACGATGTTGCGGAGGTGGTGTACCGTGTACGGATGTACCGTATTGGCTGTTTGGACCTTGGCTGCGAGTACGGCGCTCACAAAGGGGCATCGCATCGCATGACTGCCATGGCATCGTACGACAAGCCTTCTAGAAGCTGGCTCTTGGTGCCTCGTGGGTGCCTCTGAGCAAAGAGTTTCCGCCAGCCAGCCAGGCCAAGCTCCATGTGGAAAGGGAGGACCAATCTATATATACTTTGTGCACTTCAAGTAACTACCTCGGTACCTACGAAGTCATGCTCTTTGTGCTGGCACAGTGGCACTGGCACTGGCACTGCTCGCTATGTGGTTCACAATGGTTGAGATTGGAGGCTGGGTGGGGAATGGGAATTGGAGGTTTTGTGGTGAAGGATCGTAGTTTGATTGCCGAGGGGAGGACGAGTAGGTTCGTACTGTAGGGGGCACTACCTAGGTGCCGATAGATTCACTGCCCTCACCGTACTCACCGGTACTCAAAGTACCTCCGTCCATTGGAGGCAGGAGCGACGAGGAAAGAGGCTCGGAGATGCCTCTTTCGAGCCGTACCGAGATAGTAGATACCAAGGTGGGCGATAAAGAAATCTAATACTCGTGTACCATAATGGAGGTAGAAGCTAGAACTTTAGAAGGCACGAGTATCTATATCCTATACCCGTATCTAGATTAGCGTTACAAATAAGTACTAGTAAAAGCTCGATTTTTCCCTAGCCTTTCGACCCTTAATAAATCGACTTTCTAGAATACGGCTTTATTAAATAGGTAATAATATAACTATAACTTATAATAGAAAGTTAATTCTAAGATCTCTAATATATACTTTTTTTTTAAATATATTTACTTTTTAGAAAATTTAAAAACGTTATTTTTCAAGTTTCACTAGAAGTATTTAACTCTTTAACTTTTTATATTTAGAGTTATATAAGTAAATATATTAAAATATATAATATTCTTAATATTAATTTTTAAAAAGCTATTATATTAGTAATACTTTACTAACTAGAAAATAAATATATTATAATTATAAGCGTATTTTTAAAGCTAGAAAATATTATAGAGAAATATTATTTATTATTATAAAGTTACTAAATACGTGTTTAAGAGAGTTAATTTTCGAGAGTCGGATCTAAGAAAAGCGGAATAGAAACCGAGCTTTTACTAGCTAATAACTCGTAGAGTATCCTCGGTAGGGTTTCGTATCGCCTCAACTGCGGCCAGCACCTCCCTGGTCTGTGCACTGTGCCAAGAATGGTAAGCGACCCAATAGAACACCAGCTTTAGTAGAAGAATATACTATATTTGATGAAAAGTAAGGGAAACGGCCTTTCTTTATATAACCAGGTATTACAACTGTTGTAGGTAAAGGTGGTTTAGTATAGTATTACCGCTGTTTAGTTATTATTAGCAATTAAGGCTAATGTAACTCTTTTTATATCTATTCCCTCGGGCAGTGTGATTTAGTAGTATTCTAATAAGTTTAAAACGTATTATAGAACTTTCTAAGAGTACAATATGTAGACGGCGAATCCCTGGATCTATAGCATCTATCCGTGTATTTTTTTGGTACTGTGGCGTTAGAAATTTCAATTTCTAGATCCCTAGAAAGTTGGTGTTCTCACCCCTGTATTAGGAGGTGCTGGCCGCAGTTGAGGGGATAAGGGCCGCTTACTTACTTAAATACCGCCTATTGGCGGTCCTTACATGAAACCTCCCTGAGTAGAATGTAGAGTTCAATTGCCACCGAGAGGCACTCGCATTGCAAAATAATAGTGAAAGCAAATGAGTGTTGGAAGCATCCCCGCGCGTTTCCAGGCCACGGAGTCGTACGAGGACCCTGTCTCTAGGCCGTGTTAGGGAGGTTGACTCTGCCAGTAAGGGAACCCCTCTAAAATAGGCCTTGGGTCCGTCCTACAGTAGGTTCCTTTCGCAGTAGTGGCCCGCGTGCTCTCCTGTCTCTCCTGTCTCTCCTGTCCTCTGGTCCCTGGAGTCCCTCCTGTCCGCCCTTGCTAGCGTTGCCTCATTAGGCCATTCTTCAACCTGGACCTCGCTCTCCTCTCTCACTCTCTTAGGCCCATCGGTATTCACGACTCCTAGTGTGGTAGCTTCATACCTTCATCCCTTCCTCCACCCACCAGACAAAGCAAAATCCCACGCATAGCACACGCCCAAACACAACAGCCTCAGCGTGGTGTCTAGCCTCTACTCCACCTACCCTCCACTCTATTCTCCTTCCATGCCGCTGAGCTCTAACGGCCGTATAATCACTCCACGCCGATCTGATACCTAGTGCCCAGTACCGTGTTGCCTCTGCTACTCGCTGTCTCTTTGCACTGCACTGCACCCACGCACCCTACACAACCACAAACCTCCCGCACCCCTCGCGCACACAGTGGCCCTCTCAGAGATCGGCCGCAACCTCCGCCACTACACTGGTTCCCCAACTTTAACATTCACTAGGCGGAAACCCTCTGGAACCCACACCTAACCTCGACTCCATTGACCACCTGTCTTGCCTCTTTCTTCCCCTCCTCGCCCTCAAACACCCAGCCCAGCCTCAATTCCACCTTGAAGCAGCGCTGGTACGTAACCCTCGCGTCTTCTCCACGAACACCGCGTTGGCTGTGGCTATTGCTCTGCCCAACTTCAATTTCTCCCCCCAAAAGGACCACGAAATCACCCGGCCGTGAAGTATATGGAGGGCCAGCCTTCATCTGCCAATTCTCAATATCAATATCAGTCAGCACAGTGGTCGCGACTGGTGCGGCGAAACACTCTCGCAGACTCGACCCCCTCTTCATCACCGAGTATTGCTTCTTCCACTCAACTTCCTACCCCTCAACTCGACCTCCTCCCGATTCTCCTTCCCCAGCATTCCTCATTCCACCAAGCCCAGCTTGCCAAGTACAACAGACTCATAGCTTCAGCGAGAGCGACACGCCTACAATCCTCACCTCTTCCACCTCTGCTGTCTGCTCAACACATTCAGGCTGTGCCTGGTCTACGATCCGGCTCAAGTGGCGGCAATACGGCAAGAACTACGAAGCTTGGTGCTCGGGTTGGTCATGGGAATAAGGAACCTCGCAAATCCAGTAAAGGCGAGCGTGCGCTCATAACAGAGCAGGAAAATCCCGCTATCATGCCGGGAAAGAAGTTGGACATGACCAACCAGCTGCCCCCTAGACCGCGTATACACCACCAAAATACCAGTCTTTCCCATCAATCAAGTTCTGTTCCGTCGACACCACATCAACATGCACGCAAATTCTCCTTCGAGTCGAGAGAACCCTCTCCCAATGCTACAAATAATCATTCGCCTCGGTCCGCATATTCGGAGTCGAACATCATACTTCCATCCGCTAAAATACCGCCACCCAGAGGAGGATGTCGTTACGAGACCGCCATGGCACACACGAAGCGCAGAATGCCATATAGCATTGGGGCCGAGAGACTGGAAAAGCAGAACACGGCAAGTGTGAAAAGCAAGCTGTCTGAAGATGAGGAGCGGATTTTGTCTACGGATATGCGGGAACTATACGACCGGTTATTACCTACTCCTGCGAGCGAAGCGCGAAGGAAAATGCTAATAGAGAAATTGGAGAAACTGTTTAATGAGGAATGGCCGGGGCATGATATCAAGGTGCACGTATTTGGATCATCGGGGAATTTACTCTGTACAGATGAATCGGATGGTTAGTGTGCAATTTTGGGATGGTTCGATTCATGTGCTAATGAGATGTTAGTGGACATATGTATAACGACAGATGCCAAAGAGATGGAAGGTGTTTGTCTGATCGCGGATCTTCTCGCTAAGAGTAAGCTCAATTCAGCTGATTACAGCCACTGAGGAAGCCCCCACTAACATTGTACATCAGATGGGATGGAAAGGGTCATTTGTGTTTCCACTGCCAAGGTTCCAATTGTCAAGATCTGGGATCCCGAGCTCCGCCTGGCATGCGACATGAATGTCAACAACACACTTGCTCTTGAGAATACTCGAATGATCAAGACATACGTCCTCATTGACGATCGAGTAAGGCCTCTCGCTATGATTATCAAACATTGGACAAAGAGAAGGATAGTGAATGATGCTGGTATGGATACCCCTTTGGAAGTTAGGATAATGTTTATGGATCTAACCTGCAAACAGCTTTTGGTGGCACGCTCAGTTCGTACACTTGGATATGCATGATTATTTACTTCCTTCAAACTCGAAACCCCTCTGTATTACCAGCCCTCCACCAACGACCTCACCTGAAACTCCCTTCAAAAGACGGGCTCGAAAGTGCATTTGCGGATGACTTGGACGCATTGAAAGGACATGGGGCCAAAAATAAGGAAACACTGGGAGAGCTCTTGTTTGCATTTTTTCGATTTTACGGGTACGAGTTCGATTACGAAAAGCAGGTGGTTTCTGTCCGGAATGGGAAGTCGATAACAAAAATCGAGAAGAAGTGGCATCAGGCCAATAATAACGCACTTTGTGTAGAGGAGCCTTTCAATGTTGGACGAAATCTGGGAAATACCGCGGATGATACGTCGTTTCGAGGATTACATTTGGAAATCAGGCGCGCCTTCGATCTTGTGGCACAAGGGAAACTAGAAGAATGTTGTGAGCAGTTTCAATATCCCAAAGAGGAGGAGAGAGTGTGGGAGAGGCCTCCACCCAAACCCAGGCCTGTCCTGCGTAGTACTTCACAGTCAACCCGAGGGAGAGGCGGCAATCGAGGCGGCGGACGACATAACCAAAATAATCGCAATAATAACAGTAATCGAAGAGCCTCAAGCGCAGGGTACGATAGCAACGCCCCCTATAATCCCGGGGCCCTTCCCCAGAACATGACGGCTCAAGACATATGGCTTCAACGTCAAGCACAGGCTCAGTTGCACAACGATTTATATACGACGTACTCGGTATTGCAAGCGCAAGAGAACAGTCTGCGTCTTCAGCTATATAACCAATCCCAAGGGTATTTGCAAGCTCAACAGAATCAAGCCTACGCACAGTCCCAGCAGGCTCAAAGTGCTTCTGGATCAAGGACGGACAGAGGTTCCGATCGAAATCGAACGAGTTCATTTGATCAACCACCACTGACTGCTCCTCTTCGACCCGACATGTACTTCTATCCCATAGGTTACCCAAGTTATGGTTATCAGACTCCAAGTACCAACCCTTCTTCGCCATCTCTCAGCGCAGCAGTACCCGAATTGAGGAGAAGCATGCATCGATCAAACGCAGCCAATGGTGTCGGTCAAAATGGGCAGTCAAGTAGTTCACTTCGGTCGCACTCGCAACCTGCTGTGCGGTCTTCTTCCGGACATATGGCAGTGCAAGCAGTTGGAATTTCGAATCCTGGACTTGGTATATATCAATCGGCAAGGCAACCCACTGGTGTTCCTATACCAAATTTCATTGCCGACGAAAATCCCGATCTAGGTGTTCCTGCTACCACCCCCCCAACAGAAGATCCTCCCAAAGAATATGTGGGCTATTATGTTAACCAGACACGGCCGAATCCTATGCGAAGAGAATCTGCATTGGCTATTCCGGCATTTGGGGACCTTGCGCATGGTGGCCGTAGGCGGCTTTCCACGGATCAACTTCCGCAATCCATACTTGATCGACTAAAGCGAGCATCTCGTTCTCCATCTCCACTTGGACATGATCGAACGTATTCTACTGGGGGACCTCATACGATACCATTTAATTCGATGCAGCCACAACACGGGATTTCAAGTTCTAATTTGCGTGCTTTGAACATCCAAGCTCCCGCTGTTGTTAATGGGTCTAACGTACCTGCTCCCGTTTCGATTCCAAATTGGCAAGCTTCTGTCAATGGTGCGGTTATGATTGATGACCAAAGCAGCTATATTGCGGTAGGTTCATTGGACTCGGCATCGCAAACATCTGGAATGATCAGTGAGACACCAGAAAGTGATGAAGAGCTGCCTGGACAATTAACGCCCAGAGACCACCGATATGAGATTCGAGCTGAGACTTTGCTGGATAATTGTTCTAATACACAGGGCATGAGCATACCCAGGACACCCGAAAACCCAGTCAAGCAAACTAATGGTCGTATGGTCGCTGAGCTCCCGCCACGATTATCCCCAAATTCGCGTAATCGGTTAGCGAGGCAAAATGGCGGGATGTCTCCTCTTGATATTGGGGCTGGTCACCATGATGGTCTACGTGAAGAGTTACCGCATCTATCTCCTGTCTATGAAACTCTAACTCCTTCTCCAACTGCGAATCGAAAGTTTGAACCATTGTCAGACCACAAGAGCAGTAGGGTTTCTATGAAGATCATAGGTGATAATGGAGAGCTTAATAGATCAACACATGAATCTGATCAAAAATCAACCAGCTTAGAGCAAAGATGGGACCAGAAGTTGGTCGGCCTAGAGCTCAAATCGGATCAGAAACCATCCCAAAAACCAGTCAACTCGGAACAAAGATCCGACAAGGCGGAAATCAAATCAGCCAAACCTGAGCCACAGACTGGTGGTGTTAACAACGGACACCAGGCCAAGCAGACTGGCACACTTCATAAACCAAACGGGCATACACGAGGGTCTAAGAGTGAAGGTGGATCATCTGGAACTTGGCAAAAGATTACCAAAGGCGGCAAGAAGAAGGGCGCAACAACAGAGATGAAAAGCTCTGTGAATGGCCAACCACAAAGAGAGAAGTTGCCAAACAATGAATCTGAACGAAAGGGTGGTTAAGCCCATCCTATATGTTTGGGGAATATAACTCGAAGCCTGCAATGGCCCAATCGGACGTCGCCCCAAAGATGATCAGAATCGCAGCGTCCTAGCTCCTAGCTCCCAACCAGCACTACCCAGGCATCTTTTGGTTACACGAGTAGCCACCCACGTGAACTTGTTTTGTTACCTTGCACTTCTTGTCAGTTTCGCTCAGATTTCAAAGTCGGTCTTTTCTGCTTGTCGGATTAGGGGCAGCTATAGGATGGGTATAATATCAGCAATTTCGTCACCTCTGAAACTTTTTCATTTGTTTCATTTGCCGCTTGAAAAGTTTGATGAACCGTCATCGTTCATTATAGGAGAGGTTGATAGGTTAGGGGCCTATCCGAAAGCGTTGAATTGTTTTGTTTTTGTAATTGAAGCATTTGCAGCGGATTCATAAGGGCCTGGTTTTGAGATGTTTTTTTTTTTTTTTGCGTTTGGGATTGGGATTGGTTCTGGTCTTTGATATACATTGCATGCATGGGGGTCTGAAACTGGCATATTACATTTCTGCGGTACACTCGAAAAACTTTTACACATAACTGGTGTTATTGGCAGTCTTTGATGATTTGGCATGGCGCTGTGTTCAATTAGGAGAGGGAACCAGCGAGCGAGAGTGCGGTCGACCAGGGGCGAAAAGATGAGAAAAGGGTTGTTTGTGACAAGATATGGGCATCCCTGTGTATGTTTATAGCGGCTATGGATGGATTCATGAAGATGAGTAAAGATCGATACCATGGCATGAATGGGGGACACACGGTGTCAATGGCGAAAGATATATGAGAAATTAAAAAATTAAAATAAGACAAGCACTTGACTACTCAGGGATAGGGGAACTTTTCTGGTCAACTGTAGCAGTGATTGGCAAGTGCCAAACGCCGAGGTCGGTGTGGCACGTATGGAATTACACATATAAGCTCTGGATAATACAGCCTTTTACTCAAAGCCTGAGCTGAGACGTGCTTCTCTTCTATTGCCGGAATTCTACAAGTGCCGAATTGAACCCCACACATCGAGGGGGAGCAATTTAAAGGTGATTTATATACAGTACGAAAACAATAACCCCACATGTATTTTGCCATCTGCCGATATTGCAGATTAGGGGATTGAATAGTTCCAACCCAGTTAAAACCTTTGTGGGTTTAGGAACAAAGCTTACCCTCCCCATGGTCTCTTTCCCATACTGTAACCTTTCTGGTTAATATTTGGGGTTTGATAGCTCAAGTGGGTTTATATAAAGCCCTTCTTTGTCCCTTATAAAGGAGAGGGTTCTTTTGGCTTGAATGGTAAGAAGGAAACACCTACCGTTCGAATTGAAGTTTGAAGTTTGGAGTCGTTCAATATGCTTCGTCTTCTCTTTACAGTTGGTATAGCTCTCACGAGCTCCAGTTCTGTAGCATCAGAATGCACGCGTCAAGCTCTGAAGGAAGCCACGAATGCGTATCTCTCTGCTCAAAGTTCATCTCCCTTCCTACTCCCTCCCTTCCCTTCCCACCCCCTCTCTCCCTACCCATCTCCTACCCCCATCACACCCCCAAATCCCAACTCTAACCCCACACACATCCAGTCTCCGGCACCGCCTCAACAATGACCACCCTCTCCAACACAGTCTCCTACATCCAAAACGACGTCTCCATCCCCATCACTGCAGGCGTCCTCGCTACACCCATCGCTATCGATCATAATCGCTCGACGCTGGATACTACGCAGTGTGCGACGTATACGGAGATTGTTTCGACGGAGGCGAGGCATCCGTATGTGATTGGGACGCAGATCAGGTTTAGTGTACTGGGGAATGGGAATGGGAATGGGAATGGAAGTGTGTCTGCGTTGGGGATTGAGAAGGTGGAGACGGTGGTTACGGAGAAGGGGGATTGGCTTTTTGATCCGGTGGGGACGTTGAAGTATGTTAGGTTGGAAGAGGTTGGTTGTTTGTTTTCTTTTTTCTCGTTTTCCTTCGTTTTTTTGTTTCTTTTCTTTGGATTTATAAGGCTATTCTTTGGAGTATCCCACAAACTTCTCATCTATAATCCACCCCTCCTCCCTCCCCCCAACACACAAACTAACCCCCCTATCCCTCCCCCAGGAAAAATGGGGACGCATCCCCCCCTCGAAACTCGACACCCGCGCAACCATCCAAGCCGCCGCAGACGCCTACCTCGACCTCTTCAACGACAAGAGCGTGCAAGTCCCCTGGGGCACGCCCTGCGCGCGCCTCGAGGGCGGCAGCTACACGGGCAAGGGCAGTGCGAGTGATAGCTGTAATGTGGGGGTTCCCTCGGGTGTCAAGATCACGAATCGCAGGTATGTGGTTGATGAAATACTTGGGGCCGTTGATGTTATGTGTACGTTTGCTAGTAGTGCGGATACGCATGAGTTTCGGGTTGAGGGGGGACGGTTGAGGTTTGTGCATACTATGACGGATACTGGGAGGTGAGGTGAGGGATGGGGAGGGAGGGGAGGGGAGGGGTACGGGGATGGGGTGTTTGGTTTAAGTGGGGTTGTGCAAGGTATGGAAGAAATTGGGATGGTTTTTTCTTGTGTGTAGAATTTCTTGTTTTCACGTTCGCTCGCTTATGAACACGTTTACTGCCTAGCAGTTTAGTAGTGTTGGTATTAAGGTCTTATAGAGATACATGCTCAGGTCTTGAATATCTCTATGTTCTGGTACGACTTATAGGGATACGGAAATTTGTGGTGGTTTCCTTCTCTGAAGGATAATAATAATGAACGTTATTATCTTCGCTCGTCTATGGAACTACTGTTCCAAGACAAATCCAAGGGTGAGACTACGGCTATATAGAATATGTGGCTTTGTGTTAATTATTTAGATAGAATTGATACCGTCGTGGCTAGTCAACTCGTTGCTGTTAGCACTCCTAGATGGCTCCGTAATAATAAAATTGTAGGTTCCTCGGCTACCACGCTCGGATATTTGTTTACGAGCCTATTGTAAGAGGGGATCTACGTAATCATACAAAAACAATAAGGAATTAATGGAAGATTTGATCGGAGAGAAAATATCATACTAAAGACGGCTACTATTTATTGAATTATACCCCGGTTATCCCCTTAACTACTATATACTGTCTGACAGCAGTTTTGGCGCTTTGGGAAGTAACCTAGTTGCAAGGGATAGTTAGGTATTAAAAGAATCCACCCTATGTTAATAAGGCGATTTTAAAATGACCGAAATTTGCTCTTGTAACTCCTTTTCTCGAACTTTTGAAGGTGTATTTTTTGATGTACTAAATTGTGGATAAACAATTGCTGTACTAAGACGAGGCTATAATATTGGTTAAAGAACTATTTAGACACTTCTTCCCTAGCTATTCTAAAAGATCTTTGGGTCTCTCTTTGAAAGACAGCTGAATTCCTTGTCTTATGACCTGTGCTATTTTCACTATTTTTAGCTCGAGTTTTCTGGTCATTTCAATAACCCTTTTTGGAGTACTCAGCTGTATTTTTTGCTTCAGTCTATAACTTCTGATTACGACTTCCCGTACAAGAATCCGCATATCGTATCGACTTTGAAACTCTCGGCAGTACCTAACAAACCCAAAAATTCTCCTGTGTATCTTTTCATGTAGATAAACAGCTGTTGAAAAATTCCAAGCTGGCTTGCTTGGGACTGGTTTGGACACTATATCCTCTTGATTTGAGGGTTGAATGGCAGTAAAACTTGGCCAAGTTCTGTAAGTATAAGCAAAGCCCCCCCGTTCTATCTGTCAGTGCATGTAAAATGCCTCCAAAAACCTCCATTGATTGTCAGCTTCATACTGGAAACCTCTTTCTTTTAGACGCGAAGCCCTACAGAAGCCTCCATAGAATGCCGATGCTCTAGTAAAACCTTCCCCCTTAAGCTTCAACATGAGAATATCGCGTTCGTAGAGGTAATAGGGAAACAAGCTGGCCTTTCCGCCACTCCTCGCTGCTTTGGATATCTTACTGTCTCGCAATCCATAGTGTCTGTCTGGTCTATGGAGAAATGTAAAGGAAATATATTGTTAGGCACCGAGGATTTCGCAGTCAGGTACGTATTAAAGATTACATCGAAAAAGCCCTTTGAAACCCTTCGTCTGCAGGCACAACATAATCTCAACTTCTCTTCTGGTAGAGCTCTCTCGTTGGTTAGCCTAATATCATCTGCTTCCTCTTTGACTCAGCCATCTGTTCTATCCATAAACCCAAAATTTGGTTTGTACTTGTTCTCGGGGTCTGAGAGGTACTGATCCCATCTTCTTGCGGTCTCGATTTCGGCCTTGCCGGGTATCAAGTTATTGCAATGATACTCGAGTACATCTTGAAAAATCTCCTGAGTCCTGACATTTTCTGATGTCTTTGATCCAGGAAGTGCGTCTACTCGACGAATCCCTCCGAGCAAAAATATGTATAGCTTTTCCTTTCTTAGCTACATAGTATTTCAGATTTGATGCCTTCTTACGCAAGGCAGTATGTGCGAACTGGTCGGAATCCTACTACTAAGACAACAGATTAGTTCTAGATTTTCCCAGACTTGTAGGTTACTAGCTTCCCAATTCCCATCATAAGATAGAAGATTATTAACATTCATAAGGTACATTTTAGTGCTGCCTACAAAGTTAGCTTGTGTACACCTGTTTGCTTCTTCTGGTGAATACAAAGTCGCCTCAGTTTGCCAATGACATTGATTGATTAGGAGTGTCAGGGGGTTTTTTAGAGTTGGACACTGTAACTTCCTACTACTATGGGCATCCACTTCAAGGAGTTGCATTAGTCACAAATTGCCTTTAGAGATCCAGACAGTAAAGCTCACTGGATGTCCCGGTGCGAAATAGTAGAACATAATATTTTTATACTTACAATCGACAGGTTCATGTGACGTCAAGTCGACACCAAAATGACTTCCTTTGAAAACCTTTAAAGTATTCTTCGAGCTTCAAATTCTCCCTTTCCCCCTCCGTCATCGAGAACTTGGGAACCCTGTGAGAATTTGGAGCAAACTTGCTTCCCCGGAGTAACTTGTCCTCGTAAACGGCGACATAATTCATCCTGCCATGGCTAGTACCACAAGAGTCACAAGACGGTGCTTAGTAGAAGTAAGACTATCAGTAGAAACATAAAACTATGTTTTAGATGACACAAATTAAAAACCATACCAGGGAACATTTATAAGGTCATAAACAAGAATAGAGAAGATCCTCAACCCCTCGTTTTTTGTCGCTGTTATATGAAGAGGGTTGGAGTATTACACAAGAGACGGCAATGCACCGCTCTGGAACTTTACCCAAATATTTGCATTCTTAACAATTCATTCAAGTTCAGTCAAGTTCAGTCAAGTACAGTCAAGTACAGTCAAGTACCGCAGATCGCTAAAAAGTTGAATCTACTTAGTACTAATACTACACGCCCATCAAATTAGTTGAGAGAACGAGCATGGACTATGTATCTGATAACATATAAGATGTACTACCAGTGTATTAAATAATATTACAATAATATAGCACGCTCACATACCTAATGAGTAGAAAACACAAGATTAAGTTCTAGCCTAGAAGATATAGTTTGCAAACTAAGATTTATAACTGATGGATACAACTACCATAAACCGATTAAAAAATATACAACCAGAAAGCAAATATTACCCTGCCGAGCCTGCTAATAAGACGCGGCGTGGCTGGCTCGCTTAGGAAATAGACGTGTAAAATAATAAAGCGAATCGGAACCAAGGCAAACAGAAGGTGTTGCAACTACCAGAAGTATCTTATAACCCCTCAATGGGTAGAAAATATATAGAGCTTCCGATGCGAAGAGTTTTATTATTACTATGACTTTGATACTCGGAGTGAATTTACTCTGAATTGCTCTGACAGAGATTCGAGCGGGGGATGATAATCCCTCTTCAAGAACACTGTCCCACGCATCTTCTCCTAAGCATTCCTCGAGAATAGAGTAGGGAGAACATTCCCATCCATCCATCCATCCATTCACCCCATTAACCAATCCATTCCCCACCGAAATCCAATTTCCAATCCCTCCCTATATTGCATCACCATCCACACTCAGTGCTCCCAACCATCCCCACCTCCATTCGCCAGGTTTCACTCCCTCAAACCGCGACACGCAACAAAACCTCCACCCCCTCCCATCTAGGAAGCCAAATGCGCAAAATAGATTAACTCGAACCTGGAAGATGTGCGGTTGAAGCGCCAGGGTGCTTGGTTGGTGGTGCGAAGATGGGGGCGGGGGGTAGGGGTATTTTAGCCTAAAGCCGCGTCGATCGAGAGTCCGGGATTTTGGGGGTGAAATATTAATCGGAATGTGAGTATGTGGGATGTTGAGGTTACATTAGGGACGGTGCCGAGTTGTGGACTTGCGGCGGAGGAGTGGTTAAGGCGCTGTTGAGTTAGAAAACCAGTCTTTAGTACCGCCTGACTTTATTATATGTAAGCTAATACGTATACCGCTGGTCCTTAATCCTATAACCTGAATTAACCGAGGCTTAAGCGAGGACTCTACTATAGGCTATATACGCTAAAACTAGATACTAACATCTAGAAATAAATTAAATATATATATCCTATTATGTTAAAGCCGGACTACTATAGGGATAGCCTACGAATAGAAAACAAGGCCTAGGTAATACTATAATATACTTCTATATCCGCTTAAGAATAATATTAAGAATAATATATTAGTTATAATCTACTTATCGATTTTACTACAAAAGTGATATCCTATAGGCCTAAAAGATAATCTACAGCGTCTATATATAGTCTCATTCTGGCAGTCGATCGAGATTCGAAAGTATCGGAGAAGTCCAAATTTAGCTAATTTCAAAGATAGGTACATAGCACGATATCAAGACGATATCTTTTACCCAAATTGAGCCATGGGGGGATTCACGCGCTTACTAAGAGCTAGTATGGTGTTAAAACAATTTGTGTACCTAATTATACTGTACTAACATTTTCCGAGATTCGAGGGGATATACAATATTCTATTCATACAAGCCTTTGTTCAACAACTTTGCCTGGTATTATTGAGTAAACGCTAAAATGTGGGACACCCGACAGACAAGCAGTTTGATGGATAGGTGCTACGTAGTAAAGAAAGAAAGGAAATTCTCAGACTTATAGGCCTTTATAAGAGAGAAAGATAATTTAAGGTAGGCTAAGGAGTACAGGAAGGCTTCTTGTACGGTACTCCGTGCGAGAATGAGGAGAGTTCCATGGCTTGAAAGCTGTACATATGTCATTGTTGGAATATAGACAAGTAGGCGAACGAGAGAACTTTAGTAAGATTTTAGAATGGAAATTATGGTTGTAAGTAGAGGTTTTATGCTTATTGGTACATTGTAGTTTTGTCTGTCTCTGGTATAATAGCTGAAGAGAGAGTTGTCGCCCAGGTCATCACCAGGTTGGAAATCCCAAACGTAAAGCCGCCAAAAGACTTCATCTTAATGACTTACTACCAAAATCTTGTTCCTCTATTCCTCTGGTGAAAAGTTACACTACTCTTGCGACCCTCAAATCTCGAGCCTTAAATCTAAAACCAAATAGGCACATTCCCAGCTACCCACTCAGCAAAGCCCATATCCAGATCAATGAATCACACCAGAAACAAACAAACATACTATTAGGATCCTGCGGTTCCACCCCCTCACCCATCCTCCAAATCCCTCCTTTCCCCTCAATCTCCCTCCTCCTGGCCTCCACCCTCCGCTCACGGTCCTTCATCTCCACCTCCTTCGCACTAAACCTCTCCCTCAGCACATTCCACGTCTCCTTCACAGGACTCCTCAACGTCCCAAAATTCATCCACGGACTCGGCGTCCCGGGTCCTTCGTAGGAAGGCCGGTTTTGGTTACTCACGATCGTGGTTGGGCGATTGGAGACCTCGCCGTTGACGATGTCTTTTGTGCGCGAGGAATCGCGCCCGGTGAAGGAGATCATGCGGGTGGGTTTTCGGGACTTGGGAGGGGTGGTGGGATTGTCGGTTTCTTCTTCTTTTAGGGTGTGGAGGGGGTGAGGGGTAAGAGGTTTGTGTTGGGGCGAGGTGCGGGAGTTGGGGTGGGGAGATCTTTGGGTGGGTGTTCTTTGGGAGAAGGGGATTTCTGAGTTTTCTTCGGCTGCTTCTTGAATGGGTGTTTGATCGCCATTGTTTTCATTCTCTTCGTCGTTGTGGTTTGAAAATTTGTGCCAGTATCTTTGGTATTCCGGTGTCCCTGGGAGTGGTGTTGCAGGTAGCCTGCCTTCTTTAGCATAAGCTGAGTACTTCTTGTAATTGTTTGTCTTGGGTGATCTGAGGGCGAATGGCTTGCGTTTTCTAGGTGTTTTCCTTTCTTCGCCTTCCCTGGCCTCTTCTTGTTTCGTAGGTGGCTGTGGTGGTATTTGACTCGGCGTATGAGGTTGAGACTCAGGTGTCATTGGTGATATAGTATGAATCGGAGAGTTGTAGCGCGCAGAACCTGGAGTCGAGCCGTATTCTGAAGGTGTATATACAATACTGCCTCCTGAAACCGGAGATACGAAAGAGACACCAGCGTTAAAGCTCTCTAGCAGCTGACTTGAGCCCCGAAGCATGTTTTGAAGCTCGTCTTTTGATTTCTCCCGGCGAGAAGATCGATGCCTTGGGGTTCGTAGTTATTTTTAGAGGTTGAGGTTTTGATGTGGACTTGGTTGTAGGAGCGCGTTGAATATCAGGAGAATGCCTTGCACCAGTGGACAATTGAGCCTCTGGCATATTGAGACCTCCAGAAATACTAATCAAATCTGTAGAATATTGCTTTGCTAATGGCAATGGACGTACGTTGTTTAGGGGTCAAATGGGTATTGGTGAGTTGATTCCAAGAGGACTGTTTGAAGGTCCTTCAGCTGGTGTATCATTTGGCAAATCAAGGGTCTTCATCTGTGAAGGCATCCAACTAATCTCCCTACTATTTCTATCCTCGATTGGGTTCGCAGGATCGCTTTGGCTCCATTCGCTGGAGCTGTCAGAGGAAAAAAAGGATACAGTTTGCTGAGAAACCGTCGGTTCGATGTCAAAATAGTCCTTATGGATGAGTTGACTATCAGTGGATTGTGGTATTGACAAATTTCTTGTTAGTGGTTCTTGAAGGAGCCCGTCCTTTGTAGCGGGTAGGGTAGAAGGTAAAGATTGATGTCTGTAACCCAATGGTGGCCTGGAAACGAACTGTTCGTGACGTCTTGATACAGCATAAGTTTTCGGGCGTTGCCTGCGGTTTCTGTTCGACTGCTTATTCTTCTCGTTCAATGGGATTTCCGGAGCAAGCCTACTTCCATCAACAGGCAGTGCTTGAACATCAATCGAATTGCCTTTAGACTGATCTTCCAACTTCAACCTCGAAAGAGATGGAAAAGAGTGACTTCGCTTAATTTTATGCTGCGAGTTCGACATGCCTCAATAGGTACGAAAGAGTTAATCCTACAAGTTTGGAGTGCAGAACAGAAAGTCACTCACAGATTTCGAGTCCAACCATTAAGAAAAATAGAAAGTGATGTTGGATTCAGAAATTTCCAGTGAGGGTGAAAGGACAAAGAAAACGACGTTTGTTGGCTGACGTACTATTGCATTTGGGGAAAGCGAATGTGTGGTTGGCCACAAACAAAGAAAAATGTTTGACGATAATATCTTTTACGCCAACGCAATTGAGCAACGGGACCTGAAAGGGTTTGTTCCATGGTGTGGTAGGAGAAAGGTGTTTGTATCTTGAAATTAAAAATAGAAGCAAATAAGCGCACTTTTCGTACCGCTTTCTTTATATCCACCAATGCTTAAGAAAATGAGAAGAAGAAAAGACAATATAGTATTCGAAACTTAGCACTCTCAGGGCTTCCATGAATACCGGATATTCATAGAATATACCGTGTGTAATGCAGATTTGCCCTGTCATGGGTAAGATAGCATTGTTATGAACTTTGAACTATTCCGATTGCTCAGGACCCTTGGATATCAGTATAAGAGTTGACCTCCGATTGTCTGAGGCTTTGCGGTGTATGATTTAAAAAGACGCTCGACGAATTTAGGAAGCAGAATTGAGTATCCTACATGAAATGCCACCAGGGGCCTCAAGAGTTCGTGATTGACCAAGAGTACCTAGTACCGGTACGATCTTACAGTAGAACACTCTCTACCTCTCAACACTCAAACGGCTAACCTCCAGAACTTCGAAAAACACTCCAGTGATTCGAGGAAGCTTCCACAACTTCCTCAATGGTATTCATAATACTTTAGTAACAAGGAAACACCGGAAACAATTGCGTAAACTAAAGTAGCGGTAAACTCAAAATCAACACATCCATAGCTCAAGTGACCACCAAGAAAGCCGGCAACGGATCCAGTGATTACCTTTCAAAAAACAAGAGAATCTCAGCACCTCCAGGACTTAGCAGATGATGTGTTGTGAAACTTACGCTTGTAGTCTTGGAGTCAAACACAGCAGGGGGTGCTGAACTCGTGCCTAAGTTCCGAGAGCTCGGCGATAAGGAAACACCCCGCTGATAAATAGAGGGGCAACAAATATTTGTACCGTACCGTAGTACAGCTTGAAAGCTTAGCTCCAACAACACAACCCAAACACCAAACGGATCAAATCACAGACATGATTGGAAGTCCACTGAACCTGCCAAAATGGCAAGTAAAACGTACCTCTTTATTACAAGGTTCTTAGTAATAACAAACCGTCAGGCTCGAGGAGAACTCACATCTCCTCCAACCCCCCATCAACAACTACTGCGTCTACAACGAAGACATGACAGTCATGGTACCCCTCCCTCCTTCCCCTCCCCCAAACCCAAAAACCAGGAACCAAATCCCTAAATTCCATATCTCTAGATAGTAGGCGGCCCCAACGCCCGAACGGACTACCACATAAACACCACCCCCGAATTCTTCTACCAATACCGCGGGGCCATGCTCCTCAAAATCGTCGAGAACCACCTCACTTCCCCCCTATTCCGGGAAATCATAATCCGCGAGGGAGAGCTATTTCTGCTTCCGCCCAACACGCCGCATAACCCCGTGCGGTTTAGGGATACGGTGGGCATTGTGTTGGAGCAGAAGAGACCCGAGGGGAGCGAGGATGCGCTCAGGTGGTATTGTAGGAGTTGTGGGCTGGTGGTGGATGAGGCCAGGTTCCATTGTACGGATTTGGGCTCGCAGATTAAGAAGGCGGTCGAGGGGTTTAAGAACAGTGAGGAGAGGAGGAGGTGTAAGGGGTGTGGGACTATGGCGGAGAGTGCGCCGCAGCCTGGGGAGATCAAGGACCCGAATTTGGAGGGTTGAGGAGGGGTTCTTTCTGTTGCGTGGACAAGTGGGGTTAAGATTGTTTGCTGGGAATACGTAGGGTTGGGACGGCACCTCGGGGGTTGCGACTCTATTACAAGGGAAAGAAAGAGAAATTAAGAATGGGTGTTAAGGGCTGCCCTGATTTGACATAGAAGAATGGGGTATTCATTGCACAGTATTTACAGTCTCCTCCTCTACGTTGCCCTGTACTCATATGTACTTGTGGACTCCTCAACTCCCACCTCAATCTTCGCCTGTTCGATTTCCTTCCCATCAACCTTGATTCCAGCTCGCATTATATCACCCGGCACAACTGATCCAACGCCCTTGGGGGTACCCGTAATAACAATATCCCCAACCTCCAAGGTCATAACCTTGGAAATATCACTCAATAACCTTGGAATCTGGAAGAGCATCAGGTTTGTAGAGTCCGACTGCCTCATGTCGTTGTTTACGGATAGATAAAGCTCGACGTTATGGGGATCGGGAATCAGGGATTTTGGAACGATTTCGCTGATTGGGAGGAAGGTATCGAAACCCTTTGCGATATCCCATGGTAGACCTTTCTTCTTTGCTTCGTTCTGTGCATTCCGGGCCGTCATATCGATACTAAGAGCATATGCTAAAAAGTAAAAATTAGCAAATGGCGCACCTCTGCCTAGTAAGTATACAAACACTCAATGGCATCCAAAGCACCCTTCTCATCAGAAGCTTCCAAATTCTTAACCCTCTTCCCCATAATCAATGCCAGCTCCACCTCAAAATGTAAATCCACGCCTCTTGGTCTGATGACCGGTCCATCTTGAGGTGCCAGAATTGAAGAAGCAGGTTTAAGGAAGAAAAAAGGTTGGCTTGGCTTTGCGCTGCTTAATTCTTTGATGTGGTCCCTGGAAAGTGGGGTTGTTAGCAAGCGATTGAGTATCTGGATGATTGGGGAACAAACGCATAGTTCCTCCCAATACAAACCACCTTTGAAGCTTTCTTTAGAGAAGCCATGGATGCAATGCCTCTTCGGAAGACGAGCGACATGATGGGCGGTAGTGAGGGGTTGGTGCAATTGACTTTGTAAAGAGCCAAGCTTTGGATAAATGATATACTTTCGGTGCCTCTCCAACCGAGGATGTCAAGATGTGGGAGCGGAGCATCATCGGAAGCCTACATGCCAAGCGACAATTCAATAGAAAAGGCAAGGCCGATCGCTACCTAAGATTTGCGGTCGGGACCCATCAGGGCCGGTGGGGAAGAGAAGCATCAGCGAATAATGCGGGGCTGATTGCGAAGGTCCATGTTGGGAATCGCAATGCTTGGCCGTGTCCAATCCATTTCTAAGGCTTGGTGTCTGGGGACAATCAACTTTGTGAGGTCACACGAGAGGCGTTTGATGAAAAGTCCATAACACGAGCACGCATCAGCCAGACCAATTCCTCCACCTCCACACTTTATAAGCTGCACCATCCGCGCACCTGCATCTGTCCCAACGCATCAGCATCCCCAACCCCAACCCCATCCCCACGATTCGAGCCAGTATTACATACATTGCATACAGTACTCCGTACATTACATACATTCGATAATTGCAGACCGCCTTCTCCTTTTCCCCCCATCCCATTCCATCGTGCAGTGCGTGCGTGCGTGTCATCAGGTTATCATCAAGCTCCTGTCGTCTCGTCTCTCCCTCCGCATTGTTGCCCTCTTACAAAAGGAAAACTTAATTCTCGCCACTTGGTCATCTCCCACAGACGCAATCTATTCACTTTCTCCCACAACAGAGCAACAACTTTCTCAGTACCAAAAGAAAGAGAGAGAAAAGACAATGGAAGCCCTCCAATTCTCCCAAATCCTGGCAGATCTCTCCACCCTCCAAAGCACAGTTCGTCCCCCTCTCTCACGATCCGTCTCTTCCCTTCCCACCTCCATCTCCCGGACCGGTCCCTCTCCCAGCGAAAGCGGTTCAGGTCTAAGTCAAAGTCCACCACGTACACGTCCCTCCATAGCCTCCTCCGTATCTCACCTTTCTCCCGTCCAGGAACCATCTGCTGCCGCCAACTTACTCAATGCCAACAACACACTCACCAAGAACCACCTGCGCAAGAAGTCCAAGGGGTCGATCCTGCCTGAGCCCCCAAAGTTCGACAAGTTGGGACGCAGAATCATCCGGGGACCTATGAGTGGGACGTCTACTCCGCGAGCTATGCCGGTGTTGAGTAGGATGGGTTCGGGGTTTTCGACGTACTCTAGTAATGCGGGGAGTGGGAGTGTGACTCCGAATAATAAGGAGGGTTCGGCTGGACCTGTAAGTATCCCTTTTACCCTTGTCTTCATCTGTTTCTTTTTGATGCCTCACTTTTATTCTTATAATGAACGAGTACGGGACTGATACGTACAACAGCAAGACGAAGACATGGCACGTGCAAAGAAACTCCTAGAACTATACCAAATGCGCGGCGCCTTCCAGAAGATGGGCGATAACGGACTCTCCCGCTCCCAATCCCGAGTCGATAAAGTAGTCGACGTATACACCGCAAAGAGCGTCGAAGAAAAAGAGCGAGCCTCTCGCGCGAAATACACTTAACAACAGAAATCACATGCCATTGTGAACGAGGACGAACCTGTATATTTAAGTGTCACGATATGGGATTAATGAGGGAAAGGCTTGCTACTGGTATCATGGGTAATGGTAATACACAAAATGGGAAACTCCAGGTCTAGCCGTTGTGGTGGCATGGAGTTTTTTGGTCAAGGATAGAAAAAAGATTGTTATGGCGCTGGGATGGTGGGAAGGAGGTGTTTCGGAGGATTAAACGGGCTTGCAAAATCGGTTATACCCCCTTTTTGGCTCATTTGTCGGCGGTGGTTTTCCAAGTCCTTCTTTCGGTTTTCGGTTTCGATTCTTTTTCAGCGTTTAGCATATGATATTTTTAATAAAAGTTAATGTTTCTGACCGAATTGCAGGTTTCAAATTGGTCTCTTGTTGAAGAATATTGTTATTAGAGCAGAGTTCGGTCATTTCCAATTTGAGCCTGTTTACCCCCTTTTCCATATCATACTGGTTCGCCTATTGCCATATTCCCATAACAACCAAAGTTATCTATAAAGTCTGCTTAGTACCAGGCTCTATCCCTCCTAGGCAATCCTTCCAAACAGAATCCACCAATCCTAACATCACACCGGCAAAGCACCTGCCGGCAAAGCACCTGTAGGAACAGCATCTGTCGGCACCGCATCCACAGGCACAGGAGCATCAACCGGAGGCTTCGCAAGAGCCATCACATCCGGAGGATCAAACGGAACCCCTTCAGCAACCAACTTCAACAAATCAGCCGTAGGTTGCGCCAGCTGTCTCCCCAGGACGACCTTCAGGACGGTCTTCCGGAATATCACCTTCCTGAACTTCCTCAGTCCCTGTTTTGCCTTTCTCTTCTTGGCTAGTGCCTTTTTGGCTTTGGCGGTGGCTTGGTCTACTTTTGATGGCTCGGGCAGCTCGGGTTCGGGCGCTGCAGGTGTCTCGACGGGGATGGGGAGAGGTGCTGTTGGCGGTGTTGTGTCGTGGTGGATGGCTGTTATGGGGGGGTCGGATGCGGAGGTTAGGGGTGGGGTGTTGGCGCCGTCTGTGGCGGGGATTGGAGGTCCATTGTTGTCTACATCTGAGATCCATTTCTCGACGTGGGTTGGGCATTCGGCGGCGAAGCAGGAATCACGGCGGTCGATTGGAGGGACTGGTTTCTCTTGTTTTCCCAGGCTGCAGCAGTAGGTGTTACCAGAGGAGGACTGCGAGGATTGGGAGTGCGAGATGTTTCCGTCGACGAGCGCTTCGTAGGTTTGGTACTCGTAGCTGGAGCTAGAGCTGGAGCGGAGTTGTTCTCTTCTCCCTGGGTTGTAGGTGGTTTCTGGTGGAGATATCTCGATTCTTGGTGTTTCGTATCGTCTTCTCTCATCTACTACCCTTCGACTCGACACGGGATAAATGATTGCCATAGGTGCTGCTTCATATCCTCCAATTGGCGTATCTGGATGGGTTTGAATCAGAGTCATCATCGAAGTATCAAAGGATCCCTTACGACTGTATGGGAATTGCGCAAACTCCAGAGGTGTTGTTGGGATTTGGGGAAGAGAGAAATCTTGATGTCCGTGATTGTGGTCGTCTGCTGTGGAATCTAGGGCAGCGAGTACTGGGGTGAAGGTGGCTATTATGTTGTCCAGAAATGGATCGTTGAGTGGAAGGGAACATTGTTTGCAGTAGCTGTTTTGGTGATGATAGGATCTGGAAACTCCCTCGCGAGTTTCGGCGGAGGCATTCTGTACGATTTCATTATTGGGTGTGGAAGAGATGAAATAGGAATCTGTTCGAAGGGGGGACTTTGATCCTGATACTGCGTTGAGGTTGTGATATGTCCTGGACTTTGGCCTTCTGACTTCCCTGGTGTGAGAAGCTCTGGTAGGTTTATAAGATGATGGAAGAGGTTTTCGCTTTACTTGTGAAGAGGGTGGGCGCACTTTCGTGTGCCTTTGAACAGGTGCCAGCCGATAGAGATTTTGGTTTTGCGAGACATTGTGGGTTTGGTCTTTAGGGGTTTCGGTCGGTGCGATTGCTTCTTCTTGGGATGGATGATCCCTCGGCTTGGTCGTCCAGATGAGCTCCCAAGCCATGACATTGGGCACCTATGTAGGAATAGAAGGAATATATATGGATGGACTTGTATCCAGGATGGTGGGAGAAGTGGCTATATAATTAAAGTACCTTAATTGGGCCTGACCTCGTAATACACTTTTGTTTATGAGGTTGCTTGATCCTCTCGCTCTTGCCATATCCATAAACACGGTTACATGGATGACTTCTTCGAATGCATCATACCTAGAAGATTGTAGAGTTCTTGTCCGCAACTTTAAAAGAGGTGCATTCTACATCATTAGTGGACATAGTCTGACTACCAGAGCTTCAGCAAATCCAGGCTGCTTTCACTTTCATATGTTTTTATTTTAGATTCACTCGGCCCCCTTCATTTGATTAGCGAAGCCATGTCGGAACACTGATCCGGCTCGGCTTGATATCGGCGCTTACCTTGACTTTTGTGACGAGTTTCTGGGTTTTGGATTCTCGACCTCACCTTATCTACTCTCCAACTTTACCAGATTGTCTCACAATAAGTGCGCCACGACAGCAAAAATGGCAACCTCTGTGGATGCAAAGCTTCTAAAATCTACCAAGTTTCCGCCAGAATTCAATCTGAAGGTGGACATGCAAAAGGTCAATGCTGAGGTGATGAAGAAGTACGCTATCCCAAGCTCCGCATACAAGCTCGCGAATCATGTTGCTAATGTGTTGGCAGATGGATTGCAAGTAAGATATCAGGAATCCTGGGGAATGAAGATGATGTGGTCATTGAATTATGCTACAATCTGATTGAAGGTGCCCGATTCGTGAGTTCTACTACCTTCCGAGGGTTCACGTCCTGAGCTAATGGTCTCCAGCCGGATATCAAGACGATGCAGATACAGCTTACGGGGTTCCTGGATAAGGATACTGCGAGCTTCTGTAAGGAATTGTGGAAGTTGTGTTTGAGCGCGCAGAGTAATCCGCAGGGCGTTCCGAAGGAGTTACTCGAGGCCAAGAAGTTGGAACTGATTCAGGAAAAGGTACTTCCATCTCCCTCTGAGACTTCCAATTCATTTCTATACTAACTCGTATCTAGATTGAAGCAGAGAAATCCGCAGAATTAGCCCGCAAGCGTCGCGACGATGAACAAACTCGAGAGCGCGACATTAATACAATCCGGAACCGGGAAAGGCGAGATCGTGGTCGCGGAGGACCAGGTCCAAGGGTTGATAGCTGGAGAGGCGGTCGAGGAGGACGTGGTGATGATAGGAATCGGGACTTTGATCGAGGGCCTACTCGAAGAGACATGGATCGTCGTGCTCCGCGATATTCAAGATCTCCAAGGCGCCGTCCTGATTCCAGAGATCGCTCCTTCCGACCTCCTCTTCGAGAAGCTGATACCTATGTGCCTCGTGGACGTGGAGTACCTAGACGCGATGACCGACGAGATATCAGAAGGGGAATTTCTCGCTCACCTTCACATAGTCGCTCAATTTCAAACTCGCGCTCCCGATCTCCACCTCGACGTCGTTATCGTTCACCATCCAGATCTAGTTCTCCGCCTCGAAGACGCAGATCCAGATCCAGATCTCGGACTAGATCACCAGATAGACGAACCACATATAGAGGACGGGGCGGAAGAGGTAGAGCTAGAAGTCCAGATCGTGGGAACCGTCGTCGGAGATCACCAACTTTGTCTGACAGCTCACGTTCACAATCTCCTCGACCCTCCAAGAGACGAAGGGCTACTTCTGAATCAATCAGCCGTTCCCCACCACCAAGAAGAGCACGTCGGAGAAGTTCTAGTTCAGTACCGAGTTCCAGATCAAAATCTAGACCCAGATCTGTATCGAGAGCGAGAACCAGGCCTGGCTCTATTTCTCGGTCACCCAGCCGTAGCCCTATTCGCAAAACAACCGACAGTAGAGACATAAGCCCTACGCCGGACGATAGAGAGACAGGGACTCCTGCTCGTAAGAGTGTTGAAAATGACGAACGACGGCTAACTCGAAGCAACAGCCGTAGCACAACCCCCCCTCGACGAAGATGCCGTAGTTCAACAAGAAGTTCTAGCAGAGGTGGGAGAGACCGAAAACGTCGCCGTTCGATGGAAAGATATGAACCGGCAAAGAGGCGACGAAACACTTCCTCTGTTTCTTCACGAGGCCCGCCGCCAAAAGCCAAAAGAGCTGAATCCGATGACCGGAGTGACCGTGTTTCCCCACCAAGTGCTGCTGAAGAGAAGGAAGAAGAACGAGTAGCTGTACCGGAAGAGGTTGGTAGTGCTTCATAATATATAATGAAGCATCGCTTTTCTACTCAGCGGCATGGGGGAAAAGTTTATATTTTGGAGGGAAAAGATTGACATGCTTGATAATGGCTGACTTTCGGATGAATAACCAGTTGAAGAGTCCACAACAACAAGCCAACGAGCTTCGCGAGAAGCTGCTGAAGGAGAAGATCAAGAAGATGAGAAAATCTAGTATGGAATCCCTGGAGAAAGGCTCAGGCTAACGTGCAAATGAGGAACCTGCTCGGACCTACTCTTTTTCCTTTTCTGGTTTTTTTCTTTTGAGGTGTACCGCGCTGGGTTTGGGATTAGCATAGGAAGCAGAATTGAGATACATTTTTATATTGAGATAGTTTGATGGCGATGTGATGTGATTTGACCTTGATTTGATATACTGTGATATCTACTCTAGGTGGGTTTATTGGTCCGGAAAGATGTGTCTGTTTTGATGGAACAAGTATGGACAAAATCATAATTCGATGTCTGTCTAGTCATATTCAGTCCATTGGCTTTCATCTCATGGCCAAAGGTAAAGTCATCATCATATCATGGTGGAAAGCTGTATGGTACTCTACCATTCCTGCTGTAAAGAACTGAAGTCAATCATCCAGATTTGATTTCGTTTCTTGTACAGTATCCTAAACCACTGAAGAATATAATCTTACAGTAGTGAAAACATAGACTAGCGAAAACAAATGGACTAAAAGAATCTCCTCATCTTTTGTGAGGGTAGAGGGGTGTTTGGGGTTGTACTATGTGATTTTCGTATGTGTTGTTGTGTTGGTTTTACATAACTAGGTAGCGTAATGAGGTAATGAAGTAATGAGCGGGGGTCTCACGCATTCTTTATTTGGAAAAGGGGAGATGCTGGAGTGGAGTGCTATTGGGTTGAGATGGGTGTTTTTTGTTGTTGTTGGGTTGGTGAGGTGGTGATGTTTGTAGTACTCACGTAACCTATGAATTGGAGGAAAGGGATAGGTAAAGGGGGTGGATGGTGGGAGAATAGTTGTAGGGGGCCCGAGAATCTAGAAAGTAAGAAAGTAATTTGGAAATGATTTATTCTCTGATTAGAAAACTCGATCTTATATATTACGAAGCCAACTAGGTAGTAGACTTATAGTACTTGTACGACCTCGGGAGTACATCCACACGCGATAGCAAAGCTCCCGATAAGGCCTTGGCACCCATCCGTCGCGTCGTCCCATCCAAAGCTCACACACCCTTCAAAATCCACAACCTCCCAACTCCTCCAAACCAAATTTCCCCCCAAAAAATGGCAGAAACAACAGCACCACCCCCCGCGGTCTCCCTCCCTCCATCCAACAACAACACCAGCACCAGCACCGACATCCCAGGGCAGCCGTTCTACGACCGCACCAAGCAGCACCTCAAAGAGCTGCTCCGACGGAAACAGATCCTGGAGCGGAACCTGCAAGCCACGGAGGAACTCATATATAAAAACGAGACGGAGTATCTAGAGGATACGCCCGCGGGGAATATCATCATTGGCTTTGAGGGGTATACGAAAGGCACGGGGGCGGTGGTGGGTGCGGGACGGAGGAAGGGGAATGTGGTGGAGGGGAATAGGGTTTTTAGTCGGTGTAGTGTTTCTTTTGGGCCGGCTGTAGGTTTTCCTCTTTCGTTCTTGCTTGGTTCTTTTATCTTGTTTGGTTTTGGTTCTGGTTTGGTTTTGGTTCTGGTTTGGGAGCAATTGTGAGTAGTAGTGCTGATCAAACTATTCTCTACCCCAGGATTCCCCAAGTAACACAGCGACTTCGACGCCTTTACCTGCGAACGTGCCGACGCCCATATCCACCAATCTTGGAAGAGGAGAAGGCGGCTCGAGTCAAGCGACGCCGACGAGTGCGAGGTCCGTCTCGGGGATGGGCAAGAGTGCTGGGAAGAAGAATAAGAAGACTGGGGACGATAGTGATGGGGAGGGGAGTGCGGTGAAGAAGATTAGGACGAATTTTGGGGCGGTGAGAAAGTAGGGAGTAGGAGGGTGGTGTTTGTTGCTTTGGAGTTGGTTTTTGGGGTTGGTTGGGCTGGATAAGGAGGACTGGCCCTGAACTTGTGTGAGTGAGTACTGGTAAAGTCCAAGGGGAAGTATGGAAGGGAGTTTACGCGATCCTGAAACGAGCGTTGTACCACAATTGCGAATGTTGTAGAATTGTTACTTAGATGGCGCTGGAATTGGGATGGGTATTGGTGTTTGGAGTTGGTGGCTATTTTGCTATTGTTGCTTGCGAGGCTTGCATGGAGCGGATGTAAAATGTATGAATATTTTAGTTTTAGATCACTGAAAGGAAGACCATACTAGAAACTTCTTACGTTAACTTACGCTAACAATTCAATGTCTATTTTCAGTTAAATCTCTGCTATGGAACTTCCTCATCACTATCATCTCCAAAGCCAAAACTGAACCCACCGTTCGTATCTTCTTCCTTCCCAACTGCCAGATCCCATTTTCTCTTCCTACCCTCAGCCTGTTTAGTCAACTCTTCTAGTGCTTGCTCCAACAAATCCGGATGCTGTTTTCTCATCTGATCTATGAAAAGTCCATAAGGATCAGTGACGTCTTTCTTAAATCCAGAAATTCGATCGGATGTGTCGTCTCTCATGAATGAGATAACGCTAGGTAAGTGACTGCGGGGAACGAAGTTTTGGGTAATAGCAATGCTGTCGTCAAGATTTACTACTAGATGCCACCACCCACTAGGAACATGGAGAACCTCTCCTTCACCACAAACGCCCTCACAGCATCCTGGTGTCCTTCTAGCTTCGGCGTGGAATTCTAGAAGCCATTCTGCAATACTAAGAGGGCTCGTGACTTCGCTCTGGTCCTCTGAAACGTATACTCCTGGTGGTGGTGGACTCGAAGGGCCGGAAGGAAACATGATCCAGTATTTGGAGCCTCGTAATACTGCATTCCATGCACTTGTAGCATTGGGATCTTTGTGATATGTAGAACCACTGCGGGCTGGACCGATGATAAGCCATTTGTCGTCTGGTCGTTGGTCGCCGAGGACCGCGAAGAGATCTTCGCCAAAGCATTCGGGAACTTTGTAGGATGGTGAGTCTTTGCCGACTTGGAGGTTCATCTTCTCGACGAAGCTTCTGTCGAATAGGTAGAGAGGGCTTTCATCGGCACTGTTGCGCATGTAACGGGCGTAGGTATTCAAAGACCAATCCACTGCTTCGGCTCGGAATTTGACATCCCCATATTGCTCCAAGAGGTACTCAATATCCCAGGTCTTGAAGACTGGCCATTGGCGAACTGGTTCTGTGAGAATAAAGGGTTTGTCGCTCCAAGTGTCTGAGAATTCTGATGGAGAGAGGTTTTTGAGGCGAGGAATTGCATTTTTAGCAGGGATGTTTGAACTGTATGGAAGCAGCGATGTGTGGGTACAGAGAAAGGGTCTGAATAAGACATCTGAGAATACATTGTCACATTGGATCTGTGAGAGATGTTCTTTACTCATGGAAAGAAATGTAGAGCGCCATGTTCCTCGCCAGACGAAAGAACCACTAAAGGATCTTGGTGATCTGAATGTCAATTAGTATGGTAATTACTTGCAAATAAAATTCCAAAATCCCACCAGTTTGCTATGACAAAAAAACGATATCACCTACTCAATGAACAGGGTCTTCCACACGTCATCTGATCTACAGAAAGCATACAGAAACTTGCATGTAGACCCTAGCAAACACAATTGGCTGGCATCAAGATATTCCAAGAAAATTGCAATAACTTCATCAGGGAATAGTTGAAATGAGCCAATAGAAGTTCTGGCATTTGAAGTAGCCGTATACAAGTTCCCAGTCGGCTTGACCGCTAAGGGATGAATGGGAATCGTCAGAGGTGACTCTTCCAGCAAGTTACCCATAGACGCCTCTTGTTGTGACTCAAGGTCAGCGCCACCACTGGGATGGATGGACGTCTTTGTGTTAAGTCCGTCGCAAACATCCGCTGGAAGTATGGATGATTTCATCTTGTCAGCGAACAGTTCGTCGTTGGCTGTTTGTTTGTCTCTTTCTGATCTATTTAAGTTGTCGTGGTGAAGGTGCCCACAGCCCGCTTTCCAAGATATAGGTGGGTCTTGCGTTGGAGGGGGTGGAAGAGGGGTTAGAGGGAGAAAGATGAAGCAGATTCAACGTGAATAGCCTCACGATAGGGCTATCAAATGACGAAAAAAATAGAAGACTAGGCCTAAAAGAGTAACATCGTCGGTTATAGTGCTCACTATCTTTATCCACCTACCTAAGGTAGGCGCGACCCATCGTAGTGAATTCTTATTCGCATCAAAAATCAAAATCTTTGGTCCCGCCCCTCGCTAAACTTTGGCCCGCCCGCGCTACTGTAGAAAAAAGAGCATCCTGTCCCCAACTTAAGACCTCCTCTCCCTCCTCCATCAATCCGACATACCACACAACAACAAACACACAATCACACATCACACAACCACTAGAACCGACACAACTCTCGAGATTCGAGAGTCTGGATTCAGTCTTACACTTACAACAGCTTCCTTCACGACGTCACAGGTCTCTTTCAGAGATTTTTCTGCGCCTCGAACCCCACCTTGACCACCGACATTTGCGAATTCTAGGTCTCAAGCAGCGCTCGCGATCTAGTTCCATCTACCTAAACCGCAATCATGGCTGACAAAGGTCTTGAAGAGATCCCAGAGGGTAAGCATCTTGCGCATGTCCCTCAAAGCGCGGACGCTGGCGCTGGCACACCACTGTGCCGGCAACGGCTCCCTTGATTTACATCCTACCCCTTTGAAAGAAAAGTTGCTGATGTCCATTGTCCTCCAGGTCAAATCGAGTCCAACTATGACGAGACCGTCGATTCCTTCGATACCATGAACCTCAAGGCAGAGCTTCTCCGAGGTAGGTTACAACTTGCAGAATTTTTTGGGACGAGCTGGTGGGGTTAACAAAAATGCAGGTGTCTACGCCTATGGTTTCGAGCGTCCATCTGCCATCCAGGCTCGTGCTATCATGCCAGTCATCAAGGGTGAGTCTCAATTCTATATCAAACCATGATATCCGAATCTAACTTCAAAAGGTCACGATGTGATTGCACAGGCCCAATCTGGTACCGGAAAGACCGCCACCTTCTCCATCTCCGTCCTTCAAAAGCTCGACCCAAATGTCAAGCAATGCCAGGCTTTGATCCTCGCCCCAACCCGTGAATTGGCTCAGCAGATCCAAAAGGTCGTTGTCGCCATCGGTGACTTCATGAACGTCGAGTGCCACGCATGCATTGGTGGTACCTCTGTCCGTGACGACATGAAGGCTCTCCAAGAGGGTCCTCAAATCGTTGTCGGTACCCCAGGTCGTGTCCACGACATGATCCAACGTCGTTTCTTGAAGACCGACTCCATGAAGATGTTCGTTCTCGACGAGGCTGATGAGATGTTGTCCGTAAGTACAAATTCACTCTCCCTGATTTTCGCACACACTAACAATAATTTAAGCGTGGTTTCACCGAGCAAATCTACGATATCTTCCAACTCCTCCCACAATCCACCCAGGTCGTTCTCCTCTCTGCCACCATGCCACAAGATGTCTTGGAAGTTACCACCAAGTTCATGCGCGACCCAGTCCGTATCTTGGTCAAGAAGGCTGAACTTACTCTCGAAGGTATTAAGCAATTCTACATTGCCGTCGAGAAGGAGGATTGGAAGTTGGACACTCTCTCCGATCTGTACGAGACCGTCACTATTACCCAAGCTGTCATCTTCTGCAACACCCGCCGAAAGGTCGACTGGCTTACCGACAAGCTCACTGCCCGTGATTTCACTGTCTCCGCCATGCACGGTGACATGGACCAAACTCAGCGTGATCTGATTATGAAGGAGTTCCGTTCCGGTTCTTCTCGTGTCTTGATCGCTACTGATCTTTTGGCCCGTGGTATTGATGTCCAACAAGTTTCCTTGGTCATTAACTACGATCTCCCAGCCAACCGTGAGAACTACATCCACAGAATCGGTCGTGGAGGTCGTTTCGGACGAAAGGGTGTTGCTATCAACTTCGTCACCGCCGAGGATGTCCGTATGATGAGAGAAATCGAACAGTTCTACAGCACTCAAATCGAGGAGATGCCAATGAACGTCGCTGATCTTATTTAAACGAGTCAAACGAATTTCATTTCTTCTGGTACATCACCGTCTTTGCATACCTGGTGTTTAAAGAAAACATCACTGCTTTGACCCCTCCAAAAGGGACGTGATAGTGAGCGCTGCTGGTTCGCCCGGTGGCGTGAGGAAAAGGGATAATTTAGGGGCAAAAAAGGTTGCTGCATATGGGTATGCAGCTCATTGATTCTCGCGCAAAAATGACATCTCGGGCATTAGATGCTTGGGGGATGTTTCTCGCTTTTCCGTCGTCTCATACTGTATTTAGGGATGCTTATTGGTCATTGAGGAAGCTACCATCATCGATCTCGTTTTCGGAATTCATGACACTTGGTCACGAGCTGAAGGTGGAACGAATGCAGGTGGTTACTGGCGTTGTCCTATTTGTGATAGATCGAGGCAAAATGCAAAAAAACAAAAATAACCCCTTTTGGTTCATTGGTGACGTGAGGTGTATTTTGAGAGTGCTTCGAATTGTAGTTGTAGATCCTGTTTGCATACCTGTTGAAGAGAGGATTCTCCAATCTTTTCATGAATAAGCGAGATTTCAGGATCGGAAAAGCGGTCGGTATCGTTCTTGTTCATCATGGTGGGGCTTGACTCTTTGCTTTGCACCGTAGGTGTATTTGTCCAAGAGCCAGTTTCAGTAGCGATGTTTCGAGTTTCACGGCTAGAGCAAGAGAATAGTCTCAATAACCAAATGAGCAGGATTGCTCTCTTCCTCCTGAAGTCGTTGGTTGGGTTTGTGAGGCTGTGCTGTGCCGTGAAGGGCAGGCAAATGGGCCACAATCCCATGGATCTCGGGATTTATTTTCACTCCGCCCACCGGTTCGCTACCGATTCCCGGAAGGCCGAGAGAGGGAGAGAATTTTACCCCGCCGAGCCGAGGACCCTAGCTAAAGTATTGGATGGTGTACAGTACTTACGAAGTACGAGGTAGAAGCAATGTCCACCTCGCAACCCTCCCACCCCCAATTGTGGCGTCTGGCTTTTGAGGGTGGAAATGTTTGGACTGGTATGTGGGTGACGAGGTGAGGGGGATTGGTTTTATGGGATGGAAGGAGGTGGGGGAGGGGAGGGGCAAAGGGAGGGAGGGGGTTTTTTTTGTTGCATGTCGCGGTTTGGATCCCACTCGGGGGCCGGTGGGAGTTCGTGTCTCTTTTCTTTTTCCTTTTTGTTGTTGTTGTTTGGGGTTTTTTTCGGATGGGCTGTGGGCGGGTGGTGTGTTTGATGGGCTGGCTGGCTGTCGGCGTGGGTTGTGGGAGGGGGGGCAGCGTAAGGTTTTTGGGTGGGGCGGACGGATATGAACGGGATGGTTGATGCGAGGGATGGACTGGTGGATTGATGGGCTGGTGGGGGGATTGTGTGGTGGGAGGTGAGTTGTGTTTTGGTGTTTTGGTGTTTTGGTATTTCTGTTTTGATTTGCTGTGCTTGTACTGATGGTTATCTATCTATGGGATTCGTGGGGGTTGTAGAGTAGAGCGTTCGGATGGTATTGGATAGTTGAGGTACAGTAGCGTTGAAACAAATCTACTGAACTACTCAACTCCTCGAGTTGAGTTGATTGAGTATGGATAGGTGTTTTCCTTGAGTTGAGATGAGTAGCGATGTTCACTACTCGAATCTTAAACGCTGCGTTTAGGGAAGGGTGGGAAGGTTATTAGACTATTGAACGTCGAGTAACTTATCGCTACGATCTTTCTTTCTATTCTTTTCTCCACGACATGAAGATAAACCGCTTTTAGCAACTAGTACTCGATTACTTATCAGTTACGTACGTACATACATTTGACTATTGGGAGTTGACTCGCATAGTAAAACCCGTGGAATCTTTAACCGACAAGCCAGGGACTTTGCTCCCTGTAAAGCAAGATTTCATATGCTTTTAACTGTGCTATACTTACTTATACTGCGACTCGATCATCATGTCACCATTCGATATGTAGTTCCCATTTCCGGGCTTCCATATCTACCTTTTAGAAGCAGTTCAGTCTCATTTCATTTCATTCCTTTGCTTTCGACATTCACACAATCCTGTGCTACTAGTCCGAGAGGGACGAAATAGAGCTAGTAGTCAGTTGCTGCAAACACAGGACTTATAAGGCTAGGAAAACAACAAGAACAGAACAGAGACATCAGAAAACATTAAATTCCATACTTCACTACAAATATAAACAAGAAAGGCACAATATCAATCTCCAAATCACCACTAATTTCCTCACCCATGATATTTTACTCAAATTTTGATCCCAGCAACACCCTTCGGCAAATTCCCTTCTTCATCCGCAACGCCACTATACTTGTTGATCCATCCAAGAACCTCCCGATGCCACACCAATGAGTTCTCTGGCTTCAAGACCCAATGATTCTCATCGGGAAATGTCAAAAACTTACTCGGAACCCCTTTGGTCTGGAGTACATTAAAAGGCGCCAGACCCTCACTAATAGGAAGTCGATAGTCCAATTCATTATGAATGATCAAATGTGGTGTAGCCCATTCCTTCAAATGCTGCGCTGGATCCCACTTCTCGTAGCCTTCTCTGTTCTCCCAAAGAGTTCCGCCGAAATCGTGGTGGGGGAAGAATAGTTCTTCTGAAGAGTACTGGTTTAGAGTACTGAAAACTCCATCGTGGGTTACTAGCGCTTTGAATTTGCGGCCGAGAGGGTGGCCTTGGATCCAATTTACCATGTAACCACCGTAAGAAGCTCCTAGGGCTACTGCTCGAGTTGTGTCAATGTAGGAGAAGTTGGATTCTATGTGTTCAAACCCAGCGACGAGGTCCAGGTATGGGCGACCTCCCCAATTATTCCTGATGCCATTTTGGAATGCCATTCCGTAGCCTGTACTGCCGGTTGGATTGGGAGTTACGACAATATAACCTTGCTCAGCGAAGATGGCGGGATTCCATCTTGTTGACCAGGATTCATTCCAAGCTCCTTGCGGCTAATAAAGAGTCAGCAATAAAGCCGACAAATAATGAAAATATGTAGGGAAACAATGAGCAGAGCAAGAAATTGCTTAAATTGCTTGTTATGGCCCGTTGGAAATAGGAAATATAGGTGGGGGAAAGGACTTACGCCTCCATGAATTAAGTATGCCAATGGATATTTCTCTCCTTCTTTATAGAAAGATGGCTTGATGATCCAAGCGTGCACATTATATTCTCCTGCGCCCTTGTACCAGAATTCATCTACCTGGTTTTGTGACAAACCAAATAATAAGCCGCCCTTGGTGCTTGACGAGACAGTTGAGCGTTTCTTAGGATCCTTGGGATCGATAATAGAGTACATACTGTTCTCTACGAGAGAAGTACTGTTAACAAAGAGCTCTTTATTGGGCAAAACGGAGACTTCCTGAACAGATCCATCATTTGTAAGCGAAATAGGAAGATCTTTCGCATGCCGGGGAGAAGAAGGAAGCTTGAAAAGTTTTCCTCGGCCATTTTCTTCTGCTGTAACGTAAAGCTCCTCGCCGTCCTTGCTCCAGACGATGTTTTCTGCTCTCAAATCCCATCCGCCCTCTCCGTCCGAGGTTTCATAGAATTCTTGGACATTGGCTGTATCTGTTATGTCTGGCACCAATAGCAATCTTGGTTTGTCACTTTCATACTGGTCACTCTTCATTCTCGTGAAAGCGACAGACTTGGCATCGGGAGAGAATACTGGTCCATTACTGTATCCCTTTAGACTTCCAGTCTTGATCAGAATTGGTGGTGGAGACTGAAATTCGTCGAATGTTTTCAAGGCAATATAATAAAGATCCGTTTTTGTATGATTTGCGGGATCAAGCTTGGGATCTTTTGCCACAAAAACAATTCCATTCTTGCTGATATCAAAGTCTTCCGTTCCACCAAAAGGAGGAACTGGGGACTCGAGAGTAACTGAATGACCAGCCAAGGTGTTCCTCAAAGGTCCTGCGGCCGCATTGAGACCCCCCTGCAGAGATATAGTTGCGTACCAAATGGAGCTTTTGTTTTCTGTGATGTACGCGTCCCATTCGCGAACAAATAGCTTCGAATAGACTCTGCCACTAGACCTGGGCTTTTCAGACATTTCAGAATTGTATAGTGTGCCATCAGGTGCGGCTAGAGCAGTGACAACGATGGCTATGGTCTCGTCGTTAAGTGCGATGGCTTTGAGGTTCGAAACAGACCCATTGAAGGCGGTAACCAATTTCGGCCTGCTAGGGTTAGTAATTGGATTCTGAAGACGAAGGGAGGCCTACTTCAACTCCAAACGATCTACATTGGCAAGATAAAGTTCTGTTGTGCCTTTCGCTGCACCCTTCAACCACAAGGCAAGGTTGGCTACCCCAACCCAAGTTGGATCACTGGCACCTAGATCATTGCATAGCAGATGTGTCTGACCGGTCTTGACATCCAGAACCCGAAGCTCATTACTTTTCTTGTGCGATTCGAATGAGTATGAGGAGACAGAGAAGAGAGCTAGAGTTCCAGCAGGATTCGGTGTAGCTGCTGAGCGGCGAGGGGCAGCTAGCAAGACCTCTGGTGTGAACCTCTTGGTTACAACAACGGTCATGTTTGCTGGCAGTACTGTGGAGAAGGACTCTGAAAGAATAGGTAGAGGAAGAGGAATGCTTTTGGATTTGGCAATTGCAAAGAAGATATCAAGACCGAGAACGCACAGCGTACTTATACCAGAGGCTGTGATGTGCTGTAGGAATGGAGAAATGGGGCAATGGGGGATGTAGAAGCTCCGTACGAGTACTTTGTACTAGTGACGCTATTCGCCTGCACCCCAACCCCTCACCTCGCCCGCCTCGCTAATCCACCTGCACATGGGCATGGATGGGCTTTGCTGACAGGGATAGAAACCCCATCAGCCACACCTCACTTCCCGGGCGGCCTTAATGGCCTTTTACAGTACTAGTGCAGTACAATATTGGACATCACGCCCGTATATGGCGCCCTGGTAATTGACAACACCACACTTAACGCACATCGACCACTTCTGCAACTGGATCTCGAACACCCAAGAGGGCTTGCGGGGCCTTGAAGGCATCTTTTGCTGACCCATCCGCCCATCTGCCAACACATCTGCATCTGCATCTACCTTGCGATGCTTTCCAGATCACCATCTTCCTCTGGCTTGCTCCCCCTCCCAGGCTCACCAGGTTCATCATGGGCCATGTACAAAGCCAGATTCAAGGGATTGTTCAGTGGCGCAGATACATCGGTATTGGCAGCTTTTTGGCTGTTTGGTATGTCTTCTCCTCGATATGGGAATGCGGAAAACGGAATACCTATAATCCTTATCTATATAATTCTCCAAGAACACAAACACCACTAACACCCACTAATAGGCCTCATAAATAACCTTTCATATGTGATAATCCTCTCTGCTGCCCAAGATCTTGTCGGTCCCGATGTCCCAAAATCAACTGTCCTTCTCGCAGATGTCCTCCCGTCCTTCTTCACGAAACTCGTAGCACCTTACTTTATTCATCATGTCCCATATCGGCTGCGTGTACTTGTTATGACTGGCCTTTCAGTAGGAGGAATGTTTATAATTGCTCTCACGCCCAATTCTGTACCAGTAAAACTCTTTGGGGTGGCATTGTCGAGTCTAAGTAGTGGTGCTGGAGAGCTGAGTTTCCTAGGATTGACACATTATTATGGTTCCTTCAGTTTGGCGGCGTGGGGTTCAGGAACAGGAGGGGCTGGCCTTGCTGGGGCGGGCATATATGTCTTTTTGACAAGCACATTGGCTCTCAAGGTTAAGACGTCTTTGATGGTGTGTGCCTGCTTGCCCTTCATCATGCTTATATCGTTCTTCCTCATCTTACCACTTGGGCCCTTGAAACGGGTATCCATGGCAAAAGACTACACGAACTTGCCAAACGATGAACCACCGACCATAATACGAGAAGATTTCGACGACCAAACTATTTCTACTCTTCCCATTTCCGCTGTTTCTGAATCACTTCTAGCCCCAGGCCCTTCAACCACATCAGAAGCATACAGAACCCACTCACCACGCCCACACTCTCCAACTGCCTCTCACCGCACCAGAAACACATTCAAAGACAATTTCCGCCGCGCTCGTCTCCTATTCTTCCCCTACATGCTCCCCCTCTTCCTAGTCTACGTTGGCGAATACACAATCAATCAGGGCGTCACACCCACACTTATCTTCCCCCTCCCCTCAACCCCCTTCAAAGCATACCGCTCCTTCTACCCCTTCTATGCCCTCCTCTATCAACTTGGCGTCTTCGTCGCTCGCTCATCCACCCCCTTCATCCGTCTCCACCAGCTCTACCCACCCACCTTCTTACAGATTCTAAATCTGATCCTTCTTCTTACTCACTCAATGTACTTCTGGATTCCCTCTGTGTATCTTGTCTTCCTGATCATATTCTGGGAAGGATTGCTGGGTGGAGCGGTATATGTAAATACCTTTGCAGAGATCATGGAGAAGGTTCCGGAGGGCGAGAGGGAGTTCAGTCTGGGTGCGACTAGCGTAAGTGACAGTGCGGGGATTTGTGTGGCAGGATTTATTGGAGTGGGTTTGGAGCCTTGGCTGTGTGAATTTAATGTTCAGGCTGGGAGGAATTGGTGTCGAGAGATGGGAAGTTAGAATCTGATGGATTTGATGATTGGTATTAGGAGTTTTTGAATATAGAGGAGAATGTTTTCTTGGCGTTTGGGATGTCTTATACCACTATTTCTGCTTTAGTAGTTCGACATGATGATGGACTTTTACTTGTGTCCTCCAATTTTGGAATACAAAGCGTACTTCCAGCAGTTCCTCGGTCTCCCGCACTCTGCGAGAAAAGTACAACAGGTGGTAACTTCCTATAAACCCATTCTCTCCTCCACCCAAAGAAAACAAGATCCATCCATCCTTATCCCAAGACTCAAGAGTCAAGCAGAATCCTCAAACCATAACAAGCACCACTAAGATTTCACGACGTGCAACAAACGCAAATAGCCTTCGTACAGTACAGTCCTTGAATCTGAGGATATAAGATTTTGTGAAAGGCTTGATTCGTAAGCCTAAGTTTGGTTAGTCTGTCTTTTGATGACAGGTCAGAGTGGTGTTGATTGGCTGGGTAGATATATAGATACTGTAGTTTTTTGGGATTAGATGGTGTGGAGGAGTTGATGATTTGGTATTGTGAGTTCTGGGTTGGGTTTTATGATTTGGTTGTTTGGGGGGTTATGGGTGTGGTCGGGGTGGTGGTGGTGGTGTTGGATGGCTGCCTGACTGACTGATTTATTGATCTCTACTGTAGGAGTTTGTCGCTTTCTTTCTTTCGCTATTCTTTGCTACTTAAAGTAATTTGTAAAACTAAGATTCCGAGGGTCGGAGGGAAATAGCGAGAGATATCTCTCTCGAGATAGGTAGGTAGCCTGTTGAAAGCTCTATGCTCATGGTATTCTCAGTGTAAGTTACGTCCAAGCCACCATACTCGAGTATTTGGTTAGTCAGATTCCCCTCTTCAAACACGCTCAAACATTTCCCCCGATGAGATTGGTATCACTACTTGGATTCCTTTTGAGGGGTTAACGTTACTACCAACATGTCTTGAAACGCGGAATACAAATCCTTCGAGAATTCGGTGACAAACGACTGTGACGACATCAGTTAAAGATTGTGCCTTGCACTCGGTTATTGAATATGCATGTTTCTTTGCATGTTGGTTGGGTTGGTCGGTTCCTATTTACGGACCTGAAGTACAGTATTTGATCCTTTACCCCACAAATGGACGGGAAGTTGCCTTGCATACAGTAGTAGTACCATGTTTCGCTATCGATACGACGTTCTTTCTTGCCGGAATAGAATTTTCGCTAACAAAGAGAAAGGAGAAAAGAGATGGAGTGCAGGACTGGAAATGAAACTGAAAGGATGGTGAGTGATCAGCGCGAGTAAGTGTTTGGATGTTGGTGGGAGATTTGATGGGAGGGGGGTTTGCGGTGTTGGTGTTGTAGATTGCCAACGAAATTTGGAATAGATTGAGGCTGCGGCAAGAAAGGTGGATTTGCAGGTTACTTGGTATCTGTTACATGGTTCAAGTAAACGTTCGCTTGTGGTGGAGAGGTACTATTATACAGTAAAGAGGAACTCGAATTGAAGGATCAGACGTTGGGGAAGTCAGATCGGCAATTGTCCAATCGCAGCTTCGTCCATCTACTGGTAGCACAGAAATGACATCGTGAGCCTGAGGTCGCAAATTTGCACAGTACGACCAACTTCAGACAACCGCAGCAACTCAAGCCTGAGAGACAGAGGTCAGTCTCATTCTCACCCTCATCAGCACCACTCGGTATAGCGCTATCCGCTCTCCAGCCTCGACAAGGGGGCCCTCAAGGCCGGCCGCCCACCCGCCTTATGCCTCGCGATGGCCTGGCCTGAAGGATTCGAGGGGCAGATGAGCTTAAGATGATGTCGTAGAAGTAATACCGACGGCCCATCGCACCGTGGAAAGGACATGTTGAGTCAGCGATGGGCACGTCGTAATTGAAGCCTTTCAATCGCAGGCATGCGATAGGGATTCTGATGATATCAGACTGGAACGGAGCTCATCAGGTACGAGTTATTATTGTCTTGGATTTCGAGCCTCAGAGGAAAGCTGGGGTTTTTTCCTCTCACGATAGTACGAGAAGGAGGCTGAGTAAGGTCACTGTAAGATGCGGCCAAACTCAATTTCCTGTGCATGCCCAGCCAGCTAAGCAGGTCAGTTTTTATTTCAACATTGAATTGTATGCTTTTAATTCAGTTTTACGTGCCTTGAATTTTTGAGGCTCAACGATCGCCCTACCGGTACCTTCGTACAGTGTAATTTGAGTGAGGAATGTGTGTGTTAATGTGCCCCTGAAAATCTCCTTATCACGGCTGATATGGTTCATCAGCTCCAAGAGAAGCGAGAAATGACAAGACTTTCTTTCCACTCTTGCTAACTGCCAAACTGCCCCAACTACCACTCATAAGCCTCATTGGACTTGCTACAAGTCACATCCAGGTACCGCTGAAGGGACCCGTAGAAACGATGGGGATGAGGCTGCGAGCTGCTGCAAAATCCACGAACCTGCAGCTTTCGCATGCAGGTTACTTCGGGTAGTTGAATGCAGCATTTGGATTGGCCGCCACTGGTTGGGACCCGAAATCTGGGTAAACCACCCGTTCGACCCCAATCAACAACCCCTTGATGTCAGCATCTTCTCCTTGTCACTCACAAGACGAATCCCTCAGATCCTTCCATATTTGAAGTCTTTCCTATTCAGTATGTTCTCTCGGGGACTCCTGTAGGGGTACGCACAAAGACAAACACCCACACTATATTTCTTTCTTCTCATTCGCTCGGTTTGGCTAAGCGAGCCTTCTGGAATGCCACCTTCATGTATTCTCAACACCTGGTTGGCCTAGACGATGTTCTTGGAAGCATTCGAGGCCTAGCCGTGCTTTCCCAAGTGGGTATACTGCTGAAAGAAATTCTCCGCGTTTACAGTTTCAAATCTGGTGGCGTCGAGTTGCTTCTACCCCAGGGGGTTTGTGGTTCAGTACATGTATGAGGCGATTTATTCGCTGTCTTTCGTTTTCTCTCTCTCATCCAGCAATCAGATCCAAACGCCTTCTATAGGTTCATTACATTCCTTCAGACACATACATTCCTTTCTCAAAGACTCTCCGTCTTATTCTCTCTCATCAACAAGATGGCTTTCACTTCTGCGCTTTTGCTATTGCTTTCACTTGCTTCTCAATCTTTGGCCCTTCCTGTAGCACAGGGTGCTGGGGTTTCTACCACAAAAGCATTTGACGATGGAATGTGGCATCCTTCGACTGCAATTGCAGCAGCATCTAGCCCAACATCTGTCCAGGTTCCTGCAATCTCAACTACAGTAGCTACTGGCACGACGCCAACCATTTCCACCAAAACCTCATCCACCAAGTCTTCATCGACACCAACTTCAGGTGGTGGATCTCCATCTACCGGCCCAGTCACATACAAGAAATTCAAAGGAGATGGAAGTGTTGCCCAGGGATGGCCAGCAAAGAGCAAGTGGATTACATTTGAAGATATGTATGTTAAAACTGAACATAAATCCATACCATAAGCATACTGATCAAACTTAGGTGGGCTCGTCAAAAGCCTATCATGGCCAAATCCTGTTCATCGCAAAATCACGCTGACAACTCCGAAGCTGAGATGTCTCAGATGAAGGCCACCATTCTCGCCGAATCAGCAAGTAGCGAAGTTGACGCTCGATTTATCCTCGCGACCATCATGGAAGAGTCAACTGGCTGCGTTCGCGTTAAATCGACCTTCGCACCCGATGGCTCAGTCTTCAACCCTGGACTCATGCAAGATCACAACGGTGAAGGAACTTGCTTCAATACTCCAGCCCCATGTCCAGAATCCCAGATCAAGCAGATGATTAAGGATGGAACCTCTGGTACTGCGAGTGGTGATGGATTGAAGCAGACGCTTGCGAAATCTGGAGCGTCGGATGCACAGGCTGTGTATATTGCTGCTAGAATCTACAACTCTGGCTCATATGATGGTGGACCACTTGAGAATACTTTGTCGGTTCAAGGATGCTACTCTTCAGACATTGCGAATGTCTTGATTGGTTTCGCGGGCGCGGAAAGTCCTTGCAGGTTGGGGACAGCAGTTGATGCTTAACCGATTCTTTTCTATACTCTCTTTTTTTTCACTTCACAGGCAACGAGATACTCTGGTAGTTTTAGCAAGGGTCAATTTTGGGATTGAGGCGCGATTATATTCTTTTTTGAGGGCTTGGGGATGATACCACAGGAAGGAGAACTGGGGGTTCGCATATGACGAACATGGACAAAAGATGTACGACATTCACAAAGTGTGATGGCTGTTGTCATTTACATATTTGAGAGGAACTTGTTGGTTTATATGGAGTATTTATTGTGTTTGTAAGCGCGTCAAGCGACCAAAAGAATAAACTGTTTTGAATCATGCGTCTGGCCCGTTGTGAACAGCTAAAATGGTTGTCAATCAAATTTCTACTGAAGTACTATCGCAGGATCTTTCATCATTTGACAATTGTTCTACTCTTTTCAACTAATCGTGGTACTCAATGTGATATTGACGGGAGTAACGTGGAGGGAACTTGGCGCCGCTCTTTTTGTCCCACGAGTCTGGTAGCTTTTGGATTTGAGTCATGTTGAAAGATCTGGCCTAATAAATGAATCTTAGCAGTACTTAGTAACCCTTTGGCAGGTTATGCACCAATCAATTTTAACCTTAATACAGAGTAGTACTGAGTAACCTGACATGTGCGCTAAAGCTGAAGACTGGAGCAGGGATATCCCCACCGCCCTGCCTCAATAAGCAGACCCCTACTTGCCTAATTGAGCACTTTTGAGCGCATTATGAGACAGCACAAGCACAGCTCACGAGAATAGTACTACTTACGCAATCCGAGTCCATCTTCATCCAATCTAAGAGACCCTTTACAACAACCACCCGATCATCTAGTCCAGAGCGACAACGAGCATCGCGACGCACCAGAATCTGCAGAAAACCCACGAGTCCGTATTTATAAGTCGAATCAACACCAAATAGCCACGAAACCGCAAACTAGAGCATAACAATGGATCACTCACACATGGATCACTCCATGATGGACCATTCCAAGATGGACCACAGTGCAATGGGCCATGGGTCACCGTCTGCGGAAGCAATGTGCAGCATGAGCGTAATTACTCCCTTCCGCGGCTTCCACTTCCAGCTTTCTGTTCTCATTTCAGTACTCGAGCTAATCTGTGTAATCCCCCGCAGATGCTCTTCACCTGGAACACCAAAAACCTCTGCCTTGTTTTCCGATGGTGGCACATTCAGACCACACCTGGTCTCATCTTCTCCCTCCTCGCTGTCGTCGCCCTCACTGCTGCATACGAGGCCCTGCGATCAATGAGTAGGAGATATGAGAGAGCGGTTAACAGGAAGGTTCAAAGCACACCCAGTGAGTGGCATTTCTATTTATTTTGCTGCTGGGTGAAGCACGATTGACTACGGGATTACCTACATACAAGTGTTATGAGGAAGTGAGGGGATCATTGTGTCCCTGCGAGTCCAAGTGTTCTTTGGACACTGCTTGGCGCATAACCACTTCGGTTCTAGGATAATTAAGTACTATTCGAGAAGCTTTGGAGGAATGGGAGATCGGATCTTCCCGACTACGAATAGCCTTGATAGATGTCCTAGAACAACAAGAGGATTGGGTAATTGTATGCAAAGCTGCAACCGAGTTTCTTGCTTCATACCACCTATCCCGTTTCCATACTCCAAGCTTTTCTTTACCACATGAAAGAGTGATACAAAGACTGAGCATTTTCCGCACCCCCAGCCGTCCTCATCGATGGAGAAGCAATTACTGAGAGAACCCCTTTCCTATGGTCAGGAAAGAACCAGGCCGAAATATCACGAACTGCCCACGTTGTCAAGGCACTATTTTACGCTGTCCAGAACTTTTACGCTTTTATGTTGATGTAAGTTGCACCTACAATCCTTACCCTACCCTATCGTTGGACATGCAAAAGAAAGGAAATACTGACGGGGATGTTGATTGCAGGCTTCTTTTCATGACATATAACGGCTGGGTGATGATTGCGATGGGAATTGGTGCTTTTATTGGTTATTTGATGTTTGGACTTGATACCCCCGCTACGAAGGATAGTGCTTGCCATTAAGATCTTCTTGATGCGTACCTAGCTGCCTCGATATCTGGCTGCAACTTCGGACGGAGACGGGTGTGTGTACAGTACAACAGAAGGTCTCCTGCCCGTATCCCTTCCGGAAGGATTGCTATTGAGATATATTTTGGGAATATTATGGTTTGGGAACAGATGGGATGGTAGATGGTAACTGTCGGAAATGCAGCGTTTTCCTGTTTCTTCTTTTTTTCCCCGAGAGTTGTGATTGAGCGTTCCGTTTATAACATTTCTGATTGATTTATGGCGATGCATGAGAGGGACGTTTTGACTTTATATCTCGTTATTTTGATATATCAACCTACCCAGGTACCGTATACCACCTTCACTATCATAATCCATAAATTGTGTAGGAAAAAGATTCACTGAATCATTTACCCCCCAAATCTTCTGTTGACTACGGAGGTATAAACATTGCATAATCCTCGTCTCTCTTCACTTCTACGAAATATCGTACGTAGAAGTACCTATAAACCCCTTTCCCAATACCCTCTCCTATACTTGAGCATCCCTCCTGCCCACATCCCCTTACCAGTATACATTTACCCTTCAGCCTAACGGACTGGAATAATCTCTACACAGCAAATACGGCATTATGGTCCGGTCTGTTTATCTTTTCTAAGTTATTGTTAAGTTGTTGAGGTTGAGACTGTTGAGCTGGACTTATGTGGTTTGTTTGTTGGGTGGTTGGTGGGTAGGTGGGTGAGGGGGTGAGGGAGTAAGGGAGGGAGTTTTATCAAATGAGTAGAAGATGTAGAAGATGTAGTTAGGTTAATTAGATTACATAGTTTTTTCTTTTTTGTTGAGATTAATGGGATCTTGAGAACTTGGGGTGTAGTGTAAAATCGTATATACGGAGCTATTCAAGAGGCTTTTTTCCGGTCTGTGCATAAGTAAGATTATAGCTTGAAGATTTATTGTATGGAATAGTACTAGGAGCGGTTTCCTTACTTCTATGGTTTACTTCCTCCCCCTAACCTTAGACAAAGGACGAACTTCGTACGGGGTATTACAACTGAAACTTACATTCTACGAAAGCTGCAGCTATTCCCCTTCACAGCCCGCACGCTAACCTCCAATACCCTGCTACCACCCTCAGATATAGAACCAACCCCTCCTAACAATTCTTCTCCCGTCTAAGAAATGATTGTTCTCCCGTCCTAATACAATCCCAAGCCTAATGATTAATAGTAGTTCAAATTTTATGATAGGACAGTGTACCCCTAGAGTATGATGTGCGTTTGAGCCATCCCATTAATGAATGTGGAATTGTGTGGTGGTAAGGGGGCTTGGCTGTAGGGGATGGGTTAAAGGCGGGGAGGGGGATGTAGCATGTCTAGGGTGTGGAAGGAAGGTGATATTGTCTTTTTTTTGAGTTTGTTGGGGTTATGTGAGTTGAGGGTTGGGAAGGATGGGAGATGGAAGATGGGAGATGGAAGATAGGAGATGGACAAGTAGTAGGGATGGGAGAGGATACTACAGGTAGTATGTATAGAATGTAGAAGGTCTTCCCTCAAAGCCATATCACAGTCTTAAAAAAAGCATAATTCAGTCTCCCCTCCATCGCAATAGATGCTTCTGTTCCTCCTTTGTCGCGTGGTGGCGTCAGATTCCAGCGGAAATAAGCGAGCGAAGCTGTTAAACAAGAACAAGATTCCTTGTTTGCACTGCGAACTATTGAAATATTGAGAAAGAAGGTTTGTGTTATTACTGGGTCATGAAGAAATGGGGGGAAGAGGAAGGAGGGTGATTAAGTGTCGTGAGTTTTAGGGTTTCTTGGATTTTTTTGGGATTGATTAGTTGGTTTTTGTTTTATGGGATGGGGTAACAGGATCGTTAGTTGCTACGCGTATCTGTATTTCCTTTTCTGACTGACTTCCCCATCTGGTTTAGTAGTAGATTCAGGATGCCGTACCTGGTGGTGGTGGGAGCTTGGACTGATTTGTTTGGTGTAAGTGTAAGTATTCTTCAAACTGCTAGCCTGATTATTCCTTTTGTAAAAACAAAACTAGAAGTTTGAGTCTGCAGGCTTTGTTTGTATCTTGAAGGTTCAAGAGCAGATAATTGAGGGATATAGGTCTGAGACTTTTGGCCTTGAGGGTAGAATTAAAGGCTCGAAGTTACGATTAATTGTGAGTATAAAACTCCATTGGTGGGAATCGTATTGATAGTTCTGCTATTCTGGTACTATATTAATATGCGGAGAAGTAGATATCCGATACTTGGAGAAATCCGAGCTATTAGTCTCGTACTTCATGTTGGAAGGAATTATATTGTAGTTTTGGTTGGAGAAGACTTTTGGTGTTTATATTGATCTAATAGACGAAGCTATGTCCACTTTATAACTAAAACGCCTTTCTTTTCATAATTGTATATTGTTGTTTAGAAAAATGACAACTTAAGATTGGGAATGGGAATGTGATTCAGTTCTTCTTGAATAAAAAGAGTTAGCCGAAATCTTCTAGTTTAATAACAGGGAATAACAATTACATGAGTTGTCTTGGTTTCGTTGTGAACATTGAACTTCAACATTAAATCCCAGAATAGATTTCGAGTCCAGTGTTTTAATCTCTTTCTCCTTCGACCAAGTGGAAGAAAACAAGACTTCTGGTTGAATTTCGAAGTCAAGTTGGACGATTCAACAAGAAGAGTCTTTTCTATGTTATATAAGGAGGGCACGACTTATGTTCGTATATAACGTTTACCTCGAGGCGGCCATGGTTCGAATTCTAAGTCCAGAGTGTGTCTTAGAACTTACTCATATTCTCTTCTTTTTCAAGGGATTTATTTGGGGATCGATTTAGATTCCTGGCCACGACAGAGGTTTCTGAACAATACCTCTCACTTCTGTACAATTTGATGTCTAGAATTGTTACTAGAGCGACTTCTCTCTACGTAACCAGGTGTCTTTTTAGCAAACTTCCAATTTTTGGACAGTTCGAGGGCCTAATTGCTTCCTACATTTGTGATATAAGATTGATTTCAGGGCCAAAATGCAACTAAGTCCCTGAAAAGATAAATCGAGATGTGTTTTTAAAGCCTTGAGTAGTCCAAGCTGAGTTACTTATTATAAACTCGACCTCTCATTCTTCGAGGGATTACGAGGTACGTGTTCAAAGATCCCCCGCGATTCTAGAAGGCTACATTTTGAAAGGGTCTTAGTTTAAATAAAGCAGATTATAACTCTAACCTTAAACCTACTTTTCCTGCTTCTCTTTGGCTGAGTATTTTGTTCTTATCACATAATATCTACCTACTAACCTACTAAGACGATAAGTTGAATCCTTTGAGACATGATTCCCCTTCTGGATTTTCAAGAGTGGTAGATTAAATGTTACATCTAGTGGAAGTCGGCCATAATCTACTCTTCCTACCCCACAAACTCGGTTAATTTTCCGCACAAAAACGAATTCCCCATCTTCGCAACCAAAGGTGCAACTGGTCCAACCACATTATTAAATGCCCTTCTTCTATTTACGCAAACGTGGCTAAGAATGTAGGCAAAAGAAAGTTGATTGGAGAATGCAAGAATCGAACCTGGATTGTTGTTAATAGACATTCCTCGGAGTTGGTAGAATAGACTTACTCGCGACCTCTCCCAGTCGTATGTCTCTCAAGAGATCATGCTAAGGGAACATTATACCACTAAACCAATTCCCCTTTCATGCTGAACCGCAGGCTCAGACTTTGAGGCGATCAACTAGATGCTGATTGGATGATGCGGATTTTCTTATTAGAGAATTCGTAGATTACAGAGACTTTCCGGACTTCTGCCAGGTCAGGTGCAGCCCCACTCATGAGTTTGTAGATTGGACCGGCTAGTAGCAAGTACTTTAGCACTTCGGGACAATTAATGTACTATTGCCTTAGTTACTCAAAGATTATAGTTTCATTAAATGTATTCCAATAGCATCTCTTGTAATATGAATGAATGTCAAAGAATAAAGAGGTTTTCAACTACTCAGTTGTGAAACCTACCCAACTTGAGGCCCGAGGTACACAAACTCTTTACAATACAAAGCTAGTAAAATACATGAGTGATATACTCCTAGGAATAACTCAAATATTAGGTTCAACAGAAACTTGAACCAACCTGTGTACAAGTTCTTGATCATGGGTTTCTGCAAACGATTCTACCTCTATTTTTAATTTCATATTAGATCCCACTTAAAGATCTTTGCAATAGTAATTTAGGAACATAGAAGAAATAAACTTTACTAGGACAAAAATAAGCTCAACTACCAAATGATGCTGCTGGGAATAGAATGTAAGCAAGGAAGTCGTTAATCATTATGTATATAGTACACAATACGGTATAGTCGCAGACCCTCGTATTACATATCATTCTAAATCTATGATTCCGCCCCACACATTCTCTGGGCTCCTCCGATGTCCTTCGCTCCCCGCCCTCTCCATTCCTCTTTTCTAAAGCACCGCGCAGAAAATCGATTTAGTCCCCGTGATATGGTAGGAGTCAAAAACACGAATTCTCACAGCTGGCTTGTGGAAAACACAGGGTTAGGATTTAGCTATGCGAGTACTGCGCCAATACTAGCTTACGCAACCGCAAGTCACGAGTTGCCCAGCGGTACAGCTTGCATTACTTCCTTTCTATAGTAACAAGAATTAGTATCTGCGTAGCTGAAAAGAGACTTGTAGGGTGATACTTACTCCTTCCCCATCTGCTGCACACTTATTGTCACATTTTTTCTCACACTCCTTCACTGAAAGGGCACGAGTGACTAATGGAGATACAGGTGCTGATCGACGAACACCACCTTTAGGTTGGCATTCGCAAAGAGTAGGCTTATCGCCTTCGCACGTTGTACGTGAGGGTATCTACAGGTTATAAGAATCAGTATCTGTATAGCTAGAGAGGGACTTATAGGGTAAGACTTACCTGTCCTGATGGACACTTGGGCGCACATTTACTGTCACATGCGACCCCTGGGTCTTCGCCAAAGGCGCGATTGACGAGAGGAGATACAACGCTGCGAACCTCGATTTCACCTCTACAGCTACAAGCTTCGAGTTTTCCATTATTACACTGCGAGCTCGCTACTTCCTATAGTAATGAAAATCAGTATCTGTATGGCTGAAACTGCCCTTCTATGGTCAGACTTACTTGTCCTGATGGACACTTAGCCTGACATTTCTCGTTACAATCCTTCCCAAAGTCAACTGCCAATGGGGGCACCACTGGATCCGCCATTGTCCAAAGGATCACGATTTTCCAAGTAGCGAGCGCGATGGCTAGTTGCGCAGCCGCAATAGTTAGTCACCAGTTTTCCATTATCGTTGGTCCTACAAGATGCCCCATATATTGTCTGTAGTGATGGAAATTAGTATCTGTATAGCTGAAAAGGAAGTCATAGGGTAGTACTTACTTTTCCTCCACACTGAGGTACACATAGTTGTTCGCATGCGCTTAGACTTTGCGTCATACTGGTGGCAGCCAGTGCCAAGGCTAGAAGTACGGTGATTGATTTCACATTGACGGGATTTCTGTAGATGTTTTGATGTTTCGATGGATTTGCTTTATCACAACAGCACGGAAAAGAGCGTCCAGGCGACGCTATATACCTTTGAGCCTTGCCTTGCGCACCTTTGTCAATTACGCTTCCTTGGCAGAGGCGTTACAATAAATTTCAGATAACTCTCCGGATTGATTGATCTACTTCGTACTTCTTTCCATGCCTAAAATATGTAGGTTTACTAGGCTGACTAAGGCGAGCAAACCAGGGTAAACCCCCTAGGAAACCTCCATTTAAGTATTACAGTAGGCCTGGGACGAAGTGGATCAATCATCGCACCCTGGAGTTGGAACCAGGGCCAGTAGAAAGACTTGCCCTTGGCAATAGCAACGTGTGTGATCAGCGGTTACAGAAATATACAAAGGCCTCCACACTCGGTTTCATTTTGGTACTTTGCGAACTGTCGACATGGGATGCTTTAATGTGAAATCTATTATTATATCAAACGTCTTCTTTCTGTTGACATAAAGGAGGTGGACTGCTCAGAGCCGCACCCTACGACGCAGAAGTACTGCCTCGTTGCATGCACTCATGGAGCACTCTTCGCTGTCCACCCTCTTTACTTCTAGAAGTACGTAGTAGATTTGTTGCGGTAAAAAGACAAAGCTTGGCCTCCTTGTTTTGTTTCATGTAGTACTGTGTTCCCCGCCAAGCGAGTCTTGTGATATAATCTCCGAAAATAGTGTTCGTTTCCAATTTCGTGCAGAAAAAACTCGCTACAAGAATATGGTCGGGGTCGGATATGCTAAGGATATACTCCGTAAACGAGGATATCCTTATAGTGAGTTTTTTCTGTAGTAGTACTGTATAGTACTGTACCCGTACTTCGTCCAAGGCCTAATGAATGGTAAGTTTTCAAAAGGGGTTTACCCTGTTACTCGCCTAAGCCACCCTAGTAAACCTACAATCATTTTGGTCTGGGACGAAATAGGTACGGACCGATCTTTGTGTTTATATAACGGGAGCCGAAAACATCGGAAGAAGAATGATGTGGATAAAGCATCAATTGTCTATCCACCGAGTTACCCAGTCCCAAAGAATAGCCAGATTTTACTTAATAGTAAAGAGGTTGGACAGTTGAAGCTGGACAAGTCGGAGGATTGGATTCAGAACAAGGATATGGTTATAGCTGTAAATAATCGAATCTGAGCGTCCAGGCGTCCTTCGGGACTGTGGATGACGCGGTGGATATAAGTGACACTACATATACGAAGTACGAGTTACAAAAGTTTTCTGGACATTGTCCTTAACTATATTACGCCTCAGCCCTTTTTTCAGCTAAACCGGCGAATCAGAGACTCGGATCTGGGCGATATATAGACTTTTCTCACATAAGAATGTTCTAGCTTTAACTGTCCACCCTCTGAGCCCTCTCTACATATAACCTTCCTTGTGTCCCTGGTCGCGACTCCCACTTCAGATTATTTACTACGATATAAGGTTGCTATCTCCATCTTTCTCCTGGTAAATTTTACGCTAGATTGGTTAAATTCTTACTTTATCGTCCTCTATCCGACATTTTCGGTTCCCCTGATTGGGAGTATGGAACACGTCTTGGAAGGTGTATATGTATTAGAACTAAGTAGTTTGCACACGTCGTTCGGGTCACTTTGGTACAATGGAATCAAACTCGTATTACGACCACACACTCTTTCTCCCAGTTTCCAGAGGGTTAGGATTAGGCATTTAGATATAAGTTACCTAAATTTGGAATGTCCAAACCTAGTATCGACTTCCTTCACTTCCCATTCCTCCCCAGGTATTCGGCCTTTGGCAAGTTTCAACAATTGCTTTTGAGAAACGTTAATGTCCTTCACCCAAACAGGCTAAACAGCTCGATCCGCCATCTCAGGGTGTGTAAGTACTCTTCGGACAACTTTTGTATTTGGGAGAAAGACTACGTATACAGATATAGGGTGCTCGCCTCCATTATTGACCTTTACTTTTCGCACTTTGAAATGGAACAACAATCGAAGTAGTCTGAAGTCCAGAACCGAGGAATGGCCCGGTTTATGCCAATAAATAGCTGATACCTTAGTAGATCGAACTTATCAAGTATCCTGATTTATGTAGGTGGAGAAGCAGAAGTTAGGAAAGCTACTTTCTTTACATTCAGAGGACAGCTTTCCACGGGTCCCACTCCACGCGATGTTCTACGGCATAAGAAGAGGGACTTCTCGCGAATGGGAGCCTCCAGTTCACGCTGTTCCGTACTTCACCGACACACTCCATTAGTAAATAATGATGGAGTCAGATGTGGGTCGAGAATAGGAGTTGTATTATGGGATACGAAGCTATCTACAGTATGTGTGGATAAGTGGATACAGGGGTGATCCAAAATCACATGTGAGATACCCAGTATTTACTCCATTACACTTAGTAAGTTCGATTTACAACGGTAGGCTTTGAAATAACCTGTTCTCTCAGATGAATAATTTTCGATTGTTACTTTCTCCGCATATACGGGCAAAGTGCGAACTTTGGGGCTCTGGAGATCGCAACGGAATTCGGAGGGGATCATGCGGTTTACTCATGCTTTGAGTGCTGCGTGGATGAGTAATGCCTGATTGATGGTTACGTTGGTTACTGCTGTTGGTTTCATTACTTCAAGGCTGGTGAGGGCTTCTGGAGAAATCAAGCGACAAGATATCTACTTTGGCGATTTTGACAGAGGGCGGGAAGGTGTGGGTACTGGATTACCGTGTGACGACGTTGATTTTGAAGGGCTGGGAATCGATCAGTTCTTTGGAAATTGCTGAACCTAGATTTTCTGAGGCCTCCCGGGCTGAATGTGATTTTTCAGAACATGAAGATCCCAGTTTTGGAGTCGTACTTACTCCTACAATACCAATTTTCTCGTACGCTTGGTGTATCATTATTGAGCTCAACTCGAGGTGATAGAAGATGAACTGCTTCGAGGGTTGAAAGAAGAGGAATATTGGAATTTCGAAACATGCAGGTGGCTATATACTTCTCACAATTCACGTGTATATACAATCCTGATCGTACCACCGTTCGAGGGATTGAACTTTCCGCAGACTATATTGTTATTAGAAGGAACAAAAATTTTCTTGTACGTCTTTTCTTCCGTGGTTCAATCAGTATATTCATGCCTCTGTTGCCTTGCCTCGCTATGCAATATTGGCACCGTGTGCTGATGAGTAATGTCTTTCATCTCGCCACAAGCAGATGATTTCCGGTCAACTTCATCAGTGGGCTTAGAACGGCATTTTACATGACTTTGGCAGAGGAAACTAAATACCATAGTATACTTGGATCAATGAAAAGCTGTCACTGCCATTCCAAAACATTCGCGAGACTGGTTTTGTTATGAGAGGCTTTTGAAAAACCTTGTCTTAGCCATGTGTTTTCTCGAATTTCTGCATTAATTCAATAATCTGCGCGTCCTTCCTCGAGCGACAGCAACAATGAACAATAATTTGTATATTCACAAGGTGGAGATGGTATCGAGTCTTTCCTGTTGAAGAACGTCCGATATTGCTGGGCCTCTGGGAGTTAAATTTTCTACCGGTCTGGGAGCCGGATTGTTGTTGCAATGATTAAAGGTCACTTACAAAATCACCTTTTGGTGATGAAAGGGTATTGGAACACTTGGATTTTTCATCAAATTTTGTTATGTTGTTGTATGTATAGGAGGAAGGCGATGTCGAGGTGGCTCCTTCCCAATCTTTCCGTACTCCAGCACCTAGATAACACCATCTTGATTCCGAGACTCGCATTTCTTCCTCTTTCAATCCATACACATACATTCGTTTTCGCCAAATACATTTACCCAGTTATCTATCTCTATTCTACTTCGAGCGTTCAGTCTTGTGCTTGCTTGCACTGATTTCAAAAGCAGTGGTATTCGCTCTTATCATCTGGACTATACTTCCTGCCGCACCACACTTTACTTCAACACAAGCTCCAGCTCTAAGAACCAATTTGACGGAATCCCCTTTGCAAAAAGTATTTTTGAACTTCACAATGTCTTCACCTACTTTGCCCTCGAGCGTCTCGAGGAAAGGCTCCATCCCAAAGCCAGAATACGGCAGCGCAATACAAGTCATCAAATACGAAGACAGATTAACATTCGAGAAGATCCCACAACCAGAGAGAAAAGGTTCCGCGTTACGATTATGGAAAGAAATCCGACGAGACATAATCAAGGAGGAACATCTCGATGACACTGTTCCCCACATTAGCATATCTCCAATCAACGGCGATCTTCGCAAATGTCTGGTTTGCATTGAGGGACCCCAGAATACTCCATATGAAGGGGGCATCTTCTGGATCACTTTGAAGTTCCCGGAAGAGTACCCTTATGAGCCTCCAGTTGTGACGTTTCTCACCTCGATTTATCATCCCAACATCAACACGCTCACTGGAAAAATTGAGTTGTGTGTGCTGTACAATAAGATTTATGATATTTTTTGGGATGATGGCTATGATGGAGACAAGGAGGAAGAAGGGGAAGAGGGCAAGGGTGGGAAACTCAAGCATAATCCGAAAATGGAGAATCAAGGGAAATATCTTAAATTTTCAATTGGGGGAGATTGGGCCAAGGCATTCGAGAAAATGACTTTGAAGGAGGCGTCCAGTGATTGGGCACCCATTGTAAAAGAGAGAACGGATACATGGTTACCCAGTATGACCATCGAGTCATTATTGGTGGAAATCGTATCAGTTCTTGGGGACCCGCGATTGGAAATCGCCGTTGAATCAGAGATTGCAAAGTTGTATGAGGTGGCCTATGAGGAATATTTCTGTGAGGCTATTTCTCACACCAAACGACACGCAACTGGGACCAGACCTATCACACCTAAACGGTCCAATCAAAAGGCTGTACTCACTGATTCAAATGCTGCGGCTCAAACTTCTCAAACTTCCACAGATTCTCCCGGAGCTCCTCGGACGAAAGCAATACTGCATCTGTACAGGAACAGTAAGCAGAGCGTCTAGATTCCACCCCTTCCTCTGTCGCAAAATCCCCCTTTTATCGCACGCACCCACCAATCCTTCTTCAAGTTTCAATGGCACACGACGATCATCATCGCAAACGAGATCAACACCGGAGTCTCCGTGTGAGGAGTAGACTTCGACTTGTTCGTGGAAGTTACGAATTTATGAGGTCTCAAAGAAGTGTTCCAGTATCAGCGCCTGCCGGGTCAAGATGAAGATACCTATGTGGTAGAATTAGACGAGTTCAAGCGAGTAATTGTGAAAAATGAAATTCTCACAGCAAGACCGTGATTTCGAGCAATACTTGATACAACATTTCTCTTGAGTGTCTGTTAGCGCATTCGTCTCTGATATCAGAGGCTTCCGGCTGCCAAAGAAAACGGCAGTAGATCCCATCTTATCATCTAATCTTGATCCCAAATAACTGAATATCCTAACCAAACATAGAATAAGCACTCTACAAGGGGATGAATTCCTGCCTTTTCTCCTTTCTTTTTTCTATTGCTCGGGGGAGGTTTGTACTTACATCTCTATCGACTTTTCAGTAGCATGGTTGATTTCCATCCATAGCATCTCCTGACTTAAAGTTGCAAGAAGTATTCCTAAGGATATTAGAGCTACTGTATCAACACCTGTGTTTTGTTTCCCCGCTAGCTACTTTGAGCTCAGTTTCACTAACGCTATTATCCATGAAGTAATATATATTATTATTAACGAACTACTCTTTCTAGTAGTTATAGCTTCTCCTAAGTCAATATCCCCCTCACTGGGCAATTTAAACTAACGAAACCCTCTCTCCTCTCCTCTTTCAAAATTTCTCAAACCAAAAGCAAACATAGGAATCAAACACATACTACCAATACTAATACCCCAACCCACCTACTACCCAACCCACCTACTACCCAACCCACCTATTACCCAACCCACCTACCCATCATATCCACACCCATACCCATTGTCCCGAATCTCCATATTGACTCCATCCGACAGCACGTCCGCCACAAACTCCATTCCCTCCTTTACACTTTAAATTACAACCCAACCTCTATCGCGTCCCAAGTACCAGCCTCATCCCTATCCCCATCCCCATCAAGTCCCGCAAATTCATACGTACAAGTAAACGTAAAATATGGTAGACTACTTCATTTCGAGAGATGCTTCTTATAGTAGCCCCGCGATACGAGGTTTTACACTGGTTATTGTTTGGTCGAATAGAGGGAGAGAGGGGGAGAATGGGGGGCGTCGTTGTAAAGTAATCGTAGGCAGCATTTCGAAGGGAGGAAAGAGAGATACAGGAGTTAAAAAAGAGTTAGAGAAAGATGGAAAGGGGTATAGATATTACCCTTTCAAAACTTTCTTTATGTTTATTACTTTACTAGGTAGTAACTAGAATATTATTATTATTATACTCCTTTCATATATCTTTCTACTACTGTACCACTTAATCAGAGGAGTAAATCTAAATCTACCTCTATCCCCCCCCAATCCACTCCATTTCCCCCCACCTACCTCCCATCCACCCTTACTTATATACATCCCTACTTCCCTTTCCTTCAAAATTGAAACAAACGAATCACACCCCTCCCTCTCCCCAATTCCCCAAAAACCCACCCCCCAAAACCATCAAAAATGCCAGCCCCCCTCAAAAACAACTACAACCATAACAAATAAAAAAAAAGTCTATCCTCCAACCCCAAAAACCCATTCAAACCCTCCAAAATTCGGGGTCGTCGATGATTCGATGAAATGGTAGGTAACTTGTATAGGCTGTATTTGATACAAATACATGGCTGTTTTCTGATTTCGTAATTTTGTATAGGGTGTAGAAGGGAGTAAGATACCGGCAGACCGGGAATAGGCGAGAAGTGCTTGTGGGGAAATTTTATTGTTATGTTTGTGTGTGGATGTGTATGTTTAGTTTGATGATTAGGGAGTAGGTGATGAGAAGGGGATGGGTATGATAAAGACCTTGAGATACTAAAATGATTTTACTTTTGTATGTCTTCTCTTTTAATGTTAGTATAAACAAGTACTCTCCACCCCATCCTTCTTTTTATCTCATCTAAGCCAGTAACCACCCCTCCCACTTCCAAAAGAAATCCTCCCAACTACTTCCTCAAACTCTCCAATCCCTGCGTAGCCCACGGTCCACCCCTCTCTTTACTCACATCCCCCGCACCACTCCCCCTCCACGCACTCTCAATCAACCCCACAATATGCTCAACACCCACCCCCTTCTTCACCTGCGCAAAAACCGTCGGACCCCCCTCCCTCATCTTCCTCGCATCCCGATCCATAACATCCAAATCCGCCCCCACCGCAACCGCCAAATCCGTCTTATTAACCACCAACAAATCACTCTGCGTAATGCCCGGGCCCCCCTTCCTCGGGATCTTATCCCCGCCACTCACATCAATCACATAAATAATATAATCCGCCAGCTCGCGCGAGTAGTTGGCGGCGAGGTTATCACCCCCGGATTCAATGAGTAGGACGTCGGTCGTGAATTCTTGGTGGAGGTCCTCGAGCGCGGCGAGGTTCTGTGAGATGTCTTCGCGGACGGCGGCGTGGGGACAGCCTCCTGTTTCGATGGCGCGGATTCGGAGCGCGGGGAGGGCGAGGTTTTTTGTGAGGAATTCGGCGTCTTCTCGTGTGAAGATGTCGTTGGTTACGGCTGCTATCGAGTACTTTTCTCGTAGAGCGAGACAGAGGGCTAGCATGAGAGCGGTCTTGCCGGAACCGACGGGTCTGGGAGTTTGTTAGTGGATTGATAAGACATTGAAAATGAAATCGATTGTGAAGATACGAGGAAGTTCATATATTGATTTCGAGAGGAGAAAAGAAAGAACATCTCAGAAACGTGATCATGAATGAACCCCGCGTCCCGAACCAGACAGAAATGGAAACTTTCAATATAATAAATGATCAAGAATAAATGAATCAATACATACCCCCCAATCCCTACAGTAAAAGCCCTCTCAGACCAATTCCTCCCCTCAATAATCGGCATCTCCCTCCCCATATAGCTACCGGGTCCCGTCAGGATCTCATGAGTATGTCCATGGTCGGCCGCGACGTTGTCATGGGAGTGATCGTGTGAATGTTCATGAGAATGGCCATGACCACCTGGCTGGAATGGTGAGGCTGACATCTTGATGGCTTAATTGAACGCGAGGAGTGGTTCTTATTATGAGGAAATGGGATGGAGGAAGACCTGGAGCAGCTGGAGTGGAAGGCGGGGATGACAATACTCCACCCACGTGACCTTGAGATTCCCATGGTTTCCAGGTTCCAGGTTGGAAATGGATACACCATCTGCAGGGTAGGATAGGTAGGTACCCATGCTTTCTTTAGCTGATTATGACGAAATGGGTCAGGTCTTTCGGGTCATTTTCATACTAGATAGGAAGCAGCTCAGAAGCCCATCCATAGATTTGTGTCTCCACCCACTTACTGGGTAACATGGCCTAGATTAGTTGTGAAAGACGTTTCGTTGAACAACGTTTAAAGACATAGAATAAGGGTAGCCTAATCACATTTCTTCATCTCATACAGCGTATTTAGCCGTATTATCCATGTATAACATCTCCGATGCTGTCCCAAAGCCAATGAATCCAAAACGCCGCTACAACGATACTGCCACCCAGATACACATCATACCCCTAAGAGAAATCATCTTCCTTTGCTTCAATAGCATTCTTAATCTTCAATAAAATAGTCGTCTTCCACTTGTCCAACTTGCTCATTTGGTCATACTGGAAGAGCTTATCTGCAAATGCCTCCTGATCACCAGCCTCTACCGCTTCGTAAAGATCAACCAAAAGTTGATGTTCTCTGGTACTTGGGAATGTAGGATCCATGTCCCGATACTTCTCAAGAGCTCTGTTCGTTGTGACTTGATCGCCATTTGCAAGATGGCATAATCCCGCCTTGAGGAAATAATCCTTGACTGACCATTTCATGAGGTTGTTTGAAACGGATGATGCAGCAACCTTCTCGAAGTATTCGATAGCCTTGTGGTAATCATTTTCGAGAGCAGCAATATCGGCGACTTTCAGGTATAATTTATTCGACAATCTGATATCTTGTTAGCATACATGGTCATCAGGACGGAGTTCAACATACGCCTCGGCATTGTCGGCCTCGAACCATCCTGCCGCTGTCTCGTAGCTCTCGATGGCCTTCTTCGCATCGCCCAACTCCATCTCATACAACTCCGCCAGGTTTTGTTTGTGTGTAGCTGCTCTTCTAAAGTTTCCCTTGAGTGTGTAGTGCTGAATGGCGATATCGAGACATCGTGCAGCGTCCAGAGGGTCTGTCTTTTTGTATACCTTGAAAGCCTCGGTCAGGGTATTTGCAGCATCATCTGGTTCGTTGAGTTTGGTAGTTTGAATGTTTGCGGCTTTCTCGAATGCTTGACCGGCCTCCTTGTCTATTGAAGCAGTATATTAGAATCAAGGCTTACATACTCGTAGAGGGGAATTTACTTTGCTTCTGCATGCGAAATGCATTCGCAGCTTGGTTATAGAACTCGGCAGCATTCTCCCATTTCTCCTGCTTTCCACCGAATAGACTGAATCCACCACTTGCGCCAGCGACCGCCTTCTCTGCCTAGCATACTGTTAGCAGGGTCGTATCGGCGTGGAGGGGAAGGAGGGGTCATTGGAAACCTTTTGCAGAAGCGCACGAGGATCTTGTGCCATTGTGGAATTCTCGTGTAGATTGTGGTAGGATGCGACGGGGCTTGAAGTTTCGTTCTGTTGTAGAGACCAAGTATTGATGTGGTGAGGTTGGGTCGTGGTTCTGTATGTGAATGGTATGCTGTCGTCACTGCTTGAATCTCTAACGACGTGGCTGAAGGCTGCTGCCCGCAGGGTACGTGCTGCCTGAGGTAGGATACTGTACTCGTATGGCTACTCAAGTACTGGGAGTACGTACCCTGAGACCTTGTCCCAAACCAAACCCGGTACCCCCCTGGCCCACCCCCCTTCGGCCGCTAAAAGGCTAAAAAGGCCAGTGACAAGCGAGAAAGGCGGAAAGGGAAAGCGGCGTACGGCATGGCATGTTCTAGGACGTGGGCATGAACAATCTATTTTGGGGCACCAACCATAGATCGGATTCCCATTTCAAGCTTCATCAGACCACCGTATTGGGACATGATAGGTCTACCAAATGTGACCTTGCATTCCATCTCGCCCGTATGACTGCGACTGCCCGTATCACTTCAGCCCCTACCGAGTACATTTCACCATACGGAGTATAGAAGTTTGACAAACCTCCGCATTCCCATCTTCCCCTTGAAATCTTCTTACCTCCGTACATTAATACTCATATACCCACCCCTTCTCATCTATACTCCGTATCTGCCGAGCATCCTTCGTTTCCCTTCATTCCCCTCCGTTTCCTTAACTGGCGCAAACGGCCAAACAAAGTTTCCAACAAACAAATCCACTCTTCCGGGCGGGCTTCGCGTTTGAACGTTGGATTATTGAGAAGTTAGATGTTGGGGCTCGGACATTTCCCCAGCTTGTTAGACTCGCTTGGCGCAGTTCCTAGAGAGGTCAAGTTGATGGCGTCGCGCTACTTGGAGGCTTTGCTTTGGTGTTGACAAAATTCCTATCGACGAAAATAATGTCATCCCAAGAAATTTCAATGACCTCAGAGAAGCGGAAGGCTTCGATGGGTGCCATGAAGACGACGCCGGCAAATCGTGCCTTCAATCAATTACCTGACGAGATCATTGAGCAGTAAGTCCGCCAAACATTCGAGTGGAGCGAAAGCTATGGCTATGGCGCTGCTATGGCGTGCGCACTGCACAGAATATGAGCACGAGTACGGACCTCACTAACACCAGATCTGGGTAGCATCTTGCAATTGGCCAGTCCGAATGCATTTGCATCCCTCGTCATAATCAATCGAAAATGGAGGACAGTTTCCCAGCAGGCGCATCTGTACGCCCGTCATCTTTCGCGATGTTCCTCATGCTCGGCATACCACCAGGCCATCCCCGCGGCCGATGCCGATGACGATCGCAGTCTGCCACGCCTGAAGAAACTGTTTGCTCAAGAAATTAAACGGAATTTATTCGAGGCTTATCTAAGACCGCACGAGACAATAATAAGCTTGGTATCAACGTCCATAAGCTCATCTTCTGCGCCAGGAGGCGAGGCTTTTCATTTCAGCATTTCCCCCAAGGGCCATTTGATATTGGCATACAGCTGTTCGCGAATCCACGTTATAGATGTCAAAGGTCCAGAGGTTGTGGTAAAGAGGGAGCTAAAGATACTACGAAGGCCTGCATCTACTACCATCACGGACGATGGCTCTCTACTTGCGGTGTTATCGACGGATCTCCAGGTTGATCTATACGATTTAACCGGGAAGCACCCAAAACATACACATGCAGTAGCTCTCGATCATAGCCCACGTACCATTGCTTTGTCACCAACAGGATCTGTCTTAGCCGCTGCCTATGATGCGGGCGTGGAAGTATCTTCCTTGGATCCGGGTAATTCAAATACGGAGCGGAGAGCCGTTAAATGTTACGGCGTGGATAAATTAGCATTCTCTGCAGATGGGACTCAATTGCTTGGAACTACCCTCCAGTCGCGTAACCCAAGTACGGTCATTTTAACAGCACCGTACTACAACACTCACACGGGTGGGACATTGCCCGAAGAAAATGTCAGCGTCAGCGCTCTATGGACCACATCGATACTGTTTCCAAATGGAAGTCGAGACTGCAGTCATGCTGTTCTCCTCCCAAGCGGTTCCGATGAAGAGGCAAGTTGGGCATTCACATATGACAGAGTACTCGAAACGTTTCGTGCAGTTCGTATCGACGACCTTCGGAATGGAACAACGTATTTTACTGGCCCCGTGGCTGACGCAAAGTCTGCTGCGAAGCTTCTTCCAAGCACCCTTCCAACCGCTAGTCAGCGAGGAGACCTCGTAGCGGCTGGTTTCCAAGGCGCCATCTGGATATATGGAGTTCCAGAAGACTTGGACGCTCTACCACTCATGTCCAATACTGTTAACAGCAATTCTGATAGCGGTCTTAGCACTCCACCCGCTCAACTAGGTCGAAGAAATAGTGCCCCCTCGCTTCACTCTGTCCACAGGCACAGAGACACTATAAGTAGAACCCCTCAATGGCAACTTCTTTGTGATCGATTCCGAAACAATTTTGTTGAAGGCCGGAAGATTTGTACATTTGATCAAGTCAGTGCAATGAGCTGGATCAGTGATAATCCAGTTTCATCCCATGGAGAAAAGCTTATAGCGGTTGCCCCTGGGGTTGGAGGAAAGTTTGCGTTCGCTGAGAGCTGGGAAGAAGATGGAATGAGTCCGATTGATGGCGGTCGTATCTCTATTTTGGATTTCAACTATGCCATTAATGATGGCAAGAAAACGATGATAACAATTGAAGTAGGGGCAAACGAAGCAGAGGTTCTGGAAGAGGAACACAGAGATTTGGATACAGAAGTCGCGATAGTTCGAAGAAGAACCGTCGCACAGCGGCGAGGAGACCGTAGCCATGTCGCCCGCGCTGGTTCTATTCCTCGTTCGCCAAATGATGAATTGCCTCCATTGCCCCCGGTAGAAGATGAATTGGGCGATCCTTATGCAGCCCAACTACCGCCTTCAAGGAGACCGAGCAATCTAACGTCGAATTCTGATGAAATAGATGATGTCTCTCTCGACGAAGCGCAGGAGGCGTTCGATGCCCCATATTCTCATACTAATCCTCGTTCTACCACCACGCTTCGAAGAGCCGCTACAGCCGCGGCAGTCAATCGACGACTACATCCTCGCGCTGTTGCTCAAGATCATATTGAATATCGTCGTGCAGATGGTCGTGAAGAACATCCCCACGAGAGTGACGCGGATAACTGGGTCCCACCACCCCCACCATACACCAAGGATCCCCTGCCACCATTGCCCGAACACATCCAAAGATCTCTACTTGCAGAGGCCGCTCAATTGACTTTGCAACGTGCAAGCAATGACAGGACGCCAAGTGTAGAGTTTCTTGGACCAGACTCTGGAGGATTGTCTCGGTCTCGTACAGTTGCTTCTACGAGTACTGCCAGATCCAGACGCGAGTCATACCCGTTTCAGAGAAGTGTCAGCGATTCGACAACAGCCAACGTCGATCGCGTGTCGTTTGACGAGGAAAGACCAAGACCAAGACCAAGACCGGCTTCCAGCCCCGGTTTTTCCGAATTCGACGACCTTTATGATGTCTCTCCTCCTGGAAGCGCTCCTGGAAGTCCTCATCTCAGTCCGCATCCAAGTCCTCAATCATCATACGAAAACACCATTTCAAGGCGACCAGCTGGTGCGCTTCCATCTATCAACGGGAACACATCTCCAGCATCTGTTATGATAGCTACACTCCAGGGTCCTGTTTCACCTATTCCCCAACCGCCTATGCCCATGACCAACCTAATGGATAGTCGACTGCAGAGTCAGACTATTTTGCATGAGTACAGACCCTTTCCAAACATGGACATAGCGTCTAGACCTAGAAAATATGAAGATAAAGCCCTTCCACTACCACCGGCCGACGGGGAACTATCGCCTTTACCTCCAGCTCTTCGTAGCAGTTATCAAGTCCCAGAAATATCGCCATTATCACCATTTGGACCCTTTGAAAGTGTGACTCCTGTTTCACCGCTTACATCCCCGCTATCAAGGCGGTTCACCTCCATCACCGCCGTATCGTCGATAAGAAATGATGAAGACGATGATATTAGACCTGTTCCTATATCGAGGCGAAGCGATACTGAGCCGATACCATCAGTTCGTCCAGCTACTGCTACCGTGGTAAAGCAGGGATCCATGGTAGCTCCGAGCGCAGAACTTTTGGCTCGTCTGAATAGCCGTCAAAATGGTCGACCAATAGGATTGACTGATCCTTCAAGACGTGTAGCTGGAAGCCAAGTTCGCCGCTCTAGCAGCGCTCATAAACCAACTCCATCATGGGATAGTTCACAGCGACAAAGTCAGCAGCAAAGGATGCAAGCACCTCCAATTATTACAACGGAGCCCCCGGTACTGGGTCCTCCACGAGCTGCCGTGGGAGCACATGGCTCCCCAATTTCGAGGTCGCGGGGCAGTTCCATCTCGAGAGGCAGCCCCGTTTCAAGAGTCAGCTTGAACGAATCTCCAATTGATCGTCCAAGTACTAGTCCACAACAACACGCAAGCTTGACACAGCGACGGGTGAGCATTGGAAGAATGCCACCACCGCCCACCTTGCGGGCAGCCATGCCACCTTTGGAGACCATCCACAGTCACAATACAACGCCTGGCGAGCCCACACCATGGTTCACGCAGTACAAGCCTTCCACGCCAGGTGCTGGTATGACAAGACAAACCAGCCGAGCGGAGCGCAGTTCGGCGAAGAACATCAAGGATGCGAAGAAGAAGGGCTGGCGACAGAGCTTGTCTCCGTACGCGGAGGACAAGGAGTTCAAGAGGTTCCGGAAGGGTAGTCGTGCGCAGACTGCTCCTAATGCTAAGGCGGGTGCTTCCTCTGCGGGGGATGAGGAGAAGGAGAAGCATACGAAGTGTCATGTTATGTAAATTTATTTAATTTTCCCTTTTTATTCTGGATCCCGAGATACCCAGCAAGCAAGCAATGAATGTTTTCGTTTGCCATTTGCGTTCTTAGGGGGGTTGTGGCGGATCATCCTTCTTACTTTCTACGTTTGTCTTTTCTTTTGTATGTTCTCGAGGAGGGGGGAGGGGCGGAAGGCGTCTCTTGAGTATATATATATATATATATATACATCTATGTATGTATGAGATACCTACAGGTTCAGCATCTCCAAAAGCTTTATATAGACGCTAGATGTTTCCTAGCGGAAATTGATACCTATTTCCTCTATATACTTTCCGTTGGTGGTTTTGTAAGATTACTGAGCTCTGCCGTATAATTAGCTACGAATTCTTCTTTAGGGAATCTCTAGAGTGGTATAAATCCCCTACCTCCGATCGTTTTGACCGGTGTATAGTAATATGTGATCTTCTAGGTGAGATGGAAGATGGTCGGTCCTGTGCGTAAGTTAGCGACCCGAGGGTTCAGATGGATTGAAATTATATATAGCGGTATTAAGGATACGATGTTTTCTATTGTAAGGAGAGAGTGTGGAGAATGGTGGTTGGGATTTTGGTGGTTGGGTGAGGTGAGGTAAGGTGAGTGGTGGTAGATACGGAAAGAAATAAGTAGGTAAATGAGGATACTATTTATGTTCATTCGTTAGTCGTCACACGTCGTATACAAATAAGGCTTATTGTTAGTTTTCTTTTATATTTTCTAGCTAGCTTTAAGTACTTACATTTCGCCTACATAGAGAAGAAGCTAGTAGGCTCTATTTAGTAGAAATCCAAGTATAAGCACCCTCGGCTATATTAAGTAGCGCGAAAGGAAGCAGAAAAATAAAATAAAACAAGGAGGGGAAAGTGGAAAACCAGGAATAAGACGAAAGAAGGGAGACAAGGAAGGACTATCCCGATAAAACTCCCCTAGCGAGTAGGCATATCTACCTCCTAATACTGACATCCATTTCCTGCCCTGTAAATTTCCACCCCTCGTATATTTATATAAAAACTATGGGAAAACCTCTTTTTAGGCTAAAATCACACCTAGAGAGCCCTCCTTGCCCGGTGAAGTTGTCTATAACCACACTCCCGACAAGGTCGATTCGCTCTATATAGAGTGCCGCTGTCGGCATCGAGCGTCGGGTAGTCAAGAAGAATCGAGCTCAGAAAGCGTATTAGCATATTCGCTCCGAGGACGTAGTATCGTCGCGTAGGAATAATAGTCGTGCCAAAGGAGCGAAAATAGAGGGTTTGTTCTAGTACCACCACTAGGTACCCTCACACCTATATTCGTACTTGTTCGACTTTAGGAATCGTATCGGAGACCAACACAAAAGCGCTCACAATCGAATAGCTGACGATATGGTGGATATGGTGGTGGTGTTAGAATATAGTATTCCAGTAGTAGGGTGGGATATATATCCCACTATAGCTTACTAATCAACCCCATCCTCATTCACTATAAATCCTGCTATTATAATGGACTTGTGAAGAAGTTACTTAATTAGGTTATTGTTTAGACAGTAAGGACGTGCTAGGCTACCTAGTGATAATATAACTTAGTTTCGTACTAAATGTATTATAGTACGAGTACTGTAGTTAAATAACTAAACCTACAACCTACTCAAGTACCTTAATTTGAATAAATCACCTACTCTACTGAACTTAATACAAATTAAGTAGTGCACAGTCTACGTCGAATCAAGTAGCCAATCAAGTTAGACGGGGCGATCTACGGCAACGATTCAGTGAGTGACGCTACCAGTTTGATTCGCTTCAGAAAGAGTCAGCGGCGTTGAAACCGCGATGTGCGACGAAATGTGAAAACTGGTACTTGAATTAGTTTGGAAATGTTGCGATGCGAGACGAACTGGAATTAGTACAGTCGATTATTGGAGAGGAACTGTTTGCGTATAGAGTCAGTGGCGGTGGAGATGCGAAGTGCAACGAAAAGGAGGATAGAGGATGCTCACTGGGGTTGACTCGTTTGGTACCTTTTGATGGTAATACAAAAACCAGAGATATTAATCAGAGATTTGTAGTATATATTATAGATTTGTGCTTTCGAAAACTACATTATTCATACTTCAAGCCTTGTTTAGCAGTATTATTCGCTTCAACGTCATTGGATCAAATATCCGCGATATGCAACAGAACAACCTCGCAATCAGAACCAGCAGTAACGATTCATTTGATTCGTCTATTTCGTTTCAAGTCACTGACACTGACAAATGCGATTTGCAACAAGATCAACATCAAAATAGCGTCGGTGCAAGTCATTGGTTTGTAAAATTGCGATGTGCAACAAACCTACAAGCGGTATTGTCGTAAGCTTAAGTCATGGAAGGGTGCGATGTGCGACAAATTACTGGATGTAAAAATTCGCTTGATTGATTGTGCTTGTTTATGGTGGTAGAGAACACGTGGATGAAACATTGGAGTTTGTACGGCGGTTTTGTGGGGTATGCGATGGAATTTTCTTTTTGGGTTTTTTATGGATGCTTGTATAGATACTCATACTCAAAATTAATAGTGTTGATTTAGGTCAAAATCCGTGTTGGGAAAGTGCGATGTGCAACGAAAGTACTATACATAATACAAAACTCGCTTCTTTTCCCCCTACTCAGTAAAGAACCATAAAGATTGAAGTCCTGAGAATACATAGAATTAGCGACATGCAACAAACCAGTATTCTATGCCCGTTTACATTTTCCTTCACACGTTTTCCAGGGCAGTGCCGGTCTTATTAGGAATGGTGTGGTAGCGATATGCAACAGAAACGGAAACTTTTGAGGATCTCGCTTCGGATCGTTTCTGACTCGTTTACAGTATTACGCGGACCTACAGTAAAAAGAACCAGGGTTACGGATTCATGTGTTATAAAAAATGCTCCTTTTTACAATGACTAATATGTTTAGTAATATTAATGAATCAATAGGTTGGGTTTGGAATGAAGTGAGTGGCAATAGGGAGAATGCGATATACTGTAAGACTTACAAAAAAACATGAAACTGCCAATGTGGAGTTGAGTCATTGGCTTGAGAATTGCGATGTGCAATGATTCAGGGTTGGTAATTATGATTGAATAGTTCAGAGTCAGTGACATTGAGATGCGATGTGCAACAGATGTAAGATCTTACATAACTAGTGGAGAATGAGAATCTACCGTTCTGTAGATGGGTATGAATTACGCGAGTGTCGTATTTGTTAACATGACTCGGCAGTGCTGATTTTGGTCGGAGAAAAGCTGGAGGAATGCGATGTACGATACAAGGTGTGGTTTCTGGATCTTACTTCACTTCTTCCTCGCTTAATATATAGACCTGAATCAGCGCTAAGGTTTCGCGATATACAACAATGCCATATATTTAGTGACTCGGTTATTTCTCTAGATAAGTAGGATGCGATAGGTAACGGAAGGCAATATCACTACTGTTAAATAGACCAAAGTTAGTTCCATTAATATCTGTGTTATACAACAACTCTTACCATGAACACCTCCGTGCCTTGACTTGTGACAGACGTGCTTCAGGTAGAACTCAGAACAATTAACACTCTATTCTTAGGACAAAAGACGAGGAAAGAAGGAGAGCTCGAGAGAGCTGGGAACTAAATACAGGTCGTGCGCGCTAGCGCCTCGCTAAGCGAGCATGTGACATCCAGCCCTCGTGACCATAACCGTCACATGACTAGCCTAGAAAGTAGATATACAGAATAATCGGTAATGAGGATTTCCACGATATGCCAAAAAAAGCTCTGATCTGCAAATCTTACTTAACTTTCATTCACTGTGTCACTCTAGACGAAGATGAGATGCGATTTGCTGCTGATTTAGCACCATGCTCGCGTATACATTTACCACCTCGTGTTGGTTAGTTCAAGATTTGTTTGGATTATTAGAGTGCTATGTGCAACCAAAACGGTGAATGGATACCTTACTAATTCACTATAGCCAGGTATATCTGATGCGCTATCTTTGAGCATAATCTTTTGGAAGTGATCGGTTAGTAAAATGCGACTTGCAACAAGATTCGGCTTACGAATGATGGCCCAGAGCGAAAACACTTATCTGGGATAGGCTATACTCTCATAGAGAGAATTTAGCATGAGAGGACCCATTCCCGGGAGGTGAGAACTTGCCATTATTTGTTTTCCCAAATTTGAGTATCAGGTATTGTCTTTTGCCAATCATTGTATATCGTTATAAATATGGCGTGATTGTTGAGTTGAAGCGAAATAGCAATGAAAATTTCAAGTTTGCTTTGTAGCTTTGCTGGAGTAGGCTCCCAGAGTTGTCGACATCAATAAGTGAGTAAAATGCCATCCGAGCTTACCGAGAGCTATGATCTTAATTTATCTGCAGTAGAGTGTAGTCTTGGTTTTCTCATGAAATGAACGAGAGATTTAGGAAAAGAAGATAAGTGGGGAATCGCTGGCTCCAATTTCAAATGAGCAAAGGATTTCTTACCCATCTGAAGTTGTCGCATAGCTGTTCGACGTCACCTTAAACCGCTCGCATCTCTATAAGCTTCCTGATAAATATTCCAAGGCTTATTGAGACTTCGTACATATAGTTGTATATAGCTTGTGAAGGTTAAAAACACCTTTTCGTCGTGGTGTGAAGAACGTAGCTGTTTTTGATTCAAAAGGGAAAGTCCACACGGTACTTTCGTTCGTGGTACGATTATACTCAGAGGCTGCCAGATGCTGGTAGCGGATAAATCAGGTGGCTGCAGGTGCTTTCCACGAAGGGTAATGATAGTCCGAGTGCTGCATGAATGTTGTACACAACCTCACAACTCAACTCTGTAGCCTTAAAGCCGATTTTTACATTCAGCGTTACCTAGCTTCCCCGCGCTTCAAAATGGCATCCAGATACGTCTGCTGAACTTCTTTTGAGTAGAGAAATGTATTAATGAGCTTTTCAGGATTTCAGAGACAAATAATCCGAACTTGCTTTCGCTAATGCGGGAGCCGGTCCCCCGAAAAACCCCGTACGAGTATCGTCCTCTCCAAAAGGCTGACAGTATTCGTTTGTTCATATTGGAACCTTCGTCCGACGGATTAGAGAATGCTGTAGGTGTCAAAGGCAGTCTTCTACATACGACGTTATCCCTTCAGCGAAGCCCTTCAGCGAAGGGATTTGCTTGATTCATTTTTGGCCTTATCTTATGTCTGGGGTGGTGGAATGGATCAAATTGTTGTCGACGGGCAGATTGTACATGTGACTCATAATATTCATGAGGCGCTGCGTAATATCAGAGACGTGACAAGGCAAACGAAGATATGGGCTGATGCTTTGTGTATCAATCAAGATGACGACCACGAGAAAAGCATACAAGTACCTCTTATGGGAAGGATATACTCTACTGCCAGTCACACCATCATTTTTCTTGGAAGCCCTTCTCCAGAAATTCCCGATATCGCTCAAGCAGTTGAGTCTCTGAAGGGACATGCTGACAGAATGTCTGGAGGATTCAAGAGCCTTTGGTGTCAAGTGGTCAATCTTTTAATGGGCAGTCCATGGTTTCGGCGAGTCTGGATATTTCAAGAACTGGTCCTTTCTCGGGACCCATGGGTCCAGTGTGGTAGGAGCCGAGTTTCTTGGGAAGAACTAAATTCATTACTGAGCTTCGCTCATCACATGAGGAGCTCGTTGGGTTATGGTTAGAGCAGTGAGGCGACAGTGCTTTCTGAGAGTGCTCAAGAGGGACTTGAGCTTTCGATCAAAATGAACGATGCTTGGTTTCAACAACGCAGAGAAAAGCCTAGCCTTACCCTCTTGGAACTCTTGATATCGCGAAGAGGTCTAGGCGTTACAAATCCTGCGGACTATATATACGCCCATATTGGCCTTGCCGCGGATGATTGGACCTCATATGTCACTGTTGACTACTCAAAATCGACTGTCAGACTTTTTGAAGAGCTCGCAGTGCACTGGTACGACACCGGAGAAAGCCAACTTCTATCGCAGTTAAACAATACGTCAAAAGGCAGAGCTCAAGGACCTTCATGGGTTCCCGATTGGTCCATTCCAGCATGTGTGGCACCGAAGAGTTTTGATCGTAATATCAACACTCGACAGCCACTGCGTCGCACAGATGGAAGATATCGAGTTTTTCTGCCAGAGCGACACATACTCGCATGGCTGGCGCGACAACATAGGAAGATTACACGTATCAGCATCCCCTTGAATGGGGCTCTTATACACCAGTCAAAGAGAGAAGCCTTCACCAGACGTTTGGCCACTTTGGAAGCGTCTTGCCAAGAGTTTGGATTTGAAGACTCGCATTACAATTACTATAACTATAAAGCGAAGATCTGAATAAAGACTTTCCGCGATATTTACCAGGATGTCTATACTGCTTGGCAAGAGGCCGTTAATGATCACCTAATCCTACCTCCTGTATCTATAACCGACGATTGGAATCATAGAGACAAGAGGCTATGGGAGACCATTAAGTTGTTTTTCTGCCCAGACGAAGACTACAACCCGAGCTTACATGATTCCAATTCTCATAGGCTGGATTTCATGTAATTATATTCTCCCACTTGTATGTGTTAGAAATACTAAAGTTTTATAGAGAATACACTGATTATTGTATCACCGATCTTCTGATTCAGTATTTCGTTCCTGGGTTTGACAAACGGATTATTGACAACAAAGTTCTCATGTCGGCAATGCCGGGTACTAAATTCTGGCCCACACTGCTTTGGCTAGGCCCAAAAATGGCGCAAGTTGATGATATGATTTACAACTTCTATTCATCTGAACCTTTTCACGGAACATGTTATATTCGCTTCCTCGTGCGCCCCTGCAAGAATGCCGACGCATTGATTAGCAAAGAGGGAGAAGACGAGATCACGAAAAGTTTGGTTGCAAGATCCCAATTCACTCCCCCGGTAATGGTTTGCTCAATGATTGGTCTGTGTTATGGACCTGTGTCATCAAACAGAACCACCGGCTTTCCCTCGAGATATTTTCAACTCGACAGAGATGACTGTATCCTCGCAATTGTTTGAAGGGAGCCTGATTAGTTCGCATATTCTAATGCTACCTGTTTTGCCTGAAACCTTTGTACGAATGTTAGATCTATTAATTTTCTGAATTCAAGTGTGTCAGGTAGAGCTCAAAAGGGTTTCCGATGGCCCATACTTTCGATTATCTTTTCGCTTACAATTTCGCCTAAAAGCTCAACTTCAGGGTTATGATAATAATTGGTAGAGTCTACTCTAAAAGGGAAGTAAGTACCTTGGTGATAACCGAGTTCGTAGCCTATATCTCAAATCTATTCTAGAACAAGTGAGATAAAAGATATATACTGCTTACCCTTTTCTTGGCTTTAGTTCTCTAACGAAATCATCTAAAGAGAGTTGGTCGTCATTAGCTTAGCTAAAGTTACGCTAAGAATTTTCGATTCTCAGATCATGAAAAGACTTCAAAATGAGCGTACTTTCGTTTTCGTAATCTTCAAGAAACTTTACCTCTCGAAAGAACTTCGTGCGTCACGATTCAATTTTCAGTAAAATGCCAGATTACTCGTAGTGGTCTTCAAGCACTTGATCTACCAAGAACTTTGCAAAAGAGCGTAAGATAGTGTAGACAACAGTATTGTTGGAGGATATTCGGAAGACGGATAAATAGAACTTCGTAACATCCCAGATTCATTGGCACGCCTCCTTTTGAGCAGGCCGTTTTTAGGCAGTAGTCCTCTTCCATCGAATTACTCGGCTTGCCGATATTTAGATTATTGAAAAAGACGTGGACTTTCTTTGTAAAAAAATGACATGACCAATTCAGTGTTCACGAAACCAAATTGCCAAGAGAATGAGACCAATGTCTGATCTTGACCAAAGAACATACTTTCTTCGGTGGCTTTAAAATTAAGACTTCATATGCTGTTCTGACCTTGCATTTTCAGGTCGAGTTAATGGCTCGGTTATTTTTGGTTACATGCAAAGACAGTGTGGCTGCAAATCGTGACCACGTTTTGAGCTGTTGTTTTGATGAACTCGCTTAGCAACTCCAGTAAACATAAGCTGCATTACTACCCTCCTGAAGAACTCGAGTTTTTTCTAAACCCCTTGAGACAGATCTCGGAACATCTGATCCAATAGACTCGTGAATTTATGGGTGCCTTGAACTTTTTTATTGTTCAAGAAAAGACTGAACGCAGGTATGAATCACGTGGAACATTGGTGGGTCGGATCCGGGCGGGCGAACGCTAATTTGTCAGACGGCGCTAGTGGACTGATTTTGAAGCACAAAACAAGGTGCAACTTCCTCTACCAAACATACCACCACCCACTTGTCATTTTTCTTTTCAACAATACAATATGAACGACCCCGAATATGAGGAGCTCACGAAAGACTTAATAGCTAATTTTAACACTCTCGCAGACGAAGTACAGCTCTTGAGTGACCGCAATACGATCCTTCAGCACAAGCTTTCATATGCCCATTCCGAGGTAAGCGCCGCGCTACATTTTGCTTCCTCCTTCCTACCACAACTTTCATGATGAGAAACTTTAGCTCTAGATCGAGAGCTGCATAGCAGCGACGACCGATAACAATTACATGTATCCTGAACTTTTCCCTTTGGTGGCACATTTTCACTCCTCCGCATTCGGCTTCTCGCTTCTTAGAGACTAACAAGCTTTTCACAGTACCAGGTCCTAGCGGACAAATACGCGCCATCAGATCCGGGCATCGCAGACACTTTGGCGAAGCTTCAACTTCCACACGAATTCCAAGTGACGAGTCCGGATCGAGCAGGATTTGTTCCACTACCCCTCCGAACCAAACCATCCTCCAAGCAGCAGACAGCAGAAGCTATACGCGACGGAAGAAAAGTAGCACAGCGGCTTGCGGCCTTGAACGGGAAGTCTACCGGATCTACAAGTATATCCGCGGCGAGTAGTAGAAGTAACATGAGATTGTCCGCTCGCCGGACCTCGTTGTCAACAGTACTCGAGCAAGACTTTACGGTCCCTGGCAAAAAGGGCTCCTTATCGTGTCCTTTCACTCGCCCAGCAAGCCCCAAAGTTGGTAGCACAATGGGATCTCAAACTCTACTTAGCCCTACAGCGGTTGAGGGAAAAGACACTACACCACATCAATCCGCTGATCCGATTTGTGCCGCTATGTATGCTGAAACAAGGGCATCACCTCCACCGTCAGCGACCGGCTCTGCAGCGAAATGTCCCATTCGTTATTTAGATCAGCACTCTCCAGAAGAGGTCGCCCGATATTTTGAAACACATAAGCACGAGATTCCTCGGAGTCATGAAGTTTGTGTCAAGCGTTATCAGAGGAACGAACATGATATTCGTCAGTTGGACGCCAAATACGGCAATTTGGTTAGCATGATACAGGGCCTAGGCCAAACGCATAAGCGTATGCTGCCTACCGACGCCGAAAACGAGGAAGAAGAGCTTGAAAGAACATACAATGAACGAGTGGAGAACTGGGCGACTACCGTCAGTGCTGATGGTATAGGCCAAGACGAAGATGACGAAGAGCAAAGACAAGATGACGAGGATGATAGGGCAAGCCGTTATGACAGGACCATGAAACCAGTACGGGTTGGCGAATCACCCAGTCGACCTTGGGGAATTTCAGTACCAATGTTCAATCCTCCTTCTGAAGAACAGAGACCTGCATCTCCACCTGCGGCTCCTGTATCGGCTGAGCATATACCCAAACCTACAGGCAAGTGTCCATTTGGTCACGGGAAGGAGGTGAGAGTCAAGGTGGAGTCCGATGTTTCTCATTTCAGCCAGCCTGAAGAGCGGCCTGTTGGAAAATGCCCATTTCCTCAAGGACAGCAAAGTAAACAGGGACAGTCTCATATGGAAACGTCTTCACCGAGTATGAGAATTCCACCCCCACGCATGAACTCTCCACAATATGCCACTCATGCCCAACCGGCGTTTATTCAGCCTCCTGCCATGGCCCAAAATGGCAACAATGCAGGCGTGCCACAAATGATTTTTACAGGTCCCGTCTTCATTGGTTATCCGATGGAGCAGGCGTTGGCGTTTATGCAACAGTACAAGCATATGTAACGATAGAAGAGGTGAGGAGATTGTTTTTTGAAATAGCTTAGCGATAGCATTTGTGGTTTTGGATTGGGTTAGGTTAGGTTCCGGTTCTGGTTGAACTGAGTGGGGGAGTTAAAGGAGCGTTCTGATAGCGGTTTTCTTCATTTTATTATATGCCTTTCTGGTTGAGAGAGCCGGAGTTCATGGCTTGTCACGATATACGAGTAGTGGTAGTTGATCGTGGAGAAATAAGAGAATTCGAAGTTCTCAGATATGAAATATGGGGGTCTATTGCCTTGTCTTTGTAATGTAATCCTTTAGACTCATCCTGGTAATAACCGTTCCTTCCTAGACCAAAATACCCTCTTTCACCTAGTTACATCCAATATCTCGAGATCCATTTCTCGAAGTCATTTTATCAAGAAGTCGTCTCCCAGAACCTGGATTCACGTAGCACAGAAAAGAAAAGGAAAGAGTGAAGGGCTAGGTTCATATATTTATTCATATTCCACTTTTTCCATTTCCATTTCCTGCCAAGTACTCGTACGTAGTTCTAAACATGTATATTCATCACGTCACGTCTTCTGATCTCTTGCCTCTACCCTCTGCCATTCTGCCATTCTATATCCCGGTCTTGAATTTAGGATTTCCTTATTCGTCCCGTAAAGACCGGACCCCCTTTCCCTTTCCCCTTTCCCTTTTTTGCTCCGAGAAACGCCATATCCAATAGTACCGCAGCTGAACCAAAACCAAACCAGGCCGAAAGAGCCGGACCAGACCAGACCAGACCGTATATCCCAATGCCTGTACCTCCCAAAAAGAGATGAAGAGAAGAACCGTGAGTATACCAAACCAAACCAAAAAGCAGAAACCCAATTCTAAAGATTGATATAAGAAATGAAATCGTCCGCGCTCGTAATCAGATATCTCCGGATGTCTTCTTGGATGCGGGGACATCGAGGTCCCCGCTGGCGAACACATCATCGTCATCCGTGAATTCATCCTGGTACCCCGGCGCATTAGGGTCTCGTCGGGCGCTACTTCCAACGCCCTCCGCCGAATCCCATAATGAGATATCATCATCATTCATCAGAGCTGCGGCATCCAACTCATCGCCTTCTCCATCGCTGTATATCCTCCCCGTCGTCGCAGGCACGGAACCTTCTCTCCTCCCTGCTTCTAATTCTTCGATTTCTAGTTCTTTCGCGCGTTGGATGGTGCGGTTGTAGATTATGTATCCTACGGCTGCGCCGAGCATTCCGCCTATGATCATGGATGCGTAGTTTATGGCTTTGGTGCCGGGACTCATTTTCTCGCCCGTTTCGGCGATGACTTGGAGACGGGAGCCGATGAAGACGTGGATGAGCAGTTTGGGACTTGTGAGCGCGGTGGCGAGCGCGAAGGATAGTGGGTGGACGGTTGGGAAGGTCGACATGGCTGCGTTGCTGAGACTATATGGTAAGGGACAGAGACGGATCATGCAGAGGATCTTGATGCCGTCATGTTTTAGGGTCAGGGCGAGAGCTTCGAAGCGCTTGTCTTGTCCTACTAATCTCTGCATGTAGGAGGAGAAGATGGTCCGCGAGGCGACGAAGGAGCATAGTGACCCGGCTACCGAGGCGGTTGCTACTATGAACCAGCCGTTTGGGAAGCCGTAGACGAAGCCGGAGACCGTCAGAGAAGTGCTGTATCCTATGAGGGGAGGAAAGGCACAGAAGAAGGTTATGAACCAGAGGATTAGCCAGCCCCCCGGGAGATCTTTCCATTTCTTTGCGTAGGGTGCGAAGGCGTGGAAGATGGCTTCATTGTAGATTATGAATAGGATGGTGAGGACATTTATGACGACCAGCAGGATTACTGCGAGGACTTGCTGGATGGGTGATAGTTCTTTGAAGGACTTCCATACTCGTTTGAGGATCTTGGTGCCGTTGTGGATGATTTGTTCTTGGAGGGAACCTACGCGGTTCTGTTGGCTGTACGGAGAGTTGGTTGATCGGCGGGCGTTGGTTGAGATTCGGCGGGACCAGGGAGGTCTTATGGCGTCTCGTTCTGGCGAGGGAGAGGAAGAGGGCGATATGGGTAAGGCGAGGGCCTTTGCCGTGGAACTGTAGTCTACTGACATCTTTTGGAAGGAGAGCGAGGCTATTCGGATGGGTGAGGAATAGTCTGGTAGACTTTCCGGGCGCGATTGGTGGTTAACTCTCGGAGATTCGAGGTTACCTCATGGCATGGCAAAGCACTTTTGTTGATGTGGGAAGGGATGTGGTTGTGGTGAATGTGGATATGTTGCGATGTGTGCAGTTTGATGTCGATGGACGTGCTGAGTGATGGACATTTGAAACTCGAGGTGATGACAGGAGTGGCACAGTGGAGTTTGGGCAGCAAGACTGATATCTTGTGTACGTAGCCAGGCACTTTTCAGACCAACATAATTGATGGCAACTGTCTTGTTGCAGAATGTAGTGTTTGCAAAAGCAATTATTGGATTCATGGACTTATCCAAGTGACCGGATATCTCGAGTGCCTCCATACGTCGAGAAGTGACGTGGGAGGCGATATTCTCGCCGACCCTCCGATGAGGGCCGAGTGTCAGGAGACTCCTCCGTTCAGTTTTGGATATCTACAGTATTCACTGGCATATCTCGTGATTCAATGCGTCATTCTATCTCTACTACACCTTCTATCTGAATAGCCAGTACTATAATAGTACAAGTAGACAAGAATTTGGGATGCTTCGAATTGTTATCTACTGGTTGGTAGTGGTAGAGCTTTGAGTTCTACTTTGGTACCTAGTAACTGTTACTAGATGCGAACTCAGCCTCAGTCATATCCCATATCTGCAGCTCAAAATAGACGGGATATGCAGAGGTAGCATATCATATGTCGAGCACATGTCTGGATGGATTACGTACCTGACGACCTGAACCTGAGGCCTTCCTGGTCCAGCTGCGGCCGATGCAACCATTTTTAATGCTACGCAGGAACCCAAAGGAGGTACCGATCTACTTATATTTAGATCCGGATACTCTCGAGCACCAACGGTCCAACTTCCTGGGTATCGTCGTGGGTGAGATAATCGAGCTGCGTTACCTTGATGAACGTGAACTCGTCGGCCGCCCCGAGTCATTCAGTGGAATTGTGAGAATGAGGCCATTGATACCAAAATCGTGGTCTGTGTTTATTGCGAGTACTTGTATCGTATAGCGTTTCATCCTCCTCTCACTCCCTAGAAAGATACCGACCTACCTAGGTAGGTACCTAGGTACTTCGTAACATGGAGCTGCTCTTTGCTGCTTGGCTATGTCCGGCACTCTGATTGGCGGCCGATGAAATATCTCCCCACATTTGTCTACCAAGTACCTAGCAGAGTGCCATAGAAGTGAGCCTACTGTACTAGGTAGTGAGGACCGACCGGTAGCTCATCCTCGTCGACCCAAGCAGATCGGGAAACCAAAAGACGACCACGCCGGGACCAGTAACCTAAAGCTGCCGAGTGCGAGTGCGGCCGTCTAGGTTCTCGTTGTACTCGTAGGCTCTACATAAGCTATACGCTTCTACCTACGCTCTTGTCTCTAGCCCCTAGCTCCTAGCTCCAGCTCTAGCTGAATTCCCCGACCCCGGGGTATACACGTCCATCTCGGATCTCCACCCTGCACCGGCGCCTTTCATGACTGGTACGGGACTTGTGCCTTCACTTGCTCGACATCTCCTTTTCCACTCCTCTCTCGCATTTGCATCTGCACTCATCATGCTGGACTTGGACCTGGACTTGGATTTTGCTTCGACAGTGTAAAGTGCCTGGGGCCTTTTCTCCCTGGTCGTCTTCGTATTACAGCTACAACCTCATTATTGGCCCCTCGCCCTTCCCCTTCACCGCAGGCCCGTTGCCGTTTTACGCCATTTGCTTATTGCATTCCAGCATCAGCTACCAGTACCCCTTCCTTTTCCTCACCCCCGAATCCACGTTGACGAGCTTCACGCCAACAACCACATTCACGCCCACACCCACACGCACCCCCGACTGGCCCCGGCCTTCTATAAAAGGAACTGCGGATTCCGCCTGTCCTCCTTCACCTCTCCCAGTATATCATCGTATCAGCGAATTAGAAGACCGCCGCCTTTTTAACACCAAACCTCAACTCTCCCACAATGGTGTCGGACGCTACTTATGAGCTCTGCCTGCCGCTCCTGCAGGACGCCGCCCTCGACGACGAGGAGAGGACAGACAAGTTGGAGGAGCTGCTCAGAAAGGAGACAACATTCGAGGGTACCGCTTTGGAAAATGCCGTACTAGATGTTTTATGGAGACACCGTGAAGCAACGGTACATCCATCTTCTCCTCCGCCCTTGCGACATGCCGTCCTGCGCCGTCCATCACCTTCTCCCTGGCAGATTCCTCGAGGCTCAACTCCCGTATCCTCTTCCCCTCGCCTGGGAGTGAGTCCTCTAGCTCCTCCGGGATTTATGCCACAATCGTTTAATAGAACAAAATCTATCACCGCATCCCCTTTTACCTCGCCTCGTCCTTCCCCTCGACTAGCTTTCTCGAGCCCGGCAATACCCCACAGCCCTAATCTGAATGCCTACGAATTTCCAACCGATACTAGTCCTACACGTGAAACCTACGGGGATTTTGGCAGCGACAATGTCGATTGGCTTGTTGGTGATGATGGCGGAAATAGTACCCCTTCTTCACTTGGTGGCGGAACCACTCTGAACGCGGCTGCTGCCGAGTACATCTCGCCTCAACAATCTGATATGAGTCCTTATGATATGCTTAGATCGATCCTTGGTCCTGGTAAATCAGATGAAGAGATTGAGGCCGCTCTCGCGGTTCATGGTTATGATTTAAGTGCAACTATCAATGCCTTTATTGAAGGTCAACCTACAGAAGCTTCTACCGTCCCTGCTCAAGATATCGAAGGCAAATCCGCCATCTTAATTGGAAAATCCATGGCTGCCAATATCCCCCGTCCTCTAACTCCTGCCGGCCAGCAACGCAGTGGTGTAGTTTGCAGATTTTGGCTGTCTACCGGTCAATGCTTAAGAGCAGACTGCAGATTCAGCCATGATCTTAGCAACCATATATGCAAGTAAGTTATTTCTTAATTTTCTCATACTTGGACCAAATACTCATCAATCTAGATACTGGGTCATGGGGAATTGTTTAGCCGGTGATACTTGTATCTTTTCTCATGATCCCTCGTACTTTATGAATCGTCTTGCTTTGGACGAAAGTAGTACTCCTCCACTCCAAAATTCTGCCCCCGGTTTCCAATTCACAGACTATAATGCATTTCCGACCCTCCAGGGTGCGCAAGACCAGTGGCCAAATTCTTATAGCTCTGCCAACGCTTTCAGCAACTATCAAGGGGCAAGCTTTACCCCACCAGGGTTTAAGGGAATGCAAGGTTACACCAGTGATGGTTCGAGTCAGCGATCACGACCTAGTAGCCGGCATCAAACTCGAGAGCCAGCCGCTCCAGCACTCGATGATACCGAAGCTTTTCCTTCCTTGAGTGCGGTTGCTGCTACCAAAGGTGGTAAGAAGCATCATGGAAAGCGTGGTGGTCACGGTCATGGCCACAAGGAGAATTCTCATCCCAGTTCTTTGGCCGAAGTGGTCAAGATGTCTCCATCTCCCGGTCCTGGTCTCATGCGACAGGATATAAAGAAAATGGGACGAAATGGTAGTACTACCAGTATCCGCAATGGTGAGAATAGTGTAGCTGCTCAAGCCATCCCAAGCCCTCAACATGTTCCTTGGTTGGAAACTGGTGAAAGAGCCAACAAGGCCTATCTCAAGGCCAGACAAGATGCGATCAAGCATGGAGGCTTGAGAAATAAGTTCCTACAAAGGTAAAGTATTATCATTTTTAAAAGGTCCCGACTCAATACTAATGTTATTTAGTGCTGCCCAAGCTTGGAATCGTAATGATGCCCGTGCTGCCAAAGCTCTCAGTCTTCGAGGTCAAAGCGAAAACGATCTGATGAGAAAAGCCCACCGAGAAGCCGCAAGAGAGCTCTACGAAGAACGCAATAAGAACAGTTCTTTGAATGCCGAACTCTATGTGGATCTTCATGGTCTACACCCAGAAGAGGCAGTTGAATATCTTGAGCGTGTTCTTCTTGAGAACCAAAAAGAAACTCGTCCCGTCTACGCAATTACTGGCACCGGTCACCACAGCAAGAATGGTAAAGACAAGGTCGGGAAAGCTATTCGAAACTTCCTCAACGAGTGGAGATATGCATTCCGGGAATTCTCCGTCCCAGGTGACCGAAACAATGTTGGCGGTATCCTTGGAATTGATGCTCGTTCATGGGATAAATCTTTGGCCAGAGAAGGTATTCCAACTGTGGAGATCGAGAATAGTGATGATGTTGATATCCTTACTCAGGGTCATACGATTGGCCAAGGCAAGATGAAGTTGTTGGTTCGGGATCAACCTAAAGGGCGATAGAAAGAAAAATTCAAAATAAAACAAATCAAAATTAACTTTGTATGTGTGTCTTTACTTAATTGTGTTGACTATCGATTTTGGGGGGGGGAGGAGGGAGAACTGTAAAATCCGTGACGAATGTCTGGAAGTAAAGAGCCATGAAATTCGTTTACCGAGCTTTCCCGGGGTAGTATTTCAGGAGGTATTCCTCGGGTTGATCTCGGGATGTAGGTACATCGCACGTGGGTTGTTGCCTGGCCTGGATATAAGGAAGGTGACCTCACGGATTTAAGCGAGTAAGAGTCACTCTCACTTTCCTCACTTTCCTCACTTTCTCATATTCGTGGTAGGAGGGTATTTACCTACACCCACATCCACACCTTCAATCCCTCCATCTCAATTGATCATTCATCTATTCTTAGCCCACTCCCACTTTCACGTATTACACCGTACGTACGAACGGCAATTGTTGAATCAATCACTCCCCCAGGTCCCCAACTCCTTGACTTCTCAATTCTTAATACTTCCCTCTTATTAGGATCTCCCTGCTACTACTCAGTACCCTTACACTTTGTGTTTCGTCCCACTCTACCAAGTACATAGTCCTTCCTAGGTACTTCTTACTTCTTACTCACAACTCATTTACTGTAGAAAGAATTGGACCCCGATAATGGAGTTAACGTAATTATAAAGCCGGAGGTAGAGGCAGAGGTAAAGGTAGAGGTAAAGGTAGAAGTACACACAGCACCCCCAGAGGATATCCTGGTAGCTTTGAAGAGCCACTTGCCCTGGTCTTTGCCTATCTTTAGACGCTTGCAGTTCATGGGCGTGAAGGAAGGGAAGGGAACTTGGGGGAGGGTTTTGGGTGTTGGTGATGTTGGGGAGAAAGGAGGGGATGGGAATGGAAACGAGTGGATGGTAGCTTTCCTGGATCTTGAAATGGGGCCGAATACTGAGATGTGGGTTTACTCCTCCTTGGAACGTAGATGGGGGATGAAAGGGGGCGCAGACGCCATTCGAGAACGGAGTGAGGAGTCACCTGTTTCTTTGAAGGATCAAATAAGTGCGCCACAGGAAGAACTCCTTGTAACTCAACTCCGAGCCCTCTTGAAGAGAGTGAAAGAGATCGAAAGACAATACGTCAGTGATGGGGCCACGGAACAAAGAGCGAATGAGGGGGTCGTTCTCATGGGGAGTTTACATGCTAACCTACTGGGGGTTTTGGAGAAGAGGGGAAGGGGGTGAGGAGGGTGAGTCCGGGGCATCGGAAGTTTGTTTTTGAGACTGGGGAGGAGATGGTTGGGAAGGAGCTTGAGGGGGGGTTGAAGTGNGGGGTGAGGAGGGTGAGTCCGGGGCATCGGAAGTTTGTTTTTGAGACTGGGGAGGAGATGGTTGGGAAGGAGCTTGAGGGTGGGTTGAAGTGGGGGTGTGTGAGGGAGGAGGGGTTGGGGAGGGTGCTTGGGAGGACGGGAATTGGGTATACGAGGTCTGTGAGGTTGTTTTTGTTGTTTGTTTGTTGTGTGCTTGTGGGCTTGTGAGGGAAGGGGAGGTGGGATGTTGAGATGGGAAGGGTGAGGTGAGAAGAGATAGTGTACGGTTTACTGATATACGAGCTTGATTTAGGGAGTCTATGAGAGCGATGAGGAGTGTCTCAATTGAAACGGCAGAGGGCGAGATGATCACCTGGGCTTTCCTTGGTAAGTTCACTCCACGACACTCTACTTCCTTCCAACCAACTACTAACTAAAACACCACCAGGCCTAGACGGCTCCCTCAAAACTCTACATGTCGAAGTAATTTTCCCTTCCGCTTTCCCTTATACCCCCTCATCCCCCTTAATCCTAACTCCCCATACCCCAAAACATCCAACTAACCCCCCCTCCCAAAAAACAAAACAGGAACAACACCGCTCCCAAGGCCTCGCCAAATCCATCGCCATCAAACTTTTCCACGATGCGAAGAACTGGTATCCGGAGATCTTTGGAGAAGTAAGAAAGATAAGGGGTTTGATTTCTAGATCCCTGGTTTTGAGGTACAAGTATTCTTAAGAGTATGTAATTTCGAAAACATAAATTATAGTATATGGTTTTCTATATTTATAGTGTAGTAACTTTTTGTAGGGGATTTGCTTTGGGGATTCTGGGGGGAGATATATAGTAAGTAAGTAGGTATGAATTACTTATTGCGTGGTGGTTATGGATAGTAGTGTGTGATGGGCTCTTTGTAAATTGTAGGTCGATTCGCTGTTGGTGTTATTTACTTCTGGGGGTTCTGCGGTAAGGGTTTTGAGGTAAGTTTAAGTTTTACTGTTTTAGGGATCTTTTTGAGTTTCTCGTTTATTCTAATAGATAGATTATATTTCGAAGGAACTCGAAGCTTTTTATATAAAGGATGAATACTACTTCCAAGTCACCCGTACTACTAAATAGTACGATCTTGTACCTCTTTCAATCGGTGCGGTCGGCTTTGATTGAACTCCTATCGGAAATGTATTTCTTGATGCTGTCGCACGTTCTTTTGGTATTGAGAATGTTTTTTGAATGAGTCGGAGGCTTTGCTTATATCTTTCAGTATCCTATAGTATCACTTAATGGTAGACTGCTTTAGAGTATGATTACTGTTTGATGTGCCTTGAAGCGGTATGAAAGAATGGCGTTTGTGAACTTTTAGTTATAAGGGTGCTTTTTACTTCGCTTAGAGCTCCTGTTGTGTAACTACAAGAGATAAATACCTTAATTTAATTATTCCATCAACGAACGACACATTGAGGTTAAGGTCCTTGCCAATATCTTTTGGTATGAAGTCTTTGTTTTTTACCTTTTAAATAACTCGAAAGGAATCTCTATAAGATATTAAACACTCGCCCTCTTGACAGAAAGATCTTCGCAAAGTGCGACTTGCTTGCCTTGTGAACCCCTCTGACAAGGGAGAATATACCCACCCTCAAGATCGCAATAGCCTTGCTCTACGCAAACTTTGTCCGAGGCATGGCTATGAATGACCAGGACTCGAGCTCGATAGTCATTAGACTTGGTTAAATAGCCTACTACATCAGGGAAAAGCCCGAAGTATGAGAGTCACTGTTTCCATTTCCTTTCATTGAGAATTCACTGACCAATCTCTTCGCAGACTGGTGCTTTCATGTGTGACGGCAGTCAAACGCGGATCCCATGTACTGTCTTCAACCTTGACAATAACGAATTTTCGCCCGCCTTTCTTTATAAGACTTTGACTCGATTCAAACGCTACGATGAGGTGTGGTCTGATAAATTCCTCAAGGCGGTAGTCGTACAGTGTTCTAGTGAAGATTGTCTATACCGTCAGAGACTAGTACTGTACTTCAGCAACTTAGCAATCCTGCTATATATTTTTCGAAGCCTCAAAATTTAACGATGAACTACCAAGAAGGGCCATATTTTCTTGATCACGGACAGATGTATGCACCATATCGTCTGTACCCCGATACGTCCGGGTCTTTTATAGTATCTACAGTCCAGAGCTAATCAAGTGAACCCTTTTAGTTAGTAGTCTCTCCACGGGATTGGAAGTAACTAAAAGGCCCTAGGTACAAATCACTTGATGCTGCTGCATACGGTGAGACCTACCCTTCTACATTGACAGTAGCCGTAGCCTCACGTCTCCACTTTTCCAAAACGACGGAAAAACCGAATACTGGTTTACGACTTGGTGTCAAAGATATTATCGATCTGAAAGGACTTCGCACGGGTGCGTCTTCGCGCGCTTATACATAGCTGTATAGGGTGCGTGACAAAAACGCAGCTACACTACAAAAGCTACTAGAACTGGGATTCATTGTGCTCGGTAAGCTTAACACTAGGCAATTTGCAGACCCGGAATGGCCTACTAGGGATTGGGTGGATTACCACGCGCCTTTTAATCCTAGGGCAGATGGATAGCAAGGACCTAGTGGAAGTAGTGCGGGGAGTGCTGCAGCTGTTGCAACATACGAGTGGCTTGACTTTGCCCTAGGCACTGATAGTTAGTAGGTTGGAAAATTGCTACTATTTTGGCTAATGGTGTATTAGCCCTTGGGAGCATTCGTGCCCCGGGTACGGCGCAGGGTGTATTTGGGATGCGGCCATCGACTGGTGCTGCAGGTTTGGAGGGTATTATTTCGTACTCAGAGGAAGTACCCCAAGGCATACAGCACAGAATATTATTGAGGTCTTTATTCCACAGTAAATTCGACACTATTGGTGGTTTTGCGAGAGATGCAGAGTCGTTTGCTACTTTGTCAAAAGCGCTTTATGGTCCGAATTCGAATTTGGGGTGTACAAAGGTATACTCATATAATAAAACGGAAACATAATATTAAGAAGACATTGTAGAAACCCACTGAGATCCTATGGACAACAGAGTATTTTCCCGTGAAGCACCATGACTCTCAAGAAGTATTCGTGGGGTTTTTTTTTTCAAGACTTGAAGTATTCCTTGGTGTGAAGAGAACTCCAATCAGTCTTGAAGGTATTTGGTTACGCAGCAAGCCAACAAATACAGAACTTTCTCTCCAGAGTACTTTAGTCCCGTTTTGGAATGGGTCGCCAATATTGACCGGTGAGACGGGTTTCTCAAAGACTTCCTTCATGATTACACATCAACTTTTGAACGAGCTGCTGTCTTGAATCCCCAGCTGCAGTTCAAGAGGTGCGTATAATTAATCCATTTGCATCAAAACACTTACTTACTAGATGAGAACCCAGAGACTATCTTCCAAATACCACCAAAGAAAACCAAGAAAAAGGATTAAAGTTACTGGAGACATTTCGCTCTTGGTATGAAGAGAACATAACACCTGCCTCGACGGACGGCTGCACAGACAAAGTCCTTGTGCTGCCATAGATTAAAGGTGAACCTGACTATCGAGACACGTATCGTGGCTCCGCGCAGTAGCGCAGAAGTTTACGGGCGCTGGATTCTTCTTCTATAATACCCTCTGGTAACTGCGTCAGGAAATACCAGACACCCGCGCGGGCCGTCCCGGAGTACAAAACCTTCCCTAACGCGCACTTTTCCTAATACTAACGGTGGGCCGTTAAACCTTAAATATTCTACTAAAGACGGAGTTCTTTATCTACGAGTTCACGCGTTTACTTATTTACAGGCAAGGAAGGGAGAGAGAGAGTGGGGGGGGGGTATAGGGGTATAATAGAAGTAGAGACTTATAGGAGGGCAAAGTAGAAAAGTACTTATAGGTAGGGAGAGGGACAGATGAAAACGACTAAGTACTTACAGGTGGTTTATAGAGGTAAAGGGAGGGAGAAAGGCTCTATAATATAGATAGATAGCTCGCGGAACGCTCGGGTTACGCTTGAACTCTCCCAGAAGTATAATAGTCTCTAGAGTACCCCTCTATCCTTAAATCCCTACCTACTTTTTAATACCTAATTAGGACGGTGTTAGGAATTTCTATACTGTGTCAGGAAATGTCTAACACCGAGTTCGCAGAGGGATATCTCGTCTTATGTAGGTACGCCGGGGATTATCGTGCCTGTTAAGAATCCTCTATAATCCGAACCAAACTTCATAACTGAATACCAAAATAATAGCCGGGGAAACAGCATACTTTTCTCGCCTCTCTGAGAAGCAGGAGTACTTGCCAGCTACGATGGGACTCGTGGGAGCCAAGGGAAGTGATGTGAAACTTGCGGGATTTTTTCGAGATTTCTTCAGAGCGAGTCCTGGTACCAGACCTAATGGCCAGTCCATTAATGTACCGTACGCATATCCAAACGAGTAGGGATGGGCAAAAAACACTGAACGCGCGGTATTCATGAACGTATAATTATATGAACTGAACCTTTAGTACTAATAAAGTTCGTGAATTATATGAACGGAAGCTAAAAATAAATAGAAATTCATGAACGTTCGTATATATAGACACGTGACTATAGATAGGAATATATAGTCCTAAGACGTACTTAGCTTAAGAGTTTTTTAATACCTCCTTAAATTTCGCTTTCCGTGTACCTACGCTGTCTATATAAGCGAAAAATAAATAGGGGGGCATGGGGGGGGGAACCTTAGGGGTTTGAAAAAGGTGAAACGTGACATGACAACTATACAGGTGTGGGTAGTGTACCTACTACTATACCTATATTTGTGGGCCCGGGTTCTTGTAGTTCCGATTCCGTGAAAATTATATGAACATTCACGAATACGTTCATGAATCTATTAAATTATATTAACTTATATAAAACAAACTTTTTGAAAAATATATAAAACGAACGCTGAACTTGAAAAAATATATGAACGGTTCGTTGCCCATTACTACAAACGAGCAAAGCTTGCTGGAACAGAAGGTTGTTAGCGAATAATTCATTTCGCGTCTTGAAGCTCCTGGACTGGTTGTTAGATTAATAGTTAGCCACTTTAATATAAGTAAGGGTATTTTTTAATACTAGTCAATATTCAGATAATCTAAAAGACAATCTATAGCAGCCAGGATACCTTCAGGTCTCGATGAATTTATAGATATGTATAATTCAAGTAAATAAATAACGTGGTTTATCAGCGAGTCGATCATATCACCGAGTCGATCACTTTTCCTTGGCACTACCTCCTCAAACTTCAACACACGTTTTCTTCAACTTTTTACCATGGATATTCAAACTCAAGAAGCGCGAATTACTCTAGCTATCGAGGCTATTCGGTCGTCCAAAAAACTAAGCAAACGCTCTGCGGCAAAGATCTACAATGTACCATATACGACTCTTTCCGACAGAATGGCTGGCCGAACCTACCGCCCAGATTCTCAAGCCAATTGTCATAAGTTGACTGAGTTAGAAGAGGAAGTGATTATTCGGTATATACTGGATATGGATTCCAGAGGATTTGCGCCCCGGCTCGCTGGTGTAGAAGATATGGCTAATTTTATCCTTGAATCGCGGGGGGGAAGACGCGTCGGCAAGCTCTGGGCCCATCGATTCGTACAACGACAACCAGACCTTAAGACGCGTTTTAATCGCGTTTACGACTTCCAGAGGGCCTTATGCGAAGATCCTGACGTGCTAGGCGCATGGTTCCGGCTAGTAGAGAATATGAGGGCGAAATATGGGGTTACAGACTCCGACTTCTACAACTTCGACGAGACAGGCTTTATGATGGGTGTTATTTGTCCTAGAATGGTTGTTACTCGTGCAGACCGACGTGGTAGAGGCAAGGCAGTTCAGCCAGGCAATCGGGAATGGGCTACAGCAATTGCCTGTATTAATGGGGAGGGCTGGAGTATTCCTCCATTCTTGGTAGTTCAGGGCAAGAACCATCTCTCCAACTGGTATACCGACGGCGGCCTCCCACCTAACTGGGTTATTAAACCGACAAGCAATGGTTGGACAAATAATGAAACAGGCCTGGAATGGTTAAAGCACTTTGATAAACACACTACAGCTCGTGCAAAGGGTCTGTATCGAATACTAGTTTTGGATGGGCACGAGAGTCATGAATCGGCTGAGTTCCAAGACTACTGTACGAAACACAACATTATTACTCTTGGACTACCTCCTCATTCATCCCATCTAACCCAGCCACTTGATGTTGGGTGCTATAGTGTGTTAAAACGAGCGTATGGTCGGCAGATTGAGACGTTTATCAAGGCCCATATCAACCATATTACAAAGGTTGAGTTCTTTCTAGCCTTTACAGCAGCATACAAGGAAACAATGACAGTCCTAAACTGTCAGTCTGGATTCCGCGGAGCTGGCCTAGTACCATTTAACCCGCAAGCAGTGCTTTCAAAGCTTGACGTAAGGTTACGGACTCCAACTCCCCCTCGGACGTGTAGTGCCAACTCCCTCCCCTGGGTGTCCCAGACCCCTTCCAACCCAACTGAAGCCCTTTCACAATCAACTCTTGTACGAAATCGTATAGCCTGTCATCAAGGAAGCTCGCCAACTCCACTTTTTCAAACAGTTGCTGCGTTAGCAAAGGGTACAGAGCGAATGGCACATGAGATGACCCTTTTGTCTGCTGAGGTCCGTACCCTTCGCGCTGCAAATGAAGCCCTAAGTAAACGCCGTAGGGCTAAAAAGACTCGTGTCCGCCAAGGAGGGGCACTTATAGTAGAGGATGTACAGGATATGTTAGCTCAGGAGGATGTAGATGAGCAAGTACGACGCGACATGCGTGAGGCGGGGGTTGGTTATAAGGAGGGGCAACCTTCTAGGCGGCGCTGTAGAACTTGTGGAAAAGCTGGTCATAACGCGCGAACTTGTCAAGAAGTTATAGATATATCTAGTTCGTCAGATATAGAGAGCGATAATTAATTTAATATATTGTGGTTGATTTATTTAGGTGTAAAGTTCTGTGCCAAGAAAAAGTGATCGACTCGGTGATATGATCGACTCGCTGATAAACCACGTTATATTAAATATATTATTACTACTTTCTCGATTTATTAACTTTACGAACGCTATATATTATTGTCACGGATGCCAACAAAGGATAAAGTGTATACAGCTTTTGAATCAATTGCTAGAACTAAAACCGTAGGTACGAAGAAATCAAACTAAAGAGAGAAGAGAATCTGAAAGGAGCGAAGTTATTTAAGTTGTTCCAATGCCAAGTCTCGTCACGTGCTTGGCCAAGCGAATGAAATCCTGTCAAATGAAATCCAGCTCCGTCACAGTTAATCTAATTCGTATATACTAGGAATAGGGATATATTCTCTTATATAAAACGTAGTATTTTAAACTTAAGTAATACTAGATCCTAGAGGATTATTCTTAAAGTAAAAACCCCGGCGAGTCTCTAGTCGTTTAATAGTAGGGGAGGTAGATCTTCTTTAAGGAGTTAGTAACCGGCGACCTTAGCGATAAGCTTTTATTACTCTTACTATAGTATTAATTACTTCTTTTATAGTATCTTCTTTATTATATTAGGCTTATAATTCTAACCTTACTATTTCGCGAGCTTCTTTAGCTAAGTAGTTCCTTACTTCTATTAGAGTTCGCTAATTATAAAGGTCTTATTCTATATATATAAACGCGCGATTACTTACTCTCGTAAGATTTATAGTATAAGCTCTTTATAATATACGTTTTAGAGGTTTCGGAGGTATAATTTGTTACGGAGTTGGAGGAATTGGGGGCAGATCACGTGTAGCAGCACGGCACGTGCGTGCTGCTGGCAGCCTGTATATAAGCTTCTGTTCCTCTGGAACTCTCTTCCTTCCTCACTTAGTTGTTCGCTCTATATAGCAGTTTCTGTTTGACTCCGTATTCATCACAGCAAGCAGTGGTTCACTCCACACGGTCACATAATTAAGGCTTATTATTTTAGATTAACTAGATTCAAAAGAGCTAATAACCGTACTATATAGAACGACAAATATAGTGTTATTAATAGAGGAGTATACTCGTATATAGGATATTTATCCTACCGAGTTGCTTAGTAAGCACTCACTCATTCACAATAAACCACTGCTATATAATTTTAGACTAAAATTAACGTATAGGTTTAGGAACTACGGTAGTTTACTTGGTTAGTTTTGTCTTTTTTTAGTACAGTTTTATAACATATCGAACTAAGCACAAAACTGAGCAAACTGAACTACTGGCAACACTGGGATAATGAAGGATCAAATAACACTTATGTTCCAGGATGGTATTCATTGTTGAAGTTTAGTACTTTGTCTCATCGTGAATTGGCTAGCCGAACATCAACACACTTCCTTGCATCGGCAATAGAGGCACTGTGGACAAATAAATACTTAGTAGAATGTGTGCCGCTAGTCCCGTAGAAGGTCTCATCAGCCGTTTGTGGTGTTTCGCCCCCACACTGGAACGGAGCTTCATTTCTCTGCCCAAGTTTGGTCAAGTGCCTCGCGTGAGTGTACGAGTACTATGCGCGCTCTTCCACAACCAAAATTTGTTTTCTTGATGTACGGTTTCCACGCCTTGGGCATTTCGACCATGTGTATCACTGGGTCTCCGGGTCTTCAGAGGTCTTGGGACTACTTCTGTCCGTCAGAAACCCCTCAACCCTGAAATGGATGCCGCCTCAGACCTTTTCAATTATACCTCTGGGAGATGGATGTAATTTTGCCCATAATGTTGCTATAGCGCTTACTCATTGTTGCAAATCATAGCTACAACGAATCTCTACGCCTCAAAGAGCGAGTCTTGAAGTTCGATGTCAATGAGCTCAAGAAAGCCGCCGCGGCTGCCATCCAAAAAGATGTTACAAAGGTTCATAAATTCTCGAAACTCACTGAAGGAGGTTTCAACAGAGCTTTTGAGATAACCATCGATGGCCTATCTGTGATTGCAAGGCTTCCCTATCCCTCAACATACCCGAAACACCTCACAGTTGCTAGTGAAGTGGCTACTATCAACCTCGTCAGGTCGTATGGTGTACCTGCCCCAAGAATCCTGGGTTACTCAGCTACAAACGACAATGCTGTTGGTTCTGAGTATATCCTTATGGAAAAGGTGGTCGGCCGTGATCTTGGGGATATCTGGTATGACCTGTCAGAGAAAGAGCTGTTGAAGGTTCTCTCACAAGTAGGGAAGCTGGAGTCCAAATTGTTTTCAATACCCTTTCCTGCAAGCGGAAGTATATACCACAAAAGCGATCTGGGAGCCGACGCCAAAAGCGCAGAACTTTCCGGTGGTGATCTCTCACCCGGAAAATTCTGCATTGGACCGGATGTGGCACAGAAATGGTGGTATGGTGGCAGAGGAGAACTGGCAGTTTCCCCTGGTCCTTGTAAATATGACCATTGTACATTCCTGCCTCTTGATTCAATATAGCTAAATATTTGAGTAGTCACGGAATCGGCTGATGTATTTACAGCTGGAGCGGTGATAGAACTTGCATGGCTCAAAAGTCAAGCTCGTCCACGTCTTCCCCGATCGGTTGAACATAGGAATATCTATGACTATAAAAAGGTTTACCCCGCAGATCACATGGCAAGCATTGAGAGATACCTTCAGATTGCCCCTTATCTTGTTCCAGACGGGTCGAGCTTTTTGCTCCGACCAACCCTTCGTCACCCAGATCTCAACCCTCACAACATTTTTGTCTCCGATGACTTCACCATTACGGGCGTCATAGATTGGCAACACGCATCTGTATTGCCACTAGTACTCCAATCCGAAATTCCTAGTTAATTTCAGAACTTTGGAGACGAGGTTTCACGCAGTCTCTCAAAGCCAACACTACCCGCATCCTTCGACCAATTGAGTGCTACAGATCAAGAGGGAGCTCTGAAGCAGTTTCGAAAAAGACAGCTCCATTTCTATTACATCGTCGCCACGGCCAAACACAACAGGCCTCATTATGACGCCCTCAAACCAGAATCAACCATGTCAATACAGAAGCTCCAACAGTACTCGAGTGCGCCATGGGAGGGTGACAACATCACGCTGAAAGCAGAGTTGATTCGTGCGATTCAAAACTGGTCAATGCTTACCACAAGCACCTCTGCGGGCAGTGGCAGTATTCCCCCTGTTTGCCAGATAGGCTTCTCAGACGAGGAAGTTGCAAAGTGTTTGAGTATGGAAGCCGAGCAATATCATATCGATGTGCAGATGGAGAAAGCCCGTGATCGTATCGGGGTCAGTATTGATGGTTGGACTTCGAATGAAAGATATGAAGACGCTCTTGAGTAGAATGAAAGTGTAAAGGCGGAATGTGTTGCTGCGTTGGATGATGTGTCGAAGAAGGAGTTTCTTGAGAATTGGCCGCTGGATGACCATAGTGAAGATTGCTAGATCTTCGCGTCATGGATGGACAATGATAAGGTTTTTGGTTTTTATGTATTCTCCCGTATTCAGGAAATGATTAACCTAAATATCTTAAAATTTAATGCCTTATGGTCTTCTAGCATTTGACTATTACTAGTTTGCTTTCCTATTCACTTACCATGGCCCACAAAACACATGTGACCCTTATATTCCCAGGTACTCGAGTAAGACAACTAGAACTTATGAAACGATCAAGGTAAGGCTCACTAGAGTAACATAAACTAAATCAGAAGGGTTCTACATCTTTATACGGAAATCCTTCACCGTTTTATGGTAGCCATGAGCGGGCTGCCGCGCCCCCCGATATTAGTCTGCAAATAGGCCATAAGCTGTCACATACGACCATAGACTGAGGAGAATTGGGCATCCCGTCCGCTCTGCCATACACAAGCCTCAGATCGGCAGATTAGTAGTTGGGTGGGTGACCACCAGCGAATACCTGCTGTTGTATGTATCTTATTTTATTCATTTTTTGCCCTGTTTTTGCATGGAAGCGAATTCAGAGTACCACGATTTGCATGGGATTGCTAATAAAATGTGATATTAATGGTTGGATTATATCTTAGAATGTGATTTTGGTTTTTTGTATCGTGGGTTCTTTTGTTTCTTGAATGTTTGGGCGTTCCTCGGAGTTCTTACTACTTATACAAGTAAACTACGAGGGAAAGGCATAAGTAAAGGGTTCTATATCCTGTTCTATTCTATTCAAATTACTCCGAAGCTTTTGCTTGTTAAGTAGTTGTTTCTTGGAAAATCCTATATGCTGTTCGGCTCTGTGCTTAGAGAGGGAGAATGATATCCAGTCCTGACGCACTTTTAAGAGAATTTGAAAGCCCTTATAATACGCTTTGAGTGTTAGATGCCTGGGCTCTTATATTCTGACATTCTAGCTTTGCTATTATAAAGAGAAAATCTCCTTGGCTGTAGCCGAAAGAGGTGACGAAATTAAGGGTTAGCGAATCATTTATCTCGCTCGAACTTGAACTTTCGGGCTTGCGAGAGTGATATGCCGTCGAAAGATGGGCATCTGAGCTGCGAGCTTATGCATAGGACCATAATTCTATTCTGCGTAGTCTTCAATCTTTCTCCTACCAACGCAAGCCGATCTTGCCATGGCCGTCAACTATTCCAACTTTGACAATTTCTCGGTGATTTCCAGAAGCTCTTCCAAAATTTCATCCGCTTCGGAGCAACTAAGCTGCGCATCATCCCAAGAAAGATGAACCTGTAAAGTGTCCTCGTCTAACATCTTACAATTCCACAATAGTCCAACATCTGCCCGGCTTACTGTCTGTACATTTTGAAGGCACTTGTACTCTACGGGTAGGCCCCCAGTTAGCCAGTTGAATATTTGTCGTCGAATGATCTCGACTATCACATCGCCACTCTTGTTGTCACTTTCATTCAGTCGCTCGATTAGCTGATCATAGGGAACGTGGGTATGAGTGTTCAGACCTTCCTGCTCTTCTTGTAATTTTGTGAGCAGAGCGCCCACTGTGTCGGCACTTTCCACATCGGCAATCACTGCGGTAGTTTGCAGAGTTGGTCCATCAACATTCATCACATCTGGAAACGCCTTCGCTTGCCAATCTGGCAAGTATGCCCACGATCTTGAGGCCTGATACTGTCCAAACAGAGCTACCCCAGCTTTGGTCCGTCGAGTATTCATTATTGCAAGTCCTGCCTTCACAATCTGTGGTACATCAATTTCATACTCCACCTTCAAAGCTTGGGAATCATGGAGGTGCACTCACTGAGCCATGCTAATAGCACCGTCTCTAGCACCTCCATCAAGCGCCTTGCGAGGTGAGCGCAACGGGCCTTTCAGCGATGTGACCCATCCTTCAGATTGACCTTTGAACCACTCCGGTGCTCTCTGTTCGGGGAAAAGGGCATTTCGGTGTTTGGCCACTCCCTGTAAGCGGTTGGCGTGCCATTTCACAGATCTTTGAGCTGCTTCTGAGTGACGCAGGTTATAGTGGCTGTCTGCCCATGCTTTATAAGGTGGTCTTGGTGTGGGCACGGCTTTTGCGTCGACGAGCAGTGTATCAAGATCTTCCAAGAACATCTCGAATGAAATCGCATCCAAATTAGAGTGCTGTATCATATACACCAATCCAGCACAATTTTCTTCCTCAACGTGAGTAATCGTTGCCTTAAATAGAGGTCCAGGGTCTGCGACCCAGTCAAGTTCTGTATTGTTGTAGCATTGCTTCCATAGCCCTTCGGTATTCTTCACAGACGGCATGTGTGTGAAAGGTTGATCAAAAAACTTTTTTGAGGGTCGAATTGTCAAGTGCATTGGCGCGTGGTGAAATCTTATAACCATGGCTCGGAGAATACTGTGGCGTGTCAAAGCTTCCCTGAGGGCTTCTTCTAATTGTTTCGTAGTTTTACCACGACAGAGCCAGGTATGTCTGTGATTGTTGCTCTGTGGTCTACGCTTTTCCAGCAAGCGCTGTAATGTCCCATGCATCGGGATAACATCTTCCACATCGTCCCAAGACAGTCCACGTGGTTTTAGTATCTCTTCGCTAAGCGCTTTTGTTTTCTTCAGAATACTTTCGTCACCCATGGCGTGTACCATATCATCACTTGTAGGTGGACCGGCATGCTTCACTACCATCTGAGAATAGATGATGTTGTCTTGACCAATCTTTCGAGATGAAAGAACTCGGACTTGCTGCTCAATTGTAGGATTATCCAAGAGGTCTTGCAAGCTCAAAGAGTGCCCGGTGGTTCTGCGTAGTATACCTGAGAACCTTGTCAGGGTAAGACTGTCGGCAAACTCGTGGATGTTTTTTTGTGGATGGAGGTTGCTACGGCTCACACCGAGATGCTTGCACCAAAGTGCTGTCAGTGTCTCAACTTCGACTTGACTCGTGATTTGGCCGTAAACCTCATCATTGGGCTTACTGTTTTGGAGAATCTCAATCGCCTTCTCCTAAGAACATTCTTCTTGGTCTTACCGGAGAATGTTCTCGGAAAGTCCTCAAGTCCAAGGCTTTCAACAGATACAATGTCCTCTAAAGCAAATAAATGACCAAGTTTTTCGATAAGCTTGCCTCGAACAAGAGACAGAACATGTGTTTGACCTGCATTTCCCTTCACGATTGCCACTGGCACCTCGCCAGCAAGTTCGTCCGGAACACCAATAACTTCAGCCACCACTCCAAAGTCTTCAGCAAGCACAACCTCAATCAATCTGGGAGATAGATTCTCTCCACCACGTTTTATCAATTCTTTGTACCGACCAATGACTCTGATCTCGCCATTCTCAGCCATTACGACTTGGTCTCCCGTTCGCATCCAATGACCCAATTCATCATCATAAAATACCCTGTTTGGGTCTTCACCTTGCTGTTTACTCAATAGATAATGAGAGGTAACGGCAGTTCCACCGCAGTGTAACTCTCCAGGAACTCCTCTCTGAAGAACTTCATCCGTTTCTGGGTCACACACTCTCAACATCATCTCTGGGACCGGATAGGTTACCTTCGGATCTGTACCTGGCATATGGAACCAAATTCTTCCAGTCTCTGTCAGTCCATAGCCATCAGATGTGCGCTTTGCACCAAAATCAGAGGCTACTTTTCTCAGAAATTCCGGGGATACAGCTATCGTCCCGACAATGATGTGGTCGATAGTGCCTTTATTCTCAAAGTCCTGGTGATTGAGTAAAGCCGAATTCATCGCAGGCACTGATGGAAACAGATTGGCACCCTTTAACGAAATGGCTTTTAGTGTAGATTTTGCGGCAAATGATGCTGCTGAATGAACAATGGTGCAGCCTTGGGCGTTGAGGTACGCCGAGAAGACTAATCCAAACACTTTTGGATAAGACATGAGCTTTCAAGTACCATATAATTCCCGGGATATGTATACACTTATTGTGGTAGAAAGGGTTGTGGCTGACAGAAATATTTGTTTCAACCAGCTCAGTAGCCTGGGCGTTTTTCAAAAGTATTGAGGCCAATGAGCTATTAGATTGCGGTGCTCCTTTTGGAAGACTTGTAGTCTCACTCGTGAATAAAATGACAACTACGTCTTCTGGTTTCCGCTCAATTTTGAGACCATCTAAACTTTGAGCGGACCCTGAACCTCCTTCCAAGAAAGAACCGAAATTCCGCCACTCTCCAGAACGCTCATTGATGGCACAGACAAGCTTCAATGAAGCGCCTTTTACAGCTTCCGGTATAACTTCTTCCAATATTGTCGCAATACTCAGGTTCGGCACCATAACCGCACCAGGCTGTAAGACCTCAAAAAGATGGACGAGCTCTCGAGGGTTGCTTGTGGATTTTGGGTTGAGAAGAGCAATTGGACAGTTCAATTCCAAGCTGGCTCGAAAAAGAATCTGAGTTTCAATGCTGTTCTCAACAAACGTCGCAATTGTCATACCAGGTCGAATGCCGCTTTCTGCCAAAGCAATTGCCATCAAGTGACTGACATGGATGATCGCGTTAAAAGTCCATCGAAGATAATCAGCTGTTATTTTCCCCTTGACAACATTTGAATAGAGGTCCTCTGGCTGATGCATGCAGACAACAGCAATCTTGGAACCATTTGTAGTTGCTGGCGCTGTCAAAATGTCGTGTAGGGGCTTGAGAGGTCTAGCGAGCTTTCTTCCATGAATCTCGGATAGCTTCCCAGCAGAAGACATTTTCCGTATGATTCTGGATGCGCCGAGACTTTCAGATTATCCAGACTCTGCGTAGCTGTCAATACAAAAAGAATTCCTCGAGTGCCGTTTTAGAATTTCACAACGGCGTTAACTCACTTAATAGTTACTGCAGAAATTCCTGCTCGGCATTTATGGAAAAGTTTGTTCGCTTCGAGTTGGGAAGGTGCTTTGATTTGTTAATACAATCAGCAACAATTTCCCTACGTGATTCGCTCGGATTCAAATAAAAACAGGCGGTAAAAGAAACCTTTGACGCTAAATAATCCTTACCAAGAGGGTTGACATTTAACCAAAGTCAATAACGCCCAGATCTGGGTTTCTGGTTAGCTACTCGTAATCTCGCCAAAAGTCGGTACCGAAGCATAACATTAAAGTGTAGAGAGATGCGGTGAGACTTCAAGTCTCCAATGTATCCAACGTCTTGCAGTAAGACACTTACCTAAGGATTTCCCCGGAAAAATGCTTAAAGGTTGGGCCCCGAACTTCTACTGTTTAAGCTAAGGATATCCCCGCTTTAAAGATATTCTTGGTTTTCTTGGTCCGAGTTTAAGGCGGGTTCGCACTAAAATATCCTTATTTTTATCCTTAGATATACAAACCCGCCACTTAATAAAGTGATCATAGCCTTAACGTACTTCATAAGGAGTCCGGATTTATAAGCAGTCCGGATTTTTTACCCCACCATCCAACTTTTAAAAACCATAGAACTTTAAACACTTAATATTTATTTATATAAACTATACTATCTTTCTTATTCTCGATCTGGGCACCTAGGAGCAGTATGCGCTAGTGATCTACATATACTACAGGTTCGTGGTGCACGAATTCGTGGTTCAATTAGCGGGGCCACAGCTTCATCCAAAACCATATTATCACTATTTTGAATAAGTTCCCTCCCTTCCTGACCTGTAAGAACACCCCCAGTAGCAATATATTGACGTCGCACAGTCTTCTTCTTCTTTTGACGTTCAGATTCAGCTCGTAAACGTCCATTTTCCTCTGCCAAAACCGTAGCTGATTGCATAGCCATCTTACACCCTTTAACCAATTGATCTAATGCAATAGCAGTAG